AACCCCGCTAAAAGATATGAATTATCAAATTAATACAACGAGCTAATACATCTACTAATAAAGCTATCGAAAAAAATCAATAATTCCTTCGAACATATACACATAATCTAATATGATAATAGTTTGTTTATTTATTTATAGACCAATCAATGCAAAGAAATCGATCGATCGACCGACTGACTGATCGATTTTATAACACATGATGCCTACGCCAAGCGCATACTTTGCACATTTCAAAATAAATTACAAATGATAAAGTGGAATAGATGACAATAAAAACAAATGAAATATAAGGTTGGTTCAAAATTCATTCACAATGAAAACAGAATAATCTTTTGTGATGATCTGTAAGTGTGACGGTTAACTTTCTTACTAAGAAGTCGAAGAAATGAAGCCCATTAATTCTATTTATCAAGGATACTGCTTGTGTAAGCGGTCAAGAAGTGACCGGTGTTCGAATCTAGTACCTACCTACCTACCGGTTACAAGCCAAGTTTGTAGACCATTCAGCCACCAGGACCCGACTCCTCCTGTCTATGAATTCAAACTTCTGCAAGTTCGTGATTTTAGCATGGCCATTGAACAGTCGGGTCCCATTGGCTGAATGATCTACGCGCTTGTCTTGCTATCCGGAAGGTCCTAGCTTCAGATCTAAGTGGTGGGTGAGTACTGCCTGCCTAATGAGTCCAAAACTAGGACGAAACATCTGTACAGTAGGTGAGTGTTGCTTCTCAATTGTTCTCTAACTGATATCAATCCATGGTCAAACTTCAAATAAAACTAACTACCTACAGTTTTTAATCATTCAGGAGGTATGTATCCTTGGGTGGTCTCACAATCTACTCATGAACTTTTTCCAATTGGCTCTCAGCCAAATGAGATAGAGAAGAAATATGTTTTATAAGGGATTGGTTGACGTGTCAGGTCAAGCCAAATTATGTCACACGATCTACTGTCAATTACCCTTTTCCTTGAAGACTCTGAATGAAGAGAAAAGTGTTGTGCAATGAAGTTTTAAGACTTCTTTTTTTAGGGAATGGAGTTTGGAAATTAATCGGATTTTCGACAATGACTGGTTACGGGACGATGTTTCCTGGAGTTCTTGTGAGAAGTCGTGATAAGTGGCTGGGGCTGGTGGCGATAAAATCATGGATTGGTAGAAGTTAGAATCCATGGACAGGTCCCATTGAGGAGTCGGGTCCCGGTGGCTGAATGGTCTACAAGCCTGGCTGGGAAAAGAGCGAGTGGTGGTCGAACCAAAACATGGCACCAGTCAATGAAATTCACAAAATTTAGTCTAAGCCATGTAGGAAGGTGTAGACTTCCTGACTGGTTGGGGTCCTCGGGACGGTAAAAACCAATGGTTGGAAACAATCAGTGATATGGCTCAAAATCGTTCTCAGTGATGGCTGGCGAAGATGCATCCACTCCTTGTGACTTATGATTTCCAATGAAACTGTTTTGTTCTTCATTATCACTATTCCTTTGTCTCATATCCCTGTCTACTGTCTCTATTATGCATTTCTTCTACTTTCTTCTGTTGCTTTGTGTGCTACAAGGAGGGAGTGTGGCGACTTGAACTGATGCACATCGGTGCAAAGTTCTATGTCAAAAACAGACAGACAAGCCTTGCTTGTAACCGGAAGGTAATGGGCTTGAGACCCAGTGGGCGTGTACCGCTGATGAATGCCAAACTAGGGTGAAATACCTGTCCAGTACTCCCTGGTTTCCAAAGGTTCTCTAATGGTAGCAGTGAACTTTGCTGAAAATTGTGTACATTACATAAACACTGTCCAGAATAAAGCGGCTATTATTATTATTGTTATTATTATTATTATCAAAACCTTGCCAGTCATATTTTAGAAGCACATAATGATTTGTTATCACCTTAGTGAAAGAATTCGAGGGATCAATGCTTTTTACATGGGATTTTAGGGGGCGGGTCTTGTCTATCGGTAAGTGAACCTCACATCTTGAATTTTCTCAGTTTACAATCTAAATAACACAGTTCAAGGTTAAATATCATCACTATAATTTCCTTCTTTTTGGAGACCTAAAATATTCAGGATCACACCATACATAATCTGCTTGATGTCATAAATAACCATCGAGAAAGTATGGCGGTAGGTAGTAGTACACAACTGATCGATATTAACAGTTGCAACACCACTCATATCATACATTTATTTATGTATTCTTTCTTTGACTATATCATGTACAGCATCGATCACGGCGAATTACATATATTATGATCAGAATAATAATTTCGTCATCTAAAGGAAACCGATTTTTAATAAAATCACATAGTGAGTCAGTGATACGACATTGATGACGTTTCGAGCACAATTCATTGCCTATTATCACATCCTTATCAGAGTGCTCACATAACCTCTTTAAAACTTCACTTATACAATCCCACTGTTTCCTAACCCTTTGATTTGATTGATAATCATATTTTCCCCATAACTCTGTTATTAATGGTCAGTTATTCCTATTTCACGTGTCTGGTGTGTGTGTAAATTCAAAGAAAAATAGTTTCAGTATTCAGGTATTGGTTTGCAGGGATCCGATTGGTTACAGGATTTCTTCGTGAGATTAAATCTATTAAAGAACCATTGAAAAACCTGAAACTACTGAACAGCTGTTTCGTCCTAGTTTGAGACTCATCGGTAGTACGCACCCGCCGGGGTCCGAACCCAAGACCTTCCGGTTACACGGCGAGATCTTGAATTGGTAAAAGTTAGAATTCATGGGCTGGCCATTGGATTGGCTCCCATGTGACTTAATGATCTCTACTAGCTTGCCTTGTAACCAGAAGGTCCTGGGTTCGAATCCCTGAGGTGGGTGCATACTGATGGAGCGTCTCAAACTATGGTGACGAAACAGCTGTCCAGTACTCTCTGCCAGTCTTCCAATGGCTCTCTAACCAGTGTCACCTTATCATGAAATCCTGTGAAGATTCACTAACTCAACCTTTCTCTCCTACCAGCTACCCAGAATTGTAACTCTGTCTCCCCTCCCCCTCTATTGTGTGATTGCGTGGTAATGCATGCAGTGCAATTCTTGAGTTTTTAAAAAATCGGAATTACTCATCATCTCGGAGTGAGTCAATCTACACTGAGCTAAACTCCTGTATTTCGATAATCTGACCACCCTCGATCTACTGATCCCTGACCCATGTAGCTGACTTTACAGTGAGACTGACTGTAAGGTATTTTGTAGATTAAATTATTTTATCTAACTGATTCAATAGGCTTCTTTAGACTACAAAGAACTTATCCTTCCTGACTAGTGAGTTTGTAAGTTTACGTCTCAGTCTTTGTTCATCGAATAATCTACATACACACACACACACATCAAACACATGCAATAGGAGAATGACTCATCATCATCAATACCAGAGATAAGGATAAGCAATAATGGGATTATATAAGCGAAGTTTGAAAGGGATTATGTGAGAGTGCCCTGATATGGTGGTGATTTTGAGCAGTGGCAATTTGCGCTCGAAACGTCATTCAGTGATTTTATGAAAAAAAATTTACATCATTATGGGATTATACATTTTACTACAGTGATTGCTCAAGTTCTATTCTTATATCAATGAAATTGCGGGGAAGTTTCACCTCCTTGAATTGTACAATTAGCAAACTAAGAATTTGATTTTATGAACTGCCAAAATTCCTGGAGGTGTGAACTGTGATTCAGCTACTTTTTTTCCCTCTCTGATGGTTGACGACAGTCAGTCAAATCGAGTACACCGCTGATGAGCTCGTGCTTCAACGAGTGAAGTGGCTGTCCAGTGTGTTTATATAACTTCAATTTGGCTAGCAAGTACAGTTCGAATGATCTCAACCGTTTTTATCCCCATTCCCCTTTAGCGTTCAGAATGGAAGATGGGGCTTCAGGACTCAACTTTAGTTTCAGTACCAGTGGTTCCTAACCACATACCAAACATTCCCTGTTTACAGGTTTCACTACTGATTAAGGAGTTGACAGTCCAAAGGTAGATTGGTCGCCAATCATGCACGTCACACAGGGTTCGATTGCCGGCCTGCCACCGACACACTCCTAAATCTCATTTAGTAGTTTGGCAGTAAGCCCGATAAAGGGAGAAGTTTGGGGATGTGAAGAATGACACCACTGCTAGTGATACCTCAAAGCTCAATCTTGAAGCCTTATGTTCCACACTCGGAACTCAACGAAATAGAAATTTGTGAGAAAAAAAAAGACAGATAAAGCAATAGGAAGATGTAACTTGTCTGAATCATGTTACAGTGTACTTGCCCAACACATTTCGAACAATCTCATCATCACACACGGAAGTGTCATAGGAATACACATATGAAACTAATAAAGAGTTAAGAGGTGAGAAAATAGACCACTTAGGTCAAGTTAAAATGATATATTGAAGGTCAAAATAACAATGAAGATCACTAAACCAAATAACAGAGGTAATAGTACATCCGCTGTAGTATCAAAACAAAGTTTACCAAGGAAGGTTTAGTGTGATGATGAATTGTTGCCTTGATCGCATAAAGGTGGTTTAAACTTTCCAATTGTCAGCTAAGGCTACCACAATCTTTAGGATACGCCCCCAAACACGTTTTATAGATAGGTTGAAAAGATGTGTTAACGTCAATTTTATGCCCTGTGTCTATAATATGTTTCTCAGCAGAGGAGCTAGGTCTCCTGTTCTCACCATTAATGGGTTCTGAAGATTCCATTTGTTTCTGGAGCCATTTAGGAATATGCTCTGAGGTCAGTCAGCCCTTACTTGCAGAGATCGATGAGTCCTCCCTATGTATGTATGTCCACATGTACATTCAAAAAATGATACTACCGGTCAGGCAAAGTTTAAGAGTGCACTGGTGGGCGTAGGGTTAGTTTGTACCCAAACCAAGTGCTTGATTGGCGGGTCAACGGTGTAGCGCCGATTGTGTCTATATATATAATCAGGATTTAATAATTCTCACATGACGCTTTAGTCTAAATTAACTTACATATTGTAACTTTCTAATCCAATGTTTTGTAGAGATTATTGTTTTCTGCCAAATATCATCCAATTGATGCAATATATCACCACCAGCATCTTGATTATGATTATTGCAATTGTAATTAGGATTATTTCTTGTCAATAATATTGATTTTATTGAATTAACACGAAAATGATAAGCTTTCAATTGACCTAGAAATTGTTTCAACTGATCACATGATGTTGCCAAGTATGTTAGCCTTTTATCATCTTTACAATCATCATCCTCATCAGCGTCATTATGATCCCCATCATCATGAATGCCGGCGGTATTCTTCTTCTTCCCTTCCTCCTCTCCGTGCTTGGCATTAGTAGTACAGTTAATCAGTTCATTCAAATGACGTTCAACTTTCATATAACTAACTTTTATTTGTGAAATTAAATTGTATATATCAGAATTAAAATGAATTGTATTCATAGCGGTAGTATTACTAGCTGTCGGATTAGTTCGAGTAGAGGTGGTTGATTGTGTAGTGTATTTCTCAGTGGTACATTTCATTGAGTTGTTCCTTCAAGTAGAAATTTAAAAAAAATCATAATTGTTATTCATTTATATAATAACATTAGAAAAAGTATATATATATATATATATATATATATATATATATATATATATATATTCAAACTACCAAAGAAAGGAGACTTAAGTCAATGTAAAAACTGGCACCAAATTATGCTCCTATCCATTCTAAGCAAAATACTAAGCCACATCATTCTGCAGAGAATCAAACATGCCACCCAGGATGAAAAACTTCGATCGGAACAGGCTGGTTTCAGGAGAAACAAGTCCTGTGTATTGATCAAATCGCCACACTACGGATTATCATTGAACAAAGCTTGGAATGGCAATCACCTCTCTACCTGACTCAACTTCATCGACTTTGAAAAGGCCTTCGGTGGTGGAGCGTCGATCGAGAGGTCATTTGGCAACTACTTCGCTACTACCAAGGGGTGCCACCGACAATTATACATCTCATCCAACAGTTATACGATAATGCTGCATGCCAAGTAATCCACAACAAGGAACTTATGGAATCCTTCGAAGTGAAGACGGGAGTAAGACAAGGCTGTCTACTATCGCCAATGATTCTCCTGATTGTAGTAAATTGGATAATGCGACAGACAACGGGCAATGAGGAAACAGGCATGAAATGGACTCACACAAAAAACGTGAAGAATCTGAACTTCGCCGATGATATATGTCTGATTTCTCACAAACTGGAAGATACGCAAGTGAAAACCAACAAGTTGGAAGAAGAAGAAGCATCAAAGATAGGACTTCAGGTGGACATGGATAAAACAGGTCTGATGATGAAGATTCCTGGCCAACACCAACAGCCACAGCGACAACAACAGACAACAGTCAGCCAGCATAAATGGGAGGAACCTGAAAGAAACAAACTCCTTTACCTATCGACACGGGAAGCATCCTTTGAACTACAGGCCGACGGAAATGACGAGGATATCATAGCAAGGATTGGAAAAGCAAGACAAGCTTTCATTACTCTCAAGTATGTGTGCAGCAGATCAACAGCACTCAGCACCAAAAATAAGATCCGGATTTTCAACTCCAATGTGAAGTCAGTAAGTGCTACTTACTACACGGATCAGAGACTTGGCCAGTGAGTCATAAAGAGCACCTCAAACAAACTACACACCTTCACCTACAGCTGTCTTCGCTCAATACTCCGCTCAAGATCAGATGGCCGGTCAGAAAATATCAACACCAGGAAAGGATCTCTGGTGATGAGCTAACCAACCCAACCTACCAGGAACCGATTGTGAAACAAATAAGTAGGAAGAAATGGAGGTAGGTGGATTGGCTGGCCATACTCTGAGGAAACAAACCACCAAGTGACATCACTAGACAAGCCATTGTTCGAGTGGAACCCGACTGAATGGGAAGCGGCGAGTTGGTCGTCAGTGTATGGGTGGGGTGACTTGGAGGAGGTGATGTGAAGAGGAGATGAAAGCATGTATGCACACGTGGACTCAGATGAAAACTCCAGCAGAGAACCGAACACAATGGAGACGTTTGGCTGAAGGGGTATGTTCCTTTAGGAATTAAAGGAAGTAATAATTATAATTGTATATATATAATTATACACATTGGTTTGCAGGAATTCGATAGGTTACAGGATATCATCATGAGCTGACTTCGGCTGCCGTTTCGTCCTAGTGCTTGGGACTCTTTATCAGTATGGACCCACCGTCAAGGTTCGAACCCAACACCCTCTGGTTACAAGACGAGCTAGCTCGTAGACCATTAAGCCACTACTGGGACCCGACCCAATGGGTAGTCCATGAACTCCAACTTCTGCCCATTCATGATAAGGTGCATGTCATGGGAGGTCATTTTTCCTCACACCAGACCGTTGTGGTTCCAAGACTTGACAGAAGAGTTAATCAGCGAAGATAAGAACCACTTCAAGTGAACTTCAGCAAAACAGAGGTGATGAAGACACCTGCACAGTGACCAACAGTAACAATCACCAATCAATACACAAATGAAAAAATTTAAACGAGGTCCCTTCTTTCATTTATCTAGGAAGCGTTGTTTCAACTACAGACAGTTGGAAAGGACGAGGATCCCCAAATCAGGAGACATCCGATCGGAAAATCAAGACGGACCTACATTATTCCAAAATCCGCTTCAATGAGCACAAAGAACAAGATTCGGATTTCCAACACCAATGTCAAGTCAGTTCTTTTCAATATGGTTCAGAGACTTGGTGAGCATCTCACCAACAGCATTTCGAACAGGCTGTTGCAGACTTTCATTCGTATCTGACTTCCCTAGCTCAACTTTGAAGATCACGAAACTCTTCGAAGGAACGAACCAACAAGCAACCCGTTGTGGTTGTTGCACGACGAGCATATCGAAGAAAGTGGAGACTGATTAAACGCACTCTTAGATCGTTGGGTGACTTCGCACTTCAGGCCATCGCTCAAGTGGAACCCGAGTGGGGAACACCAAGTGAGGTGTTCGACAGAGACATGGACGAGATTGCGTGAGAAGCCCTATGTTCCACTTCGAACCAAAGGGGAATTATAATGATGATAATAATAATAGTAGTACTACGTTTGTGTACCGGTCGCCTATTTAGGGATACATAAGCTGATTGTAATTGCATTTCAGGATTATTCCTCTTAAGAATTACATTCGGCATAAAATTTATCACATTTAGTGTAGTTCGTATAATTTTTCAAATGTTGATTTGTCAGGATTTCATTGATGGATTGATGGACTCTTCCTGAAGTTGTAATGAAAAGTTGTAATCTGTGGGGAGTTCACCATGTCGGATGTGATTATATAAATACTCGCAACTTACATGTATCACAAATAACACAGGAGTTAGAATTCATGAATCATGCACTGGCTGAATAGTAACATGCTCGCTTTGTATCCCGAAGATCCTGAGTTTGATTGCTGGTGTCTACTTATGAAGAATCTCAGACTAGGACGAAACAGCTTTCCACTACTACTTTCTGGTTTTCAGTAATTTTGTTAACTGATATCCATTTATCATGCTATATAAGCTGTACTTTTAAGGTTCTTTGAAGTATGAGAACACAGACAGATGTCAGTTAGAGGACCACTGGAAACAAGCACATAGTACTGGACAGTTGTTTTGCCCCAGTTCGGGATTCTTCAGCAATGCAACACACATGACTCCTCACAAACAGGGATAGAACCCAGAACTTTCAGGCTACGAAAACAAGCGTCTTAACCATTCATGTTACTTGGATCGGTATTCACGAGTTGTCTTCAGTTAGAGAAAAATTAGAATTGGCAAAAGCTGGAACTGATAGGCTGACCATTGGATCGGGGTCCCAGTGGTTTGATGGCCTACAAGCTCACCTTGTAACTGGAACGTCGTGGTTTCAAAACCCAGTGGTGGGCATTGATGGAGAGTTTCATCAAACCATGATGAAACATCTTTCCGGTACTCCTTGCTGGTTTTTTCAACGATTCTCTAACTGATGTCAACTCATGACTAAACAAATCCCTGCAAGCCAAGAAATTTGACAATTCTGACTTTATCGATTGGCAATATAACGCTACCTTTAACCAATGTCTTTGATTGGTATCCACTTTACCTTGACATTGTGGACTCCACTGATAACGAATTCTGAGTACATAAAAAAAATAAAAACTATCAACGAGCTGGAGATTGATATTTAGATTATAAATTTTCGTAGGGATTTGGATCACTTTCAACGAACCAGCACATTAGTTAGATAGAGAGATCACTGCAAACCACCAAGGAGCATTGGACAATTGTTTCGTCCCAATCTGAGACTCTTCAGAAGTACATCCATGATAGGGTCACATAGGTGTAAACAATCCCTAACTACGGTAAAGCAAGAGCTGTCCAGTCCTCTCCCCGATGGTTTTCAAAGATATCACTCCAACTACTTATGTTGTGGTTCATGACGAAATCTAACAGTTTGACATTGATCCAAATCTAATCGTCATCCCTCCTCCAACAATTGATTTACAAGGCCAAATTGATTGCCAATTGTATTTGGCAATATAAACCTCCGTGGTACAGATACCTTGATATTATATCTGTGAGGATAGTCATTTCACGTTGGCTAACGGTGGATTCGTGCGTCGGTGGTATAGCGGTTAGGACTCTCGCCGACCATGCATATAGTCCGGGGTTCGATCCCCGGCCGGCGCACTCCTTTACCTCACTGAGCCAGAAATAATGCTGATAAAGAGGAAAGGTTGGGCATGAGGCTAGCAACCCCATCCTATAAAAATTAAACACTGCTACAGAAACTTCAAGCCACTAGCTTGGAGCCCTATGTTCCACTGGGAACGTGAAGGAAAAATTATTATTATTATTAACGGTGGATTCAACTATTTTCGATCAATACAAAATATGGACGTGTCAAACAAAAAGACAATAAAAACAAATACGCACTAGTGATGGTTGCAAGCTAAAAATATGACCCCATCAATATAAAATTGACCTTTGAACTTTAGAGTTATCGCCCTTGGTATTGATTACGTCAGTCGACAATAAATAATAATAATTATTATGATAATGGCAGCGATCAGATTAAAAATGATGGTAACATCAATTATTTTATCAATTTCATAAATTAATAATCCATTTTGATTCAAATCATAGAAAGGAGAGAGATTTAATCTTTGTTAACATTCCTTTTAATCAAGAAGTGATTTGCCAAAAGTTTAATACATAGGCTGATAACAGTTAGAGAACAATTAGTAAAGCAGAAGGACACCAGTTTCGCCTTATGCTGGAACTCTTCATCAGTACAAACCAACCAGCAGGGTTCAAATTCAGGTTATTCTGGTTACAAAGAGAACTTGTGGACCATTCATACACTGAGAACCAACCCAAGTTCACAACATACCGGCAGCCAATATCATCCAGTGAGTAAATGTTCTCTGTACCCTGCTGATTACAACTTCTGCGAGTTCATCTTGTAACTGGACTGTTCTGGGTTCAGTGGGTGAGTGCCAGTGCCAGAGTTTTGAACTGGAACAAAATTGTAACCAGTCCGATTCCTTGCAAACAAGAACACTCGAAAAACCAACTAGCTTAATAATAATTCTTTTTTTGAGAAATAGGCACCTTTTCAAATAATTAGCGAATAATCACAAATAAACTGAATGAATCATGTCAATTGAAACTTTATCATGAATCGACATCAGTTAGACAACCATTGTATTGGTCAGATGTTTCGTCCTTGCTGGGGGACTCCTCAACAGTACACATTCGTGACTCATTTCTAGCTTCACTTCTTATGATACGGTGACAAAACACACCGACTGACTACTAGACATTTCACCAAATAACAATGTCTGATGCCGATACACCACAAACCGACCGACTGGCTGACTAACTGAATTCGTAACGTAGAACTTTACACTAAAGTGTAACAGTTTAAGCTGCAAAGATGATAATAATAATGACTTTATTCCAAACAGTACAAACACTATTCAAGAGAGCCAGCCAGGACTCATTGCAGCACTCCCACCTTAAGGAAAATTGAAGAAACGTATCTCATGGACGTCTTCCAAAAGAATGGATATCCACTGAATTTCATCAAAAAAAATATACCTCCAAGCCAACCTATCAAACCAAAAGCCCCCAAGGAAAGTATAAAGAAAATTTCCTTACCATATATAAAGGGTATCTCAGAAATCACTACAAGACTCTTCAAACCTCTAGGAATTGACATCGTATACAAACCAACAAAGTCACTTCACTCAATTCTATGTCAACCAAAAGACTCAACAACGAACGAAGATAAAACCAACATCATCTACAAAATAAATTGTAACAACTACGAAAAACACTGCATTGGTCAAAGTGGACGTCCCCTTCGTCTTCGTATCCACGAACATAAGCTAGCCGTCAAAAGACATGATATCCACTCCCTCATATCACTACACACAGACAACCACGGACATCAATTCCACTGGGACAACCAATGTTCAAATATTAGACAGAGGAAACAACAAGAATCCTAGAGAATTTTTAGAAGCCCACCTGGTATTCCAGTGAATCATCAATCAATAGACACATAGAGATAGACAAAATTTATCAAGCGATAAGAAAGAAATCTCACCCACAGAGGGTCAAAGTTCAAGTCAGAGAAACAATCAGTTGCAATACAAGTAACCTAGATGGTGTGAAAACACACAAAAACAACCAATCACGTCCAAGGTCACCCACCAGGAGAAATGATTAATAAACTCGTGGAGAAATCGAAAAGCTCACTTCAATGAATTGAAGTATGCACTGAAGATGTCACCCAGTAGGGTGATGAAAGCTTCGCAAATTAACCATCCAGCTCAGAGAACACAACCACATGTGAAAATCATCCACCTGAGCTACAAATCTTCTCTATCATATCCAAACAGTACTTCTGATAGAATGTGAAATTTTCAGTATATCATACAATACTGTTTCCCATTTCATCTTACCACGTACATATAACGGGGGTATTGAATCAGTTGTGTTCTCTGAGGAGGAGCTGGTGGATGGTTTAATTGCGAAGCTTTCGTCGTCCCCCGCCCCCCCCCCCTTCTAAACAACATCTTCCTTCAGCTGAGGTTTTAGTATAAAATGAACTTATTTCAATTTTCCCTCCATGAATGATATAAATATATCTCCTGGCGACCACTGTCATGACCAGTTGTTAATTTACATGTCTCTATTGATCACATTTTTGTTGACTTGAAATTTTTGACTTTCTTATCATGTGATTTACTTTTCATCAGCTGGTAAATTTGGTCTATAATGATAATGTGTTTGTTACTTTGATTGGACACTAGTAATTAGTATGATGTGTCTAGTCCTAATTTTTTGGTGCAGACTGAATTCTATCAGTCAGTCAGGTTTGTAATGTGGCCATCATGCCACTAAGTAGCTCTCGTCATCACAGTGCACATATTGATTTGATGATATTAGATGGTTGGAGGCAATCGTCCACAGGAGGCCTTGGCTACACCTAGGTTTCGTGCTAGTTGACACTCACCAGTCAGCAAGGTTGCAGATACGCCTTGCTGCCGATTACCTAACAACCATCTAATATCGTCAAATGTATTTGTTAATTGTTGATTTCATTTGAGTACCCGGCTTCTAGGAGTCCCCTGGAATTGCTTTTGGTGTCTCAACTGTTTCAAAACCCAGTAATAATAAGACTGATAAATAGGGAAAGTTGGACATGAGGCTAGCAGTCCCACCCACTGTTACAGAAACTTCAAGTCTCTACCTTGAAGCCCTATGTTCCATTGAGAACATAAAGGAATTTGAAAAAAAAGAATGTGATAGATATCGAGGGATTAGAAACAGTGAATACATTTGCACTACATTGCGCGAACGATATTACACAAATAGTCTCCAGTCATTGGTTCTCTTGAGTCATGAGGATCGCCCACAGTCAGGCAGTCTAAACACCACTCCCCCCCCTACTAAGTGTTGGTGGATCACAAACTTACAAGATTAAGTTCGTCATTATCATATCCTTAAAAAGTAAACCCAGTCTGCAAAAACAAAGACTAATCTTTGATATTTCAACAAACTGATCAATCAATAAGGGTATTATTTAACTCAGTCTGGACTCTCCTCATGACTGATCGGACCGAAGTGATCGATCTCAGGTTGGTGTATATCTACTCCTTATGTAGATGCTCCGATGATGTCTGACTATTTAACTTGAAGTGAATTGGTGGATAGTGACTAACAGTGGAGTCCAGGATGGATGCATTTCGTCCTATTTGGGACTCGTCACTGGATATACCTGCATTTCTCAGGGAGTGATGATGTTCCCACTGAGTCTTGAACCCAGTGACCTTCGTTTCAGACACCTAAGTGTTATCCACTGGACCACTTGGGCGACGAAGAGAGCCACCTATTGTGCAACGGGAAACAGTAATTATTTGATTTAATTCGAACTTTCCCGTTGATTGGATTGGACAGAAACTATGGGTGCTGTGTTCAAGCTACCACTGACTGGGCAATGCAGGTACATCCCATCCAGCTAATGAGTCCAAAGCACAGCGAAATGAGTGTTGCCCTGGATTCCACGACTAGTCACCATTCATTCACCGATTTACTTCAAAATAGAGGCATCATTTTAAAATCCTTTTAAAGCAAAAACAAAAGAAAAACAAACAAAAGGCTTACTCAGTAATTCCATTTGATAATGACGACATATTATCAGCAATCGCTGAAGAATCACCAACAGACTTTGAAATCTTGTTCATCTTTCTTTTGAATTGTGTTTTACTCTTAGAAGATGTAGAATCACTGTATAAGTCATTCGATGTTCCATAAAATAAATTATACGTCTCCTTTATACACATTTTGTCCAGATTGTCTCGGCCATCAACATCATCATGGAGTACTGCTTCTGACAAACACAAAATAATGAGAAGAAATAAAAAGTTAGTGTGTATTTGGTTTCAACTTCTTTTCTAAAAAAAATTAGAGCCAATTCTGAATTGTTGTCAGCATTAGATGATTGGAGGCAATCGGCCATAGGAAGCCTTGATTGGCCTGCCTAAGTTTCGTGCTTGTTGTTGGCACTGACCACTCACAGTCAGCAAGGCGTATACCTGTAATCTTCATGGAACTCATGAGCCTTCTGAGACTCGCACCCGTGTCACCCACTGCTGCAGTCAGAGACAACTTTACCATCACTGAGCTAGCTAGCTTATTTGGGCTCGCCAATTGAGCCTGCAGTAAACAACAAAGGACTACACACATGATACTAGTGTTGGTGTCCAATCCAAGTATCTAATACAATCTTACAGGAGGTCAACTGCAAGATTGAATAGCTCAGTGGTGGTAACGTCTCTAACTGCAGTACTGGATGACACGGGTTCGAATCTCAGAAGGAACGTCAGTTCCATGAAGATTGCAGATACGCCTTGCTGACGAGTACCAACAAGCATGAAACCTAGGTGCAACCAGAGCTTCCTGACAATTGCTTCCAACTATCCAACGAAGTCATTGTGTGTTTGATTTTAATATCTTTTTTTTTTTCAAAAAACGCTACTTCATTATCGTCATAAAAACTGCACAAAAATAATATCACATGATAAAAATTAAACATGTTATATACTACTAACTGATTGATGTGAGTAGTTGAAAACTTAACTCATAAAGTCAGTAATACATGCCAGACAGATCGAAATGGTGTAAACATTGGGAGGATAGTTTCGTCATCAATGACTGATGCAGACAGTTTGGCTCAGCTGTAAGAGCTGAATCACAGTTCAAAACACCTGCATTTCTCCTGGCTATCTACTTGGGAGGAAATGTAGCTCATTAAGTTAAGCGTATACCATTTTCAGTAGCCAATGGGGTCCCGAATTCGAACCCTACTCGGCCTATTTCAATAAGTGTGACTCACAGTTAGAGGATGAGGCGAAAACACGAGAATACACTTTAATATAGAGAAAGCAGGGGTAATGAAGACTTTTTTTGTTCCCTTACGTTCCCAGGGCTTCAAGCTAGAGGCTAGAATTTTCGGTAGCAGTATTGTTTATTTTTTACGGGATGGGGTTGCTAGCATGACTCATGCCCTACCCCCTCCCTCTTAACGAAGTAAATGCGTGCGTCTGTGGCCGGGAATCGGACCCCGGACCAAATGAGGTGTGGTTGGCGAGCATTCTACCGCTGTGCTACTGACGCGCACAGGTAATGAAGATAACAAGCACTAATCACTGTCAACCGAATAACGGAGAAAGAGAGCGCTTCCTTCACATATCCAGGCAGCAGTGTCTCAACTATAGATGGATGACGTGGATAAGGAAGATAAATCCAGGATTGGAAAGGCAAAGCAGACCTTCATCACTCTCAAATCAGTTTAGAAATCTTCTACATTCTACAGCTTGAAGAACAACATTCGGATTTTCAACATCAATGTCAAGTCGGTCACTGCTTCTGTATGGATCAGAAACTTAAAGCAAGCTTGTTACGTAAAGCATTTTGAATAGGTTACTACTAATACAGGCTTTCACCAACAGGTACCTTCAATTTCCAATACTTGAGTTCTAACAACCCAGGTACTTGGGTTGGGATTGTTAATACATAAAATCAATACAACACTTAATAATGAATGCATACATACAATCTTCTGTACTAGTATTTAATTGGTGGATGGTGGCTAGCAGTGGAATCCAGGATGCGGATTTCGTCCTGTTTGGGACTCGTCAGTTGGATGTGTCGTTTGAAACTGCGGGAACTGGGTTCAAGCTTCAGTGGGAACATCATTACTCACTGAGAAATGCGGGTAGATCCACATGACGAGTCCCAAATAGGACGAAATACGCATTATCCTGGATTCCACTGCTAGTTACCATCCACCAATCAACTTCTGATTAAATGCCCAGTCATCGTCGAAGCATCTGCACAATAAGCCGAAATGTCAACCCTGTGGTTTAATGAACAGCTTAAGAAGAAAATATTGATGTCATTTGTTCTACATAGGGTATATAATTTCAAATTCAAGTATTGGTTTGCAAAGGCTTGGTTGGCTACAGGACTGCACCATGAGCTGAAGTCGGTTAGAGAACCAATGGAGAACTTACTGGGAGTATTGGGCATATGTTTCAACCCGTTTTTGGAACACTTATTCGATAGTGAGCACCCACTCCCAGGGTTGGAACACAGGCGAGCGCGTAGATCACTCAGCCAGTGAAATCCGATCCAATGGGCAGTCCGTGAATTTCAATTTCTGCCAATTCATGATATAGCGCAACCACTAGGGAATATCATGGGTGAGTATTCGTCCTCACACCTGACCTGCTGTACACTCACTCAGCGGTCATTATATATATGCTTTGATTGGGCACCTCTAGTCCTTTCTTTCCTGCAGACTGAATTCTATCACAGTCAGGTTTGCGATGCGGCCACCATGCCACCAGGTAGCTCGCCATCACGGTGCACACATTGATTTGATGATATTAGATTGTTGGAGGCAATCGGCCAAGGGAAGCCTTGGCTATACCTAGGTTTTGTGCTAGTTGTCACTCGTCAGCACTGGGTGACGTGGGTTCGAATCTCAGATGAGACATCACTTCCTCCAAGGTTGCAGATACGCCTTGCTGACTGGTGAATGTCAACTAGCACGATACCTAGGTGTAGCCAAGGCTTCCCGTGGCCGATTGCCTCCAACTAACTATCTAATATTGAAGTACGTTATTGTCAGTCATGCTTTCATATAACCATTGTAACTTGAGGTGGCAGTTTGTAGCAGCAGATGAGACAACCTGTTAAATACAATGATGACATCACTTTTTATACTGCCATTCTGGTCTTTCTCTATTTATCAAAACTAAGATTTCATATATATAAACAATAAGCATAAATAGGAGGAAACCGAAGGAAACAACTTCCTTTATTTACCGACACGGGAAGCATCGTTTCGACTACAGGAGTACGGAACTGACGAGGATATCAAAGCAAGGACCGAGAAAGCAAGACAAGCTTTCATTACTCTCTAGTCTGTGTGAATGTCAACAGAACTCAGTATGAAAAACAAGGTTCGGATTAACAACTCCAATTTGAAGTCAGTCAGTACTACTATACGGATCAGAGACTTGGTGCGTCATAAAGACAACCTCAAACAAACTACACACCTTCATCAACAGCTGTCTTCGCTGAATACTCCGCTCAAGCTCAGATGGCCAGCCAGAAAAGATCAACACCAGGAAGGGATCTCTGGCAATGAGCGAACCAACCCAACCTACCAGCAACCGATTGCCCAACAAATAAGTAGGAAGAAATGGAGGTAGGTGGATTGGATTGGCCATACTCTGAGGAAACAAACCATCAAGTGACATCACTAGACAAGCCATCACTCGAGTGGAACCCGAACGGGAAGCGGCGAGTTGGTCGTCAGTGTATGGATGGGGTGACTTGGAGGAGGTGATGTGAAGAGGAAATGAAAACATGTGGGGAGACGTGGGGCCAGGTGAAAACTCTAGCAGAGAACCGAAGGCAATGGAGACGTTTAGCTGAAGTCCTATGTTCCTCTAGGAATTAAAGGAAATAATAATATATATAAACAACACACAAGCACAATGAAACAAAGTTTACCTTTATTCAACTGTTTTAATCTTTTCAATGATGGACTCCTCTTGTGTTGGATAGGCGGTTGTGGTGATGGTGGTGTCGGTGGTACATGCTTGACATCGATTTTAGGAGTTGTTATATCCTGTTTCAAAAAATAATAAGAGTTATGAGCATCCGTGAACACTGATAGCTTAGTAGTCATCATTACATGTTGAATTATGACAGGAATTGCTTCAAACACATGGACAAAATCATAAAATATGCCCAGTATACTTGTGCTTGTATACAATGCATTATGCATATCAGTTGGAATGTATTCACAGAAATAATTTATCATAGATAAATTTAGCGAATAATCTTCAATAATGATGATGTAATCAGTTGGGCATAGATAATAAGCGTCGACACAATAAATTTGTTTCCTAACTTTTGAGTATACTTGGTGTAAAGAAGAAAAGGGAGTTGTAGTGCGAGGTTTTATTGTCAAAGGTAATGTCAGTTGAGAGCACTTTTCATCTAGTAAAGAATTATTCTCCATAGAAGAAGACAGAGACGGAGAAGTTGACAATACACCCCCCGTTGAACATTGTCGTCTTGATCGAGGTCTAGGCGCTTCATTATTACTTTGGAAATCATATAAATTCATGGATGAATGATCTGGTTTCAGATTTGAATATTTCAACTTAACATCGCTATCATAATAATCACCATTATCGATGCCATCATCAATATGTAGTAGTATGTGGTTTCTTTGACTACGTGGCTTACTTGTTGACCTACGTGGAGGATTCATTAACTTTCGAGGAGACAGTGGAGGTTTTAAAGCCCTTCTTGTTGCGATTGTTCGAGGAGTCGGTGTCAGCATCGAAGGGGTATAACAATTTATTGGTTCACTTTTATTCGTCTCAGAATTCGATGGAACACTTTCATCATCTCCCTCACCGTCATCACCATCATCGCCATTAATATCACGATCAGGATCATTCGTTGTATAGAAAATATGATCTAATACACTTTTAGCTCTTTGCATATTTGACAGTTTTGTTGTAGGCAATGAGGAGAATAAGTCAATGTTACTACTACTATTACTATTACTATTAATGTTCCTATTGTCTTTAGTGAATTCATTTACAGGTGACAGACAAGATATCGATGAATCCACACGATGACGTAAACATCTTGGTTTAATAGGTAGATTTAACTTTGAGTTATTATTACGACTATTACTACTATTATTATTACTATCACTCTGTTGTTGTTGTTGTTGTTGTAATTGTTTATAGTGTTGCTTGTGGTGGTGTGGGTGTTCGTGTTCGTGTCTTCCTTGACCTTTGTATTGATCCCGATCATGTACTGAACTCATCATTTCATCATAGGTTAAACCATTATTATTAGTTGCACATAAACAAGAATTAATAATCACTGAATTGTAATTATTGTCATCAAGTTTACTACTATTATCGCTATTAGTCACGTCCTCTTCTTTAAAATCATAAAAATCAATAAATTTGTTTTGTTTTAATCGGTATTTATGCGGGAATTCAAAATATTTCTCTGAGATACACCAATATTTGATATTATTGTACAAAATATTATTATTATTATTATCATGACTGAAATACTTAACTTTCAAATGTTTTCTATTTAACAGACTGTTGTTATAAGAAAATGTGAAATGTTGTATTAGGCTATTTTTAAAATTCTGACGATAATTCACTAAATTAGGTGTTAATAAAATTGTTGGAAAATAAATTTCCACATTGTTTATAGTTGAAATATGCTTAAATTTTGTATAGTCTACATGAAGGTGTCTGTTTCTCCCCTCCTCATTATCTTTTTCAAGTATTACAGTAGGTAAATTGTTCAATGTACAACCGCCATTATTATTATTATTATTCCCGCGCAATTTGAATTCAGATTGTACAGAAGATGAAAATAACCGAGGTTTTCTTAAAAATTCTTTATTATTATTATAATGAAATCGTCTTATAAACATGTAATAACAACGATCTTTGTCATTATTACTGTTATTGGCGGTAGTAGAACTAGAAGTGTCCCGAAGAAATTTAGATTTTTTAACACATTGTAATTTTAGAATAAAATATTTTGATATTTTATCGCCAGACTCATTTTTGTTATCCTCAGTAAAATAATTCTTTTGTGAATTATTGTTCATTGTTCAATGTTATACATATATAAATAGGAAATGAATGTTGAACTGAAGTAATAATAATTCTAAGAGCGTTTAACTGAATTCAAAGGAGTCTTTAGCCACACTTCTATATATATGACGCTTCTCAATCATTCGTTCATATACATATAAATATATGAGTCACGTGGATCAGGTGTTTGATATGTCGACTTTAAATTCTGATCGATAAGAATAAATAATCTATAAAAAGAAGTCATATGTATTATATTATTATTATTTCCTTTAATTCCTAGAGGAACATATGGCTTCAGCCAAACGTCTCCATTGCGTTCGGTTCTCTGCTAGAGTTTTCACCTGAGTCCAGGTTTGCCCACAGGCTTTCATCTCCTCTTCACATCACCTCTTCCAAATCACCCACACACTGACGACCAACTCGCCGCTTCCCGTTCGGGTTCCATTCGAGCAACGGCCTGTCGTGTGATGTCACTTGATGGTTTCCTCAGAGTATGGCCAATCCAATCCACCTACCTCCATTTCTTCCTGCTTATTTGTTGCGCAATCGGTTCCTGCTGGGTTGGGTTGGTTCGCTCATTGCCAGAGATCCTTTCCATGGTGTTGATCTTTTCTGGCTGGCCATCTGATCTTGAGTATTGTATTGTCGCTGACCTTTCTTTTGTCAATTATTTTCCTATTCCTGGTGTTGTTCAGATTGCTCTATTCCTTGATTTCCTGATTTTAAGGGGAGCAACCCACAAGGTCGCTCCTCCGCAAACTGTGTTTTAATGTAACAACTCCCTTCTCAGAAGTGAGGCTAGCAATCCCACCCTGTAAACAAAGTTGCTACAGAAACTTCAGCAAGATGAACATTTTTGCGCCAAGAGAAAAAGTCTTTGTGGGGAAATGGAACGCCCGCACCATATACGAGATTGGCAAAGCTGCCCAGATCGCAAACGAGATGAAAAGATACGGAATTCAAGTACTGGGAACATGTGAAATCAGGTGGAATGGGAATGGACTCACCAAATTGTCGACGGGAGATTCAGTGATCTACTCCGGTCACCCAGAAGACAACCACATGCACACCGAGGGCGTGGCTATCATGATGTAACCAAAGGCGATGAAGGCCCTGATGCAATGGGAGGCGATCTCGCTCAGGATAATGACCGCCAGATTCAACCCCGAAGGAAGGAAAGTGTCAGTTATACAATGCTATGGACCCACGAACTCATGTAATATGACTAAATTGTTATCGGTTAATTTCTTTTTATTATTACTACTATATCTCCTTTGGTTTCGAGTGAAAACACAGGGATTCATTAGTACACACAGAAGGCTCGTTTGGCATAGGCTAAATTATGCTATCTCCGGCTTAGTGGACGAGATATTCGGCTGGTTGTTGATCAAAGCACGTGTATACTGCTCAGTAATTCGCTCTTTCCTACTTTATGGCTGTCACTGAGACATGGCCATTGCAATTGGAAGCCATGAAAAGCTTGGCTAGCCGTCTTTGACCATAGGTGTCTGAGTTCTATCTCCCGGTGTTGAGTGGTATAATAGGGTGAGTAATATTGAGGTTAGGTATCGATCGAGTACTGGGTAAGGAGGAGTGGAAATCAATCGATTGAGATGGCTGGGGTATGTGTTACTCCTGCCTAGCTAGCCATTGCCTTCCTCAATGGGCAATGTTAGTTGGTTGACATAGGATCAAGTTGGAGACGATTTGGCAGTGGTCAAACGAAAGCATGGCTTCATCAGTCGATGAAATCCACAACAGTTAGTTTCAGCCAGCTGCCATGTCGACAGGTATATATTGGCTTCCTGGTTGGGGTCATTGTAATGGTAAACATCAATGGCTGGAGATAACTGGCGACATGGCTGAAACTCCTCTTCAGTAATAGCGCAGATGCATTCACTCTTTGTGATTTACAATATTCAATAAAATTTTATTGCATCTTCCGTATTACTATTCATTTTCCCTCGCACTTCTGTTTATTATCTCTCTTTACTCTCTTCTCTTGCTTTGTGTGTTACATGGATACGTAGTGTGGCAACTCGAACTGGTGAACACCTGCGCAAAAGTTCTACGTTGAAACCAGTGAGTCAGTCAGCTAGTCAATCATCAGTACACCTCTCCACTGCACCTTGTTTTCAGTAATCTTTCTTGACTGACTCTACCTACGATTGTCCATAAACCTTTAATTTCCTCTTCAAAAGTTCTCATCCACATCAACTTCAAACCAACGCCCAACTTATCACCTCCCATTTGGATTTCTCACTGGAGAGTTTGTCATGGTCTGTCTCCACTACGTATATGTCAACAATTCATCTCCATTTACTTTTGCATATATTCCTTAGCTGATGTGTCCGTTGCACTGAAGAGTTCCGAGTTGCTTATTTTCTTTGGTTGACCAACTCCCATGAAATAAATTTAGCGAAATGCTGTAAAGAAGAAGAAGAAGAAGAAGAAGTGAAATGTTGACCTCAGAAATGTCCCCCACCATAAACGACCTGGTACACGTCTGACTGTGGGCAGGCTTCGATCTTTCCCTTTCCTTCGAAATACTCTCATGTCGCTATGCGTTAATAGCCTCTGGTCCTATTCACTGCCTTCATGAAACCAAGGGTGTTTCTTATAAAAGTCAAACGGTGGTGAATATCTGGCGCTTAGAACCGGACTGATGAACCATACTGGTTTACCTAAGAGAGCCGAAAAATCCCGATTCAAGACCTATTGTGCACATCGGCGGCTCCAGAATCCAAAAGGATCGAATGGCGTATAAGCCTGTTTCGGTCACCACCACCAACTACCATGGGAAAACAGCTGCTGACGATGCAGCTCCCCAAGGGATCTGGACATCCATGCAATAACTCCAGCTCTCATACAAACTAGGAGGCTTTGTGTAATGCATCTTTCTTGATACCTAGAATATCTCAAAGAGAAAAATTAACCTATAAAACCTTGATGTGCTGCTGTCAGACTTCCCTATCGCATTGGAAATAACGACTGTATCACCCAAGAGAATAAAAATAGAATTAAAAAAGGTTCTCTCGTAATGAAGAAGCCTTAAATATATATATATACACATAATTGAAAATTCCTACCATGTTCTCGTTTGAGGCTAATTCTTCTTGACATGAATTTCTAGTAGCTTTGTAAAAATTTCCTGCTTCAACAGGTTTAATATTTTCGTTTAAACTATTTCTGCAAAAAAAAATATCAAAATAAATATTGAAAAGGTTGATTAGTAACAGCAATTGCAGTCGCTAAAAATAATCAGTCAAATATCGAAACTTATCTAATACACGTTTAATCACGAGCTGGCACTACTTACAATTAGCGAACCAATACTTGAAAATTAATCTGATGCTCACTAGCGACTGGTTCTATTCAGGCAGTTAACCTGGGGTTCTCTAGTGGGAAGCCGTGACCAGTAGAGTAAATGCAGGTTGAAGGTGAGGCAGTAACTAACTCATCGAAGAAGATATTGCAAAGTGGTCATGCTATATCATAAATTCGCAGAAGTTGGAATCCATGGGCCATTGGGTCGGATGTCCCACAGTGGGCTTAATGGTCTACGAGCTAGCGCTTGCCTTGTAATCACAGGGTCCTGGGTTCGAGCCCCGACGGTGGGTGCCTACTGATGAAGAGTCCTAAACTAGGACAAAACAGACGTCTAGTGCTTCCAGTGATTTTCTGGTGGATGTCACCTCATGATGAAATTCCTTCAACAGGTTGGCAAACTACTGGAAAGCCAGCAGGGAGTACTGGACAGCTGTTTCTTGCTGGTTTGCAACTCTTCAGTAGTACACAACCACCAGGGTTCAACTCTTAATCAAGCCTGTAACCAATCAAGTTCCTGCTAACATTCACTTGATAATTAATATGGTATCCACTAGCAACTGGATCTGTACAGGAGGAAACCTGGAGTTCTAGTGAGAAGTCGTAACCAACAGGGTTCACCAAGACAGGAAAGAAGACAGTTCCTCATTGATGACATCTCTTCTAGAGGTTGTGCTATGTATGTCGCGAATTGATAGAAGTTGGGATTCATAGGCCATTGGATCGGCGTCCAGTGTAACTGGATTTCTGGGGTTCCAACCCCAGTGAATGCGTTCCGATAGACAGTCACAAGCTAGGATGAAAAGGCTATCGGATACTTGCTGATTTCTGTGAATAGTCCTCCAAGTGAAATCATTATGTCATTAAAACTTGAAATCAATCGAATTCCCGTAAACCAACAATTGGACCATAGTTCAATGTTATAATGACGTCATACCCAAGCCATTTCTTTAGATTTCAAGACTCTGAGCACAAAGACTGTGCAATCTACATCACAATGGTTGATATTAATAATAATTCGAAAAATTTAATTCCCCTAAAATGAATCACACTTGAGACATACTGTTTATTGAATAATGAGTTTGGAACTAATGGATATACCATTACAATCGGAATAATGTTATTCGATAACCAATTGTAATTCTATGCACAGTTAGAAATGTGCCACCTGTCTGTCAGTGTGTCTATCTGTTTTCAACATAGAACTTTGCACCAATGTACAGCAGTTCAAGTCACCACACTCCCTCCTTGTAGCACACAAAGTAACAGAAGAAAGTAGAAGAAATGCATAATACAGAGAGCAAACAGAGGTATGAGACAAAATAATAGTAATAACGAAGAACAAAACAGTTTCATTGGAAATCATAAGTCACAAGGAGTGGATGCATCTTCGTCAGCCATTGAGAACGATTTTGAGCCATATCACCGATTGTCTCCAGCCTTCATCGGTTTTTACCGTCTCGAGGACCCCAACCAGTCAGGAAGTCTACACCTTCCTACATGACTGGCTTAAACTAACTGTTGTAGATTTCATTGACTGGTGAAGCCATGTTTTGGTTTGACCACCGCTAGCTCCTTTCCAACCTGACCCAATGTCAGCTAACATTGCCCGTCGAGCAGGGCGACCGATGACTAGGCTAGCATACGTAACACATATCCTAACCATCTCAGTCGATGCACCTGCTTCACAGCCTCATCGACTGATTTCCCCTCCTCCTTACCTAGCACTTGACCGATACCTAACCTCAGTATTGCTTACCCTACTATATCACTTCACACGGAAGATAGAATACAGGCACCTATGATCAAAGATAGCGAGCCTTTTCATGTCTTCCATTTTCAGTGGTCAGGGTCTTACAGTCATAAAGGAGGACGGATCGGACTGCTGAGCAGCACACACGCCCTTTAGTCGATAGTCGGATATCACGTCTACTAAGCCGGAGACGGCATAAACTGGCATATACGAAACGAGCCTTCTTTATCTGTGTTGAGATTTCGTCAGAGATCAACTCGCTGACGTTGGCTGATGCAACTTAACCCTAAATAAGTGAAGTGGTCAACACACTGCATCAACCACTTCACTCTCTATTCCTAAGCTAGGAGTCAATGTATTCCAGTAAATGTGCCACCACGCCTATTTACCATTGTGTGTTAGTTAGTGACACTGTGGTGAGAAATGGCTGCTAGCCAAATTGGTAGACAGTATTTTACGTCTATGTTTACGTCTTCAATATGGGTCGTGAGAAAAATATGAACAAAGACTGATTCAACAATCAACCACAGCAGACTTTGCGTAGGCGGATACAGTCAACATATAGATGATCTGACATTTAAGAAAAAGCCACAAAGAGATGTAAGATTAACTTGCAGCGATAACCAATCAGAAGACAGTGTTTTTCTGTTAACAATTATCTATAATAATGTACATGAAAATCTATAAATATGTGGTAATTTCTTTAGTAAAGGATTTGTTGCCTGACTCTTGCCTTCTGTCGTTACAACAAACACTATTACCGATGATCATATTCCTGATTATGGTAGGCTGAATAAGGTGGAAGGCCGTGGAGGACGAGAAAACAGAAACACCTTAGGTCAACAACAACAACAACAAGACTCTAGAAGATTTGGATATCGTGGAGACAATTAGTGTCTAAATGTCACACAAACTCGAAAACCTGAAGGCGGAGACTAACACAAGTTGATAGAAGAGGCAGGTAGGCAGAAAAGAAAGGAAAGATTTTAAGTGGACACTTATCTAGGAAGCATCATTTCAACCAAGCCTTCATTACTCTCAACGCTCAGTATAAGGAATAAACTATTCGGGTCTTCTATCGAATCGGTGCTTCTCTATGGTTCAGAGAGGTTTGACATGCGCATCCCTAAAAATATTTCCAAAAGATTGCATACTATTCTCAACAGCTGTTTTAGCTAACTAGATGACGAATACCAGATGGCTGGCGAGAAAGGATTAAAAATAAGGAATTTTGTTAACGAACTAACCAACCAACAAACAACCCATCGCTGAACAAATACGCAGAAAGGTGATCGTTGAGACAGCGAAATAAAGACATACCTCTAACGCCCCAAATTCCACTCGGAACCCAAAAGAATAATAATAATAGTAACAATAACAGTGATATATTACAAAGTGAAAAAAAGTTAAAATTCTAGGGTCATTCAACCATCCAACCTGATGGTTAAACCAATAGTCAACTACTGGCTTCCCTTCCTAACCATCCCACAAGGATTCGGATCTGTGATCTTTAGGTTACGAGAACAAGATTGTTGACCATTCAGTGCTTGTTGAGGGCAGTACTATATCACGAATTGACAAAGCCAGAATTCAAGTGTTGGTTTGTAGGGATTTGATTGGTTACACGATTTCATCATGAGCTGGCATTAGTTAGAGAACCACTGCAAAACCCACCTGGGAGTAGTGGACAGCTGTTTCGTCCTAGTTCGTGACTCTTCACCAGTACGCACCCATGCATTACGAGGGTCCCAACCAAGAGACCTTCTGGTTACAAGGCTAGCGATCCCGTAGACCATTAAGCCACTGGGACCCGATCCATTAACCCACGAATTCTAACTTCTGCCAATTCACGACATACCGTGACCCCTAACCAATGTCTTCGCCGAGTATTTATCCTTACACCCGACCTACTGCACCCTACTGGTCACGACTTCTCACTAGAACCCCAGGTAACTACCCACCTGAATAGGGTGAGTCGTGACCAGTAGGGCGCAGCAGGTCGGGTGTGAGGACAAATACTAGGACGAAACAGCTGTCCAGTACTCCCAGGTGGGTTTTCCAATGGTTCTCTAACTAATGTCAGCTTATGATGAAATCCTGTATAGTCAGAATTCACTGAGTCGTTGAATTCTAGCCCAAATCGTTGAATGGTCAAAGATGTTGGTCTAGTGACGCTAAAAGTCCCGGATTCGATACCTGGTAAGGTTGTGGGTGTGCACTGTGCTGAAGTCCCAAAACTAAGACGAAATAGTTATCTAATCCCAAGGACTTTCCGAGGATTGCCTAAACGGGTGTCCATTGACTGATATGTGAACATAACAAGGTGTCTAGACAACCTTAATGTGTTGACTTTGCAAAAAAAAGGTATAACCGGAAAAAGAACCAATAATTAACGTACACATAATCGTGTTGAATACATTCCTGGATTTGTTTCAGTGAAGTGAATAAATGCTGAAGTTGATGTAGGATTGAAATTTTCTCCTTATTCCTAATGTGAATAATCTCCTTGTTATCCCAGTTGCATTCACAGAATTCCACAAGTTGATTGTAAACACGAATGGCGTGTTTCAATTGAAAGCGAACCTGTTACAAAAGTTTTTATTAAAACAAATTAGAAAACAAAGAATTATAAATGAATAAATGAAAATATAAGCTAACTAGTAAATCTTCACATTAAGTCATACAGAAGGAAAAGACGTTTAGCGAAGAGTTACTCTTTCTATTCAACAATATCATTCATTGTCAAGCTGTACAAAGCTAATCATCCACTCCTACTGGCCTCATCAGTGTATATCTATCAATTCACCTACTTCTGTGGAGCTCTGGGTATGTCGGCCGTACTCAGAGTCTGCTATCCATTATTATTATTATTATTATTTCCTTTAATTCCTAGAGGAACATAGGGATTCAGCTGCGCGTCTCCATTGCCTTCTGTTTTCTGCCAACTTTTTCACTCCGCTCCAAGTCTACCCACATGCTATCATCTCCTCCAAGTCACCCCACCCAAACACTGACGACCAACTCGCCTCTTCCCATTCAGTCGGGTTCCACTCGAGCACTGGCTTGTCTAGTGATGTCACTTGATGATTTGTTTCCTCAGAGTATGGCCAGCCAATCCACCTACCTCCATTTCTTCCTGCCTATTTGTTGCACAATCGGTTCCTTCTGGCTTGGTTCGCTCATCGCCAGAGATCCCTGTTGGTGGTCTTTTCTGGCTGGCCATCTGATCTTGAGTATTGATCGAAGACAGCTGTTGGCGAAGGTGTGTAGTTTGTTTGAGGTGCTCTTCATGACTCACTGGCCAAGTCTCTGATCCGTGGAGTAAACAGCACTGACTTACATTGGAGTTGAAAATCCGGATCTCATTTTTGATGTTGAGTTCTCTTGACCTCCACACAGACTAGGGAGTAATGAAAGCCTACCTTGCTTTCTCGGTCCTTGCTTTGATATCCTCATCAGTTCCGTACGCCTGTAGTTGAAACGATGGTTCCCAGGTAGGTAGCTAAAAGAGGTTGTTTCTTTCAGGTTCCTCCCATTTATGCTGGCTGATTGTTGTCTGTTGCTGTCGCTGTGGCTGTTGGTGTTGACCAGGAATCTTCATCACCTAACTCTGTTTTCTCTATGTTCACCTGAAGTGAAGTCCTAACTTTGATGTTTCTTCCTCTGTCAACTTGTTGCTTTTCACTGGCATATCTTCCAGTTTGTGAGAAATCAGACGCATATCATCGGCGAAGTTCAGATCCTCTAAGATTTTGTGTGGGTCCATTTTATGCTTGTTTCCCCACTGCCCGCCGCTGTCTGTCGCATTATTCAATCTACCACAATCAGAAAAATCATTAGAGATAGTAGGCAGCCAACCAGCCTTGTCTTACTCCCGTCTTTACTTCGAAGGATCCCGTAAGTTTCCCGTTGTGGATTACTTGGCATGCAGCATTTTCGTACAACTTTTGGATGAGATGTATAATTGTTGGTGTTGGAACAGACAAACTTCCTTATTGGTTGTGATGTCGTGATCTATTCATTCATTGACATGATGGCCTTATTGGATAGTTGTGACTAGTTTATTCATAGCTCAGATTTCTGAGGGTTTGTAAACATAAAGTTCCATGTATTTTATTTAATACAGGTTCGTGTCGTTCACAGGTCGTCAATTTTACCAAGTCTGACGTTTGTATCTATTTCAGTGTAAGAGATAGAGTTCAAGTGATTAGTTGGATGTAGCGCTCGATGTTCTGGAGGTGGGTTCTAGTCAAGTCACCGATGAATCCACTTCATTCAAAAAATTACATTGTGCTGGCTTTCAACAGTTGTATTATCTGAAACGTCATCGTTGTCGGTGAGCTCAACCTCAACGGGCCGGAAATGCCTGTTTGCCGACTAGACCACCACCATGATGACGCTAAAGTCTACAAGTGCTGAAGAACTCGCCCTTCGCATTAAATTAATTAACGTCATAAACATTCATAAATTATCATTATTATTTCGAGAATTAACCACCCAACTTACCTGATTCCTATTAAATTCATTTTGAACAGTATTTGAATATTTCCAGGACTCATGATCGTTGGTCATAACAGTTTTAAAGCGCTTTATTTGTTCATTTAAATTCTTAACATTTTTCGTGATTAGCATAAAAATGTTTCCTTCTTCATCGTCTAATTGTTTATTTTGTTGACAGCTTTGTTTAATGTATACTTTTAAATAATTCAGTAGTATGTGCACGAATTCTAGTTGTAAGAATTGATTATTATTATTACGCCATCTTAAGGAAGGCTCATTTTCAATATGATGTGAAGTAATATTTTCATATTCTTCATGACATGATTTCAGCATGGCTTCAACTTTATTTAATTGATTGATTAAGAGCTGTAAAACAAGAGAAGGTTAAACACAACAGATTTACAATAATAATAGTAATAATAATAATAATAATTTGCATGGAGGATTTCGTCGTGAGCTGACATCAGTTAGAGAACCACTGGGAAACAGCTGCGACTGGCCCTATTCAGGCAGTTAACCTGGGGTTCTAGTGAGAAGCCGTGACCAGTAGGGTACAGCAGGTTGAAGATGAGGCAGTAACTCATCGAAGAAGACACTGCGAAGTGGTAGCGCCATGTCGTGAAGGACCATTGGATCGTGTCCCAGTGGCTCAGTGGTCTACGAGCTCGGTGGCCTTGTAACCAGAAGGTCCTGGGTTCGAGCTCTGATGGTGGGTGCGTACCACTGAAGATTCCCAAGCACTAGGACGAAACAGCTGTCCAGTACTCCCAGGTGGGTTTTCCAGTGGTTCTCTAACTGATGTCAGCTCATGATGAAATCCTCAATGCAATCAAACAAAAATCCCAACAAAACCAACACTTGAAAATAATAGTTTGCTTTATTCTGAAACAAAACTTTGATTGGACACCAATCAGCAACTAGATGTGATGTATCTAGTCCTTGCCGCTGGTGCAGACTGAATTCTATCAGTCAATCAAGTTTGCAATATGGCCATCATGCTACTAGGTAGCTCGTCATCATGGTACGGTTATAATACAGCGTCAAAACTCCCAGCATTTGGTACAATATATCGTTGCATCTAATTTACTCGACAACAGTAAAATAAGAAACAGTAATACAGGGTATATGTAACGAGAACGCGGGTGGACCGAATAGGGTATCGTTGAGTTTTTGTACTTGGTTTTGCTAGCGAGTATATAATCTTTTACAATGACTTCTAGTTCTCCTACCTGATGAAATTCAAGTGGGGAGAGTTGTAAATATAGAGGATGTTGAAAGAGTCAGACAATATGGATTCAGACCACTTCTCATATGAGTGTTCAGGTGCCTATCAACAACAGTAGTAGAGGAAGTACACGACTTGCCCTACTGACAACCTTCAATACGCTGCACAATATGAAATAGTCAGCTAATGGTCCAAGGAAAAAGGTCTCACCTTACACCCTTCCAAATCCCAAACAGTTAATTTCACCTTTAGGCACAAATCTGACCTAAACAAACTGGTTAACACTCACGAGGTGTGGAACATTGATGGCACTGAAATAGAAACCAAGTCGGAAATTAAATATCTTGGCGTCATTCTATCTGCTGATCCTTCCTACTCATCTCATATCTTGATGATTTCTAAGAAAATATTCCGTCTTACCGTTTACATCAAGAAGTTAAGACATTCTGGAATAACCCAACCCAACCCTTACTCCTACAATTCGTTAACTCTCGCATCTTGCCTATTATTCTCTATTGTTCCCCCTTAGTTTTTCCAGGGCTGGCTACTGAAGAAAGACTATACCTTATTACGCAGGATGTTAAAGGTTGTCAGCAGGGTAAGCCACAGGGTGCCACTTAACCAGATTGTTAATATTCTGGTTGACAGGCGCGTGGACTCATGTGAAAAATGGGCTAAATCCATTCTATCTGACTCACACCACCCTCTTTATTTATAACTCTCCCCTTGTATGTCATCAAGCAGAACCAGGAGCCTATATAGAAAACGATATGCTCGCATTAGCAAGTACAAAAGCTCAACCATACCCTAGCTACTTAGCTCGTGTTCTGTGCGATAAAGAAGGCATTGGGCGTGAAACCTTTAACTTATTAAATAGTCAGTAGAACAACTGGATGTCGTCTTTCCAACTCATATCATTTATAGGTACAACGTTTTTCTTTCTTTCTTTTCCTTTTCTCCCTCTCTTTTTTCTGTTATGTGCTGCTTTGTTTCTTTCTTCCGCTTACGCCAGTAAATATGCAAGCATCCACTTTTCTAACACCTTCAAACACTCTGTTCAATTTTGGCTTTGCTACCGACATGCCAATATGTTGTTGTCGAAACTAACTGAGATTACCCTTAATCTATGCAGAATATTATTTATTGTTAATGTACTCACTGGATGCAATACTGTAGTAAAATGCTGAGAATTCCATTCTGTATTCGCAAATACTGTTTTGGAATAAAGCTTATTATTATAATTATTTTTGAGGAGCCCAGGAAAGACTATGGAGGAGCAATAAAGGACAATGAGTAAGAGATGCTACAGTTAACAAATTGTGAAGGTAGAGGTTGAGTGATGCCTACCTGATCCTCTTAACGTTTTAATGTAGTGGGTTGGATGAAATCTTTTCTTAGAAATCGACAAGATAAGGAATGACCAGGAAAGGTCAGAGGATAGAACCATTCCAAGGTATTTTATGCTTGACTTAGTTTCTATTTCAGTGCCATCTGTGTGTCTCTCTGTTTTCAACAGAGAACTTTGCACCAATGTACAGCAGTTCAAGTAGCCACACTCCCTCCATGTAGCACACAAAGCAACAAAAGAAAGTAGAAGAAATGCAAAATAGAGACAGTAGACAGGGATATGAGATAAGAGGAATAGTAATAGCGAAGAACAATATAGTTTCATTGGGAGTTGACGCGTCTGTGCCAGCCATTGAGAATGATTTTGAGCAATATCACTGATTGCCTCAAGCCTTCACTGGGGTTCACTCCCCACCCGAGGACCCAAACCAGTCAGGAAGTTTACACCTTTCTACGTGACTGGCTTAAACTAACTGTTGTAGATTTCATTGACTGGTGCCTTCAGTGCCATCTATGCTCTATAAGCATCTTATGGGCGGAGAGTACAGAGATCCACAAAGCATCTGCCAGTGACTAGTATTACAACTATTCACTCCTTATGTAGGACTTCTCTCAGATGACTCGATAGCTGCCTACCAAATTCTCATTTCCTCTTCACAATGGTCACCTCCACCATATCACTATCAGACGCCTGACCGGGCACTTCCCATCTAGGTTCCACTTGAGAGAGCCAGCCAATCTAATGTGTAATATCACTTTAAGGTACAATATGACCATAGTAAACGCAAACTATTATGTGTGTGTGTACAACAAATATATATCAGTTACATAACTAATAAGTATTACTACTATACCCAAATCTAAAAAGCATTGAAATCCCTGGGGGTGGGTGAGGGGGTGTGGGAATGTCAAACAAACAATTAATAAAATGTTAGCCTCCTTGTTGACTTGGGGTCCAGCTCTCTCGAACACTATTGATAGATTGCACAACTGAAAATAGAACTAAGTCCGGATGAAGCAATTCTTCTGTGATCCTTGTTTTTATTATTTGTTTCAAAGCACACACTTGCTACATATTATGGGCACCAAGAGATGTGCCATACAAACATAAAAGAAAGACAGTATATAAAGAAAATAGGGGTAGAATGAATGACGGACATCATCTAGAAAAAGAACAAGTATACTTGTCAAGATCATTCAACACTCATCACACTTCATGTTACTTTCAGAAAGGTAAGAAAGAAGGAGAATATGGCGTACTCGTCATTGATTGCGATTCTTGGACACATTTGTGATAACGTTAAGGCTAACCTAATACAAGTACCCTTCATCCCGCGGCACCACGTCATAGGTTGACCACCTATCCACATTTTCCCATCCATTCCCATGGCCAGTGAACAGAAACCGGTACGTAAGCCTCTGCGGTGGCGTTCACCTCAAATCTCCAAGGCACCGAAGCTGGAATATGACCTCCACCGTGACCGAGTACACACTGCCGAACCTGATAATTATTTACACGATGATGCTATTGGATGCAAGCGATTCTACAGAAACAGTGATGATCAAAATACTTAGAGTCACTGCACATCCTTATCTCGGAGTGGCCAGGTTTCACAGGCGACGGGTAAAGCAGTGCGCACCAAAATCACTGTAAACCCGACCTCTGACAGCCAGGTTGACATCATGTCGGCGCCAAAGGTGGCTCGAATAGGTTTTTGCCAACCTAGCTTTCAGTGTACGGTTACAGATCTCATCCCTCACACCTATACCACCACTCACACAACTAGCTACCTAGATACGCGAAGTTGTCCACAACTTCAAGCAGTTCACCTAGGTGAGTGGAGATACAGTCTTCTGTCAATCTTGCAAGTGTGCTTTGCACCTGGACGACGCAAAGTACATAATATACTTACAGACACTGATCGCCAACTGACTAAGTGCAATGTGGGCAGCTTGCATGCTATCGCACAGTAAGACAATATCGTCAGCATAGTCGAGGCCGGATCTACACTACCACAACCACCAAGCACGTCTTTCTCAGCTGACTCTAGAATGCCATCGGTGGCGAAGTTACAGACTAACAGAGAGAGAGAGAGAGAGATTAGGCAACCTCTCCTTCAGAAGACGAGATTATTTAGATCCCAATAAATGATCTGAGGGGAATGCACAAAGCTACATACTACTGACTGATTGAGATGAGTAGGCAGTAGTATAACACTCACATCATCAACCAGTAGTGCTTGTTAGCTAACCAGCCAACCAACCAGATAAAACCAACCTAAACAGCAGGCAACCGTTTCGCTGAGCTAACTCAAACCGGCTCTCCAAACGAAGGACACAGTCGTCAAACGGTGTGTGGACCACTTCAATTCTGGCTGGCTAGCAAAGCAAGCACTAATACTGGTTAGTATGAATGGTGTACAATCACTACTCATCTCAATCAATTGATCAGTAGCAATACAGTTTTATTCATAGTTTGTTTTACTGCAATTTTCTATATATATCTTTATCCGGGACAGGTGTTGTGCCATTCCGATTGCATAGATCAGGTGATTGAACATCTCTCTCTCCCTCCTTCTCCACCAATTCATATTACTTTTACCTTAGAAATAACATAAAACGAGATTTGAATATCCTATGGATCAAAAACTTACTTCTTGATTGAGGTGAATTTCTTCCATTGAACATTGAATGACGTCTTGTTTAAATTGAATTGCCCACATTGAAATACCTTGTGCACGACGCATTAAGTTATTTAAACAATTTTCATATTGTTTATAAATCAATACATTATGGTTTTGTTTAAGCAGACTATTTTTAAGGCGTTTCATTAATTGATTTAATACAGCATCACTGGACAATAATTTCTGTTTAAATGGATTTTTATGACATATAGTACAGTGTAGTTGATAGTCTGATAGCATAGTTACATCGGTTAGGATATTATTATGATTATTATCCTCAGTATTCATGTCAGCATCATGAGTAGAATCCATTACAGCATTCACTTGATCCTCGTTCCTAAAACCATGATCATCATCGTTATTATTTGTGTCGAGAAGGAATAAACTGTTCACTGAAGCTTGTTGACGTTTTAATTCATTTTCAAATGTTTGATAAATGGATTCTATTGGAGATTGATGAATATCTGTAACAATTAAAGTAATTAATTCTGTTAGTTGGTTGTTTATCTAGTGAAACAACAATAATAATAATAATATACAGTAGTCAGCTATACAGTCAAACACTTCAGTTTATTGACAGTCCCCTTAAGCTCCGAGTGGAACATCTGGCTACGACATAACACATCTCCTATGGTTCGTTTATAGGTATTAGTTTTGTTTTTACGAGTTGATCACGGACTGATATCAGTTAGAGAACCATTGAAAACCATAAGTGGAGTACTGGACAACCAGCTGCTTCAGCCTAGTTTGGGAATCATTGGCAGTATGCACCCACCGCCAGGGTTCGAACCCAGGACCTTCCGGTTACAGGGACAGCAAGCTCGTATACCATTCAGCCAGTGGGAACCGATTCAGTGGCCAGTCCATGAATTCTAACTTCTATTATTTCGTGATTTAGCGCGGCTGGCATCAACCAATGTCGTCGGTGGGACATCCATCCACACACGTGATATCTGAATGGACCTCACTGGTCACGACTTCTCACTAGAACTGACTCCAGGAAACTTCGTCTTGTAGCAAGTTACTAGTGAGCATCAGAATAATTTTCAAGAGTTTGTGTGTAAGGATTTGGTTTGTTTTCCGAGTTTGACCACGGAAGGTCCTGGGTTCGAATCCCGGTGGTAGGTGCCTACTGCCAATGATTCACAAACCTAGGATGAAAGATGAAACAAACATTTGTCCAGTACTCCAGTGCTGGTTCTCAATTGTTCTCTAACTGATATCAATCCGTTGTGGTGAGAGCAGGCTGCTAGCCGATTGGTTGGCACTAATCTACGTTAATGTCTAGGTCACTAATATGGGCCGTGAGAAAATATGAACAAGGCTGAGTCAACAACCAATCACAGCAAAGTTAACGTGGCAAAATATGATTCGCAGATAGAGAACTCTATTTGTCAAGGAATCCCGAAACAACCAATCAGAAGCCTGCGTTTGTCTGCCTAACTTCTGATAAACAACCAATCAGATGACTGCGCTTGTCTATAATAATGTAGTTGAAATATGTATAAATACGTGTTGATTTTCATAATAAAACGATCTGTTGCCTCGCCCTTGTCTTCTGTTGTTACATTTGGTGTCGCTGCCTCCAAAAAATGAAGATCCCGTGGCCAGCTGCGTTTGAAGAAGGAGACATACGGAGCTTCTTACGTGACTTCGAGGCCGTTGCTGAGCTGGTGGGTGTCAAGGAGCAGGCGGCGAAGGCAGTTGTCTGGGGACGCTGTTGAGAGGCCGAGCGAAGGCTGCATATGACAGCGTAGACAGGTCAAATGGCACAGCGTCTTGGAAGAAATTGGTTGAACGACTAGTGTCCGAGTTTGACAGCGAAACAGACAGACAGCTAGCAATGCAGCAGTTCCGGTCAATGAAGCTTGGACCTGATGGAGACCCGCTAGTGTTGGCGGTGAAACTGACTAATCTACTTCGACGCGCGCTTCCCACTTTAGATGAAGAATCAGAAGCGCAGTTACTGTCTTCCCAATTCATCGAGAGTGTCCCAGACCACATTTCTCAGCGATTACAACTGGTTAACGCAACGCAGCCGATGGATATTAGTGAGCTGGCGAAGGTGACCAGACAGCTGCTGAGCACAACGGTAGCCGCTATAGACCAACCAAAACCAAACGAATATGAGCAGAAAATTGAAGCATTGCAGCGGGAAGTGGCGGCGTTAAAGTTGGCTGATAGAAAAGACCGGTGTTTTGAATGCGGTAAGCCGGGACACTGGAGAAGATACTGCCCAGAAAGGCGAAAAAGAAAAAATTTCAGACGGTATAATGCTTGTTCTTTCTTTCGTATGAACCTAGATTTAGTGGGGGCTATTGAGAAAGGGCTCTGTATTCGAAGTTGCGAGTGAATGATCGAGAAGTAGTATGTTTGATAGATACAGGGGCGGCCGTGTCGTTAATAGATAAGAATTTATGTAAGAGTGTTAGCCCGTGTTCATTGACAGTACAAACAGTAGGCGGGTATGTGTTGCGTATCACGGGTAGATCGAACTGTACGGTCGTTGTTGGTGGCTGCGAGGTGACGTTTCCTTTCATTGTTGTACCCGAACTACAGCGAACGATATTAGGAGCGGATTTTCTGCGTGAGATTGGTGCCATAATCGACACGCAAGCGAACGTGGTGGTCACGAAATACGGGCATATCAACATGTATGAGACCAGCGAGATAGCAGCGATTAAGCTGCCGACGGTACACAATGTGACAGAGTTAATTAGTAAATACGATCATCTGTTCACTGGAGATGGCGACCCATACGGTTATTGCGATAAGGTGAATCATGAAATTCCGTTAAGTGATCCGAAAGTAAGGTCATTTACAACGCGAAGAGTTCCATGTCATCTGGAAGGCGAAGTGGAGCGACAAGTGCAAGAGATGTTAAAAGATGACATTATTGAGGAAGCTGATAGCCCGTACAACTCTCCAGTGCTGTTAGTAAAAAAAGCGAATGGGAAGTATAGATTCTGTGTTGATTTTCGACAGTTAAACAGTATGACAGAGTTAAGACCGTGTGCCATGCCAACAGTGGTAGAAACTTTAGATCGCCTACAAGGTGCGAATGTGTTTTCGGTTCTCGATCTTCGCTCAGGATACTGGCAGATACCGATAAAACAAGGTGATAGAGATAAGACGGCTTTCATCGTGGGTCAGACACAATATCGATTTAAACGCATGCCGTTTGGACTAGCAGGTGCACCGTTTACGTTCAGACGACTGATGAAGCTATTACTTAGGAACTTGAAAAACGTGGAGGTTTATGGTGATGATCTCGTCATATACAGTCAAAACGAAAACGATCACGTCAACCATGTAGAAGCCGTGCTGCGACGCATCGAAGAGTTTGGACTACGCGTCAACAAAACCAAGTCCCAGATAGCCAAAAAGAATGTTACTCTGTTGGGACATAAAGTGGGAAATGGTGAGATTAAACCACTGCCGGAGAAAATTTTGACGATTAAAACGATTCCAGCCCCGAATTCAAAGAGAAAACTGAGACAATTCTTGGGTAGAGCAGCGTTTTATAGCCGCTTCGTGAAGAACTTCAATGAGATAGCAGCCCCTCTATACAGGCTACTAGGTGAGCCAAAGTTTGTTTGGTCGGAAGAATCGCAGAGGACATTCGACAGAATTAAACAGCTGCTCGACCACCAACAAATGACGCTAAAACTACCTGTGCCAGGAAGACAGTTCACAGTGTGCACAGATGCCAGTGACTACGCTATAGGTGCGGTCCTAAGACAGGACGAGGGAATCGTTGAGTATGCCAGTAGGGTTTTGACACTACAGAGAGAAAGTATTCAACGATAGAGAAAGAATGTTTAGCAATGGTATGGGCAGTCGACAAATGGAGACCTTATTTACTCGGCCGGCGGTTCCACATCGAAACTGATCATAAGCCGCTACAATTTTTGAAGACAGCGAGAGACCCACGGGGGAAGTTGTCACGGTGGATGTTGCGTCTTCAGGAGTACGATTTTACGATCTCACACGTTCCTGGAAGTGAAAATGTCTTGGCAGATTTGTTATCGAGACCAGAAGATGAGTCTGAGTTGCCCGAGGTCGCTTACGGAGTGCATGCAGTAGAACAAGACCCACTAAGACTTGCACGTAGGCAGAGGTTGGACGATACGCTGAATACAGTAATACAGGTGATCACCAACGGAATAGAAGTGGATCAAACTACGGCGAGTAAGGAGCTAACCACACTACTCAGACAGAGGGATCGACTCAGAGTGAATGCCTACGGGACTCTGACCTGGCGAGAGAACGACGGAAGCTGGCTGGCTGTCATACCTCAATCGTCGCGCCACGACATGATAGAAGAATGTCACCAGCTAGCGCATACAGGCGTGGCCAGAACGACCGACCTCCTAAGACAAAGTATGTACTGGCCAGGTATGAGAGAAGACGTAGCAAGATACGTACTTGGATGTCCACGGTGCCAGCTGATGAAAGGTGACCGGTGTATACGACCACCACTTCAGTCGATTCCAGTTACCGCGATAGGTGACTTGTGGTCCGTAGATGTCATGGGTCCATTTCCTCAGACATCCAATGGTAATCAGTACCTCTTGGTGATGACGGAACACGCGACACGATGGGTAGACGCCGTAGCAATCCCAGACCAACGTGCAAGAACCGTGACAGATGCAGTAGTTAGACACATTGTTGCAGACCACGGCGTACCGAAGACAATACTGACAGACCAAGGTCCCTGTTTCGAGAGTGAAGAGTTTACTTCCCGTTTGCAACAGCTGGGCATCAAGAGGATCAGAACGACCCCATACCATCCACAAACGAATGGCCTAACGGAGAGAAACAACCGTACACTGAAGGAGTGGCTGGCCTCGAAGGGCGGGAACTGGGAAACGGAGCTTCCACTGATTTTACTAACACATCGGGCTACCACTCAGGAAACAACGAAGAAGTCACCCTTCCAACTGATGTATGGTAGAAAACCACGATTACCGGTACACAATGAGACCTGGCCCATGCACCAAAAGTGGAGTACGACGAAATTAAAAGCAGAGAGGAAAGAGGCAGTCAAGAATGTAATACGGAAGCAGCGCAGTGATGTCACGAAGTCTCAGATGAAAGAAAGGACGCAGTGCATTACCTTTGCAGTCGGGGACCAAGTGAAGTGTAGAGACAGGAGATATACAGTTGGAGGCGGGCTAGGTTCACGGAAACTCCTTCCAAAGTGGGAAGGACCATACACAATCACAAAAAGACGGGGTCAAGTATATACCATCCGAAGAGGTGATAAACAGAAACGAGTTAACGCCAGTCAGCTCCAAAGATGGGTACAGTGGGACAAGCCGGTCAGTAACAATCCTCAACTAGAGGATGTAGCACCCAGAAGGTCGGAACGTCTGCGCACGAAGCTATTTGACGGGGGGACGAGTGTGGTGAGAGCAGGCTGCTAGCCGATTGGTTGGCACTAATCTACGTTAAGGTCTAGGTCACTAATATGGGCCGTGAGAAAATATGAACAAGGCTGAGTCAACAACCAATCACAGCAAAGTTAACGTGGCAAAATATGATTCGCAGATAGAGAACTCTATTTGTCAAGGAATCCCGAAACAACCAATCAGAAGCCTGCGTTTGTCTGCCTAACTTCTGATAAACAACCAATCAGATGACTGCGCTTGTCTATAATAATGTAGTTGAAATATGTATAAATACGTGTTGATTTTCATAATAAAACGATCTGTTGCCTGGCCCTTGTCTTCTGTTGTTACACCGTGATCAACTCGTAAAACATAACACATCTCCATTTCACCCTGTTCTCTCCAATTCTGGATGGCAGGCTGACTGAATCCACATTTGCCCGTAAATCTTTATTTCTTCTTCTTCACACGATCTGTTCCATGTCACCCTCTGACGAACATCGTTTCCTACTCACCTTCGACTCGAGCGTTGGCCTGGCTTAACTGACTGATTTCATCACAGATGTGCACCAGTTCAAGCTGCCATACTTCACTTAGCACATAGAGCAAGAGAATAGAGTGAAAATCGATTCAAAACTGAGATAACAAACAGAAATGTGAGACGAAAAGAATAGTAATATGGAAGCACAATAGAACTCTATTGGATAGGATGAATCCCAAAGGGTGGATGCATCTGCGCTTTCATTGGTTTTTACCATCCTGAAGACGCCAACCAATCAGGAAGTTAACACCTCCCTACATGGTTGGTTAGCTTAAACTAGGTGGTATGGATTTCAATGACTGCTAAAGCCATGTTTTGGTTTCACCATCACTGGCTGTTTTCCAACCTGATCCAATGTCAGCTAACATTGACCGTTTTCGAGGAAGGCTTGGAAAGTGATGTCATTCAACAACAGTCCTCTCAGGGTGTTTCGAATCCATCTCCATTTTCTTTCACACATTTGTCGGATAACAGGTTCCTGGCTGATTCATCACCAGAGTTCCTTCTTAGTTTCCTCTTCTGGCCAGCTGCCGCCAATCTAATATTCAGTTGTTCATAAAAGACTGAAGAGCGTTCTGATGACACGCGTGCCAAGGTCTCTGAATCACACATAGAAGCAGTGACTAACTTGACATTGGCCTTGAAAATCTGGATATTTTTGTTTACGGTGAGTGTGCGATAGATTTCCACATTGATTTCAGATTAAAGAAGGTCTGTCTTGGCTTTCTCATACTCACTGACTTTGAAATCCTCATCCTTGACGGCTGTAGTTGAAAGGATGCTGCCTAAAGAGGTGACTTCTTACAAATCCCCCTCCCTCCCGTTGATAGTGACTAGTACCTCTTCCTGTTTTTATTGGCAGGTAGAGTGTATTCGTCACTCTTTTCTTCACTTAAAGTCCTGTCTTTGCTGTCTGGCTACCTGCCTCTTCCGACAACGTGTTAGTTTAGATATGATAGAGAAGATTTGTAGCTCAGGTGGATGATTTTCACATGTGGTTGTGTTCTCTGAGCTGGATAGTTAATTTGCGAAGCTTTCATCACCCTACTGGGTGACATCTTCAGTGCATACTTCAATTCATTGAAGTGAGCTTTTCGATTTCTCCACGAGTTTATTAATCATCTCTCCTGGTGGGTGACCTTGGACGTGATTGGTTGTTTTTGTGTGTTTTCACACCTTCTAGGTTACTTGTATTGGAACTGATTGTTTCTTTGACTTGAACTTTGCCCCTCTGTGTGTGAGATTTCTTTCTTATCGGTTGATAAATTTTGTCTATCTCGATGTGTCTATTGATTGATGATTCACTGAAATACCAGACAGCCTTCTGAAAATTCTCTAGAATTCTTGTTGTTTCCTCTGTCTAATATTTGAACGTTGGTTGTCCCAGTCGAATTGATGTCCGTGGTTGTCTGTGTGTAGTGATATGACCACAAACAATCACGTCCAAGGTCACCATGAGAGATGATTAATAAACTCGTGGAGAAATCGAAAGGCTCACTTCAATCCAAATTGAAGTATTCGCTGAAGATGTCACCCAGTAGGGTGATGAAAACTTCGCAAATTAACCATCCAGCTCAGAGAACACAACCACATCAGAAACGTGTTAGTTTCCGTCTGTAGATCTTTGAGTCTGTGTACCCCTAGACATAAATCATCCACGAAGCACAAATCTTCCAGAATCTTCTTTTCAGCCAAAAATATTCCTGTCTTCTTGCTCTCACACACGGTCTGTTGCATGAATTAGCTCCACCGCAGTCAAGAACATCATCTTGGGTGAGAAAGAGTAGGTAACCTTGTTTCCGCTTTAAAACGCTTCACTGAGTTTTCTATTGTGAATCAACTGACATACGACAGCTTTGCTAAAGTATTCATGAAAACGCCTTTAGAATATTAGAAGACGACATATAAGTGAACAATATTGTTGTTTTCAATTAGATCTTCTTCAGACTTTACTCTAATTTAAATAGATTTATATAGAGAAAACCTTAACTAATGACGGTGAGTTTTCGGATCAAATAATAATAATAATGTGGTAAATATTTTGAACGTAGTTAATAACGATGATTATAATGATAACAAAATATTGATAATAAGGTTTATGCAGATGGCGATAAGAATAACAAAGTTAGTGTATGTATATATGTGTATATGAAGACAATTCAATGAATAAATAAGGTCAAATCTTAAAAGTTACATAATACTAAAGGTGAAGTGGACAGGCAATCAGAGTTTAAATAAATATCATAAAAGTACGACGGAGATGGAAAATAAGAAGGGGTGGGAGGGTTTTGATTAGAATTTTTACCTAGACAAGCAAGGGAGAGACAAAGGTAGAACAAACTTCTTTTGTTGTATGCAAAGACTAGGATTGTTCTCTCAAATTAATTCCCATAGCTACTTCGGGAATGTGTAAAAGGCGGGTTCGAATGGAATGCGATAGATAACTTTGAAGGCACTATTTTTCTCCACTTAGTGACCGCTGTGATCAGTCAAATGAGCCAAGATAGAACTCCTTATAGATTTTATTTGACCTTTTCCGGACCATGTAGTAAGATGCTCATTAATCCGTTTGTTAGGATGTCTGGTTGAAATCTAAAGAAAGTAGTTTGGCTTTTTACTCACGTGGGCAGTTTTTTTTTTCAACTACAGGTAGATGATACACATGAGGATGTTTAAATGAACCAGGATTTAAAATGATCTTCATTACTCCTAAATCAGTGTAGGAATTCAACTCTACTAAGCATAAAAAACAAGATCCAGATTGTCAACGCTAATGTCAAGTTAGTCACTGCTGCTTCTACATGGTTCAGAGATTTGACGCATCCCCAATACAAGCTCTTCCAACTGTCTTCAATGACTCCATACTGAAGATCAGATTGGCAGTTAGCCAGGAAGTATAAGAAACAGGGACCTCTTTAGGACTTCCTGACCAACAAACATGTTGAAGGAAATAAAGATGGATTGAACATATGCTTAGAAGACTACAGAATGACATCACATGCTAAACAGATAATCTCTCGATCGGAATCCGAATGCAAAACGGCGAGTTGGATATCTGACGGTGATGTGGGGGAGATTGTGTGAGAATCAAATGAGAGTTTCATGGTAGGTAGTCACAGAGCCAACTTAATAAGACAGAAGCGACTAAAGTGAAGAGGATGTATGCTTCTGAGACCCCTCGAAATAGAGGAGGCGAATAATAACAATAATAACATAACTTATATTTTACTTTAGGTTAGGTTTCTTCAAGATCCGAGGAAAATGTTAAACCCAACAGGGCATAGGTCGATGTGGAAGACCCAAACAAGGACGAAACAGTTGTCCCAGTTCCCTGGGGTAGCCATGGGTGTATGCTGATGAAGAGCCACAAGTAAGCACAAAATATTTTTCCTGTTTATTGGTCTTAAATACTGCATCGATGGTCCAGTGGTAGGATGCCCACCAACCATACCTCACGTGGTCCGGTGTTCGACTCCCGGTCGCCGACGCACTCCTAAACCTTGCTTAGCCATTAAGAAGCAATCCCACCCAGTGCAAAAAAATAAACATCACTGCTACAGAAACTCCAAAATCCACAAAGCTTCAAGCCCTATAAACCACTGGGAACGCAAAGGAATCAAATAAAAATTTTAAAAATATAAAACAAAAACTAGAATTTTCACAAGTTAATTATCATACTACTTATAAGTAACTAAATCAAATCAACAAAATATTTTTCTTCTTTTACCTTGAAGTGTAGATAAATATTCCAGATGATATACCTGCTTTGCAGAATCTATTAATTCTAAATTACTAACAAAATTGTTCACATTATTGTATAATGATACAAAACACATCCAATTGCTGATCAACACGTGTAGTAGGCCTTTCAGTTGACGTAAAGAGATACCAAGAACAAGCCAATCTTTGATTATCGTGGTCGACGTCGTTGCTGTTGTTGTTGTTGTTGTTGTAGACGATGAATAATAAGGAGTGCTGTTGTAATGAGTTCTAGTTGAATATTCCAATATGCAAAGAGAATTGAATAGTGGTTGAAGATGCTGATGATATTCAATATCCCATGACTGTAAAATTTAAAAAAAAGAGGAAATGAACTTAAATCATATTTGATATGGTTTATATAGCAAAAGCAGTTCAAAAATTAAGAATTAGATTATGGGTTTCTTGAAAAGTACTGAACAGATGTTGCGCCCTAATTTGAGACTCTTCAGCAGTGCATATCCACTACTACACACCTAGGATCACTGCTGTTACACCCCTGTTCCCCAGCAGTAAGACTTCGCCCACAAACATCCAGCATGGTGTAAGAAAGATTCTGATACTATACCAGTAACTGCTTTTTGTCTAATCGCTATCCTAACAACCTTCCTGGCATGGTAGGACCTACAGGAACAATAGTTTCAGCCAGTGTAGCTTGTTGGGCCATAGCAATGTGCAAGTGCGACCACCACGTCAAGGTAGGCAGCTATCACACTGTAACTTCCCAATATCCATCCAATGATCACTATGAAAGAATAATTTCTTAGAAAATCCCTTTTGAACGATCTAATTACAATATCCACACTTATATTGCGTGTTCAAACTAACTTTTTAATTATTTCCCTGTTTTCTCCTAGGTTATAATTATGATCGTCGTGACGTTTGCACTTCCAAATGCTGACTTGATACTTTCAGTCTGTCTTTGTCACTGTTTAATCTTTAATTTTATTGCTTCTCTTTGTGATTGTGTGAGATGATACTGATAATGTGTGATTTTACGACTGAGATATTATTTGAGGCAGTCAAGGTCATTCCGACCTTGTCATTTTTGTACACCACCTTCATAGATAAAGACGATCTTAACTTCTCACTGAAATGTCTGCAAAGAGAAAATTGGTGTTTCATCTGTAAAATGTTTGAATAGGAGTCGTTTTTATTTCATTACAATAAGTTGGTTAGTTGGTTACTAAGAATTTCCGCGGTTATTTAAACAGGTAGGCACTGGTCACTATTGATCAAAGACTACGCCCAATTTGAAGGTTCACAGTCACAAGGTTTATTTCAAGATAACATGACTAGAAGAAACTAAACACAACGTGGGATTTTGACATCTCTGTGGAAATAGAAATAATAAATTGTCACAGAATGGCTAGGAGAGGAAGAGGGAGAGAGAGAGAGAGAAATGAGATATATTTAGTCTATTTATGCATAAATAGTAACTTACATTTACATCAATATACTTGTTGATAATATCGTCCAATTCGAGCACTTTTAATTGATTGCTTTCTGTGAAACTATTTAGCGCATTGGTTACATTCTGTTCAAATTGAATAAACCGCTGCTGAAGATATGCGCTTAAACAATCTCTAGAGTAAATTATACCTTTATCATTGATATTAGTTAAATTGTCAATATTATCCAATTGAAAATTGAATATATTAGATAGAATATTATTCTTAGTATGTATTATCATAACCTCAATGGCATAGTTAATTCTGTTTACTAGATTTCCGGTATTGATCCATTCAAAGGAGAAATTCTTCACTTCTCTTTTATTTTCTGTTACAGTGGATAATATATCTAATATGGGTGAGTACAAATCATTTGATAACAATTGTTGTATTGATTCTAGACAGTAGATACGTTGATGTTTTATACGACATAAACATATTTCAATTAATTTGATAAAATTTGAAATCTCACTATTCAATGCAACGTTTGTCGTCTTGTGACGATGTTCAGTGGTGCGGCGGTGGTGACTAGCACCATCAAATAAATTTGATTGGTTAACATCTTTCAAACTTGACAATAAGGTATGTTGATATGCAAATCTAGCAAGGTTGAATAATGACAGAGTTGATGGCACAGAGTCTTGATTAGATTCATTTAACGTAATGCTGGTCATTTTTGAAGTAATGCATACCTTGTCGTCATCATTGTTTATGAGGTCCATGACAATCTGCCTACATCTATCTTTTGAATATTGTAATTGATGCATTATACCTGTTGAGTGTATCTGTGCTCTCCACAAACAATTGATATGATTATAAAGACGTGTATGCAGTTCGTCTAACTTATTTGTTATATCAAGGCGCATCGTGATAAATTCATTCAATAATATTCGTACAGAATTCTGAAATAAAATTGAGACATATGAAGATGGCATTGGAAACTTACTATTCTCACTACTTGTAAGTAGTTAAAATTTAAAAGCAAAAATAACGCGACTGAAAAATTTCGTCATTTCTAAAATTTCCAAGTGTTGGCTTTTAGGGATTTGATTGATTGCAGAGGTTTGATGAAAAGTTAACGTCAGTCAGAGGACCATTGTAAACCACCAGGGAACAGTAAAGAGCAGCTTTTTTCTAGTTTGGGCACTCACTGGGGGCAGTGGATAAGGTCCTAGTGGCGAAATGCTGTACGAGGTGGCCTTATTAACCCAGTGGTCCTGGTTTCGAACCTCGGGGGAAGTGTGCTGCTGAAGACTTCCAAACTAGGATGAAACGCCTGTCTAGTATACCCTGGATTTCCACAACTAGCAGTGTGGATAAATTAAAGGCAGAATATAAAAGTTCATAACGGTCCAAAATCATGAAGCAAGTATTCAAGAATCTCCTCCTCCTCCTCCTCCATTGCCAAAAGCCACTAGGTACCGAACAGTAGAAGAAGCCACAAAATAATCAGAACTTTGTATATAAACGAGACAATTCAGGCCACTATTGCTACCCTGACCTATTGTGGAATCTCACAATTCCTCAGTACTTTAGTATTTCATACTCTTTTAGGTGTAAACTTTCGTTCTGTAATACAAAAAATGCGTTGATGCTACTAATAACAGTTATTTTTCTTAACTAACATAGACGTATAATTGTGCTGTGTGATTCCTTAATCTTTTCGAGACATGGTCACTGAAAGTGGAAAAAATACCCTGACCAAAGATGTTTGCGTTCCACCTCCAGAGTAAAGTGGAAAAATATAATGAGTAACACTGGGATTAGGCGGTAAACTCAACCGATGAGGTTATGTAGGTGAATCGATTGGGATAGCAAGGACATGAGTTGCGCATTCCGATCCATCAACTTCCTCCTCAACTAATGTTGGCTGAAGTCCTTAACTGTTGATTTGAACCGGCAAGGTAGGAAGGTATAAATTATCTTGTTACTGCAGAGATGTTTAAAGACGATGGTGAAAAACTAATGCTTAGGCTAACTGACATATTAGATAACGTCTGAGAATCACAGATAGTCCCGTTAGACTGTCATGAGTCATTGATTATCCCAGTATACATGAAGAGAGACGAGTCGTCCTGTGATAATCACTGGGGGATTCGCTTGATGAATATGGTATCTAAATTTCTAGGCTCAATAATCATGGGTAGATTAAGTGGTGCTCAGAATAAACAAACACCAGAGAAGCAGTCAGGCTCTAGACCAGGAAGAGGGTGTACTGATCATATCTTCACCCTTCGACAGATTCTGGAACATAGGCATACTTACCAGGGGCCAACAATTGTCATTATTTCTTGACCTGAAAGCGACATTCGATTCTGTTGACTGAGAGGTAGTCTGGCGATTTTTAGCTGTGAAGGGAATGCCGAGAAAATACATTTCACTAACCAAGACACTACTCGAACTCGCATGGCGATGTAATAGCTTCTGGGGAGATGTCATCTGAAGTGACGACAACCAATGGTGTTGGTCACGGATGGTCACTATCTCCATTTCTGGTTAATTTCATCGTAATTGTACTAGTGGAATTAGCCCAAACTGACTTCAAAGACTCAGGGATTGACTTGTTACCAGCAAATACTCTTGTGTGACTCACAGAATATGCGGATGGTATTGTTCTAACAGATGAAGACTTTTGATAAGATGCAGTCCTCTGAATACCTTGAGCAGACATCTACTAATGTTTGGCATACGATTCGCTCCTGCTGTCAAGGGTAAGATGATATTACAGGACTGGGTTACATCGACTCCCAGCTTAAAGAATAGGGAGGGAGTGAAGTGGTCAGTGAAGCGTGTTGATCACTTCACAAGAACATGTGTACTGAGCACCAGTTCGCTCTCCCCCCCCACATCACCACTATGGCTATGGGTAAGACATAGCCATTGTAAGTGGAAGACATGTAAAGGCTAAGGTGTGTCTGTATTCTGCCTCCCATGTTAGGTTCTGTAAGCGGGTGAGTAATTTTTTTTATTTAGGCTTAGAACGTTAGTAAAGTAAGAGGGTGAAATCAATCAAATAGAGCTGTGAAACAGCTGCATCGATTAAGACGGCTAGGACGGACATGTATGACACTCCCAGAACTTAAAGAACAAATAACAAACATAACATTTATGCAATAAATACGTTTAAGTAAGTAAGTAAGTATTTTAACCATATTAAAGTATTGATTAATCCATTTACCTGAATATATTCACAAACAAAACATTCGTCGTCGTCTTCTTCTTTTTCTCCTTGTTTAAATAAATTCAAAATTGTATGACCACAATTTATAAATTGATTAAATATTGATTGATTAGAAAACATCTCATTGTGTAAATCATTCACATCATTGTACATTTGATGATTAGATCGATTAGCATCATCATCGTTCTCTTGATGATTCACACTATTCGACCAATATCTCTTGAATTGTTCAATATCATGCATCATATTGAACATGTAACATAAAGCGGTATAATTAAAATATGCTTGACTGTCATTATTATTATTACTGCTAGATGATAGTATTGTAGAGAAATCAAACTTTTCAGCAGATTGTATCATAAAGATAATCGATCCATGCACACGTAACAATTGACATAAAAGTTGATGAAATCTACTCATTATCTGAGACGATAATACTGTTGTTGAACAATTTTTATTTGACAATATTTCTAATTGACAATATTTACTGCCGCCATTCAATGTCTTATTAGACTTTTGAAGTTGTTCATTGTTTGTGTGTAACAAAACTTCTAACATTTTACAACATCTGGACTGTTCGTCATTGGATAAGATAAATTTCGATGAAATTTCACCTTCAGATATTCTATAGACAGTAGAAATTAAGCGAAGTGTATTTTGGCGAGTTAATTTCGTTGATGCATTGAACTCTTCAATCGTGTTTATTAAAATTCTAAGACGTGAGGAGTTAAGGCTATTCTGTTGGGCACCACCACCACCATTACGCTGAAATGAATGTAATGTAGAGGTGAAAATTTATTCACATAATTTATGTATGATTTTATTTAAGATCTGAAATAAAGCAAGAACAACAGTGAGAGGGTTTGTGAAGAATAAGACGATGGTACCATCTCATTGGTTATTTCGTTGGCTTCTCATCATCAGCTCAGCTGCTGCTGCTGCTGCTTACAGCCGAAATAAATTGTGAGGTTTATTGTACAGAAAAGTTTTAACATACAGCAAATTGTTTTTCATGATTTCAGTTGACAGAAGGTTCCACAGTTAGTGAACAGTGTGCTCAGCCCAGAACATCCCGCTTATATAGCTTTTACACAGGCAGTTCAAGTTTAAACAAAAATAAATGTATGCATACAATGGTAAAGGAGTTATGTAATAAAGACGAGAGATGCGTAAGATGCTGAGTGAATAATAAATTAGGTAACAATCTAGTGGGTTCAACTCAAATCATAGAAACAAGAGACAAGCAAAATTACACTATGTCAAAGCGGGGGGGGGTTAAAGCCAAAGATTACGTAATCAGATGAGAAGGGGAATAAAAACATCCAGTTACCAGGGTGGCAAGGAAAAACTAATAACTGCTTCTATCTGAACACATAAATCTGGTTTCAACCGTTCAATAGAAATTGCTTATTACTTATTTATTACGTAACTCCTTTACATTTATTTTGTGTAAACTTGAACTGCCTGCGTACAAACTGTATAAGCGCAATTTTCTGAAAATTGTTCACCAATTGTGAAACCTTCTGTCAACTGACATTACGGAAAAACAATTTGCTACAAGTATGTTAAAACTTTTCTGTACATAAACGTCACAATTTATTTAGGCTGTAAGCGGCAGCTGATGAGAAGCCAACGAAATAACCGATGGTGGTACCATCTTCCTATTCTGCACAAACTGCCACTGTTGTTCTTGCTTCATTCAAATTCATCAAGGGGAACAAATGCATGAAGTTATTTAAGATCATGATTACTATGGTAATAGGACAGCATAAACCTCTTATTGACCACCTTCGACTGATAGCTGATATACTTTGACGTGGTGGCTGATATAGGGTCAGGCTGGAAAAGAGCTAGTGGCGGTCAAACCAAAATATGGTTTCAACAGTCAATGAAATCTACAACAGTTAGTTTAAGCCATCCAGGTAGGAAGGTGTAGACTTCCCGACTGGTTGGGGTCCTCAGGACGGTAAAAACCAATGGTTGGAAACTATTGGTGACATGGTTCAAAATCGTTCTCAGTGGCTGGCTCAGACGCGTCCGCTCCTTGTGACTTATAATACCCAATGAAACTATATTGTTCTTCGCTATTACTATTCCTTTTATCTCATAACCCTGTCTACTGTCTCTATTTTGCATTTCTTCTACTTTCTTCTGTTGCTTTGTGTGCTACATGGAGGGAGTGTGGCTACTTGAACTGCTGCACATCGGTGCAAAGTTCTCTGTTGAAAACAGACAGATAGACAGACGTGGTGGCCAGGGGCTTGAATATCACAATGAACCAGTAGGCTACACTGGCTAGAACTAATGTTCCAGCAGGTCGTTTGGAAAACAGTTCCTGTCATAGTGTCTTACGGTGAAGTCATACTCTTGAGAAGTAGGGATGTTTCAGCGGTAGTAAGGTGTTTCCCTCAGATGAGCGGCACACTAGCTATGTTTTCTTCCCACTCTAGGGAAGAGGGTGGTTTAAGAAAAGTCGACCCCCCCCCAAAAAAATTGTACACCCCAACTTACTTTGTGAAGGTCCGTAATCGGCGGTAAAATAATAATACAAAGACAACTCCAGCACACACTTTGCCATAGGCACAATCGGTAATGGCCGACAATCAATGATCAAAACCCACTGGTGAAGCTTGTCCCACCACTAAGCTACACGAATACATACTAAACTAATCAATAAACACCTGGAGCCTTACAGTTCTCCCCTGTTTGCTGACACACATCCGTAAGGCCAAATCTCATTTCCACTGGAATATCTTCAAATCTACCATCCACTTACAAAGAGAGTAGGTTGGGAGAGAGTTTAGCAACTCCAATCCTGTTTTTCACAGAGTTGGGGTTGTTATGATGTTCCCTATGTTCCACTAGGAAGTCAAACACACTGATTTACTGGTTGATATGCATAGTTGGAAACCAACTGGGTTAAGTGGAGCAGTAGTACATTTCAAGTCGGACGACTGAAGAATGTTTTACTGTTTGAAAAGGTGACGAAAACATCTTTGAGTCAATGTGAACCTCAGAAAATATTATTATTATGTCAAACATCTTCATAATCAAAATCACTACCTATTACTACTATTATCAACACTACAAAGACAAACAGCTGCAGAGAAGAAAATTTCCTTCCCGATGAAATTATCAACTGGGCTGTGCATTTGCACATATACATATAATATATTTAGTAAAAGGAAGTGCTACTATACGGATCAGAGACTTGACCAGCACCTCACAAAGAGCATCTCAAACAAACTTCAGACCTTCATTAACAGTTGTCTTCGCTCAAAACTACTCATGATCAGATGGCCGGCCAGAAGAGATCAGCAAGAGGGAGGGATCTCTGGTAATGAGCGAACTAACCAGGAACCGATTGTGAAACAAATAGGCAGGAAGATATGGAGATGGATTGGCCATACTCTGAGGAAACAAACCATCAAGTGACATCACTAGACAAGCCATCGCTCGAGTGGAACCCGACTGGATGGGAAGCGGCGAGTTGGTCATCCAAGGGTGACTTGGAGGAGGTGATGTGAAGAGGAGATGAAAGCGTGTGGGCAGAACTGGAGCCAGGTGAAAACGTTGGCGGAGAACCGAACGCAATGGAGACGCGCGGCTGAAGTCCTATGTTCCTCTAGGAATTAAAAGAAATAATAATAATATATTTTGTCCAATTCCAACTCGTCGATCATAACTTTCTCACCACTGTACACACGAATATACAGCCTAGTTGATAACTTCATTGAAAGGAAAACTTTCTTCTTCACCGCACCCGTCTTTTTAAATTTTCTTATTATATCTAATGTGTATATTCCCCGCAGCGCTAATATACACTGACGTTTTTAGTAACGTTTGTCGTCACACTCAACTGATATGATATTTTGATCTTATTTTCAACTGGGTGTAAATGCTCAATGAGCCTCATAATCTGCAGTTCTCAGGGTTCCACAACACCTGGTGGCGTTGTGGGTGTGGGCACAGTGAAGAGTCGCAAAGTAGGACGAAACAGCTGTCCAGTATTCTCCTTCGTGGTTTTTAATCATCTCTCTCTCTTCATCTGATGTGTTGGATCGTGGTGAAAATCTAACAACTACAATTAATCCAAACCCTCACAAATTCCAGAGTCTAAATATGAATCTCCAGTCTATTGATAGCTGCTGGACGGATGTCCTGAAGTTGTACTAATCGATTGGCTAACTGCTTTCAACACAGAATTTCGAAAAGAGGCTAACAGAAAGTCAAGTTGCCATATTCCAAGTGGTACACAAGTGAAAACAGAAAAAGATATTTGGAAGAATGACAATAAACAGAAATGTAAGGGAGAAATAACAGTGTGGTAAGAGCTGACTGCTAGCCAAATTGGTAGACAGTAATTTACGTCAATGATTGAGCCCCCAATATTGGTTATGAGAAAAACAAGAAAATAAGACTGATTCAACAACCAATCACAGTAAACTTTACGTAGGCGGACACAATTAGCAGATAGATGATCTGACGTTCACGAAACAGCCACAAAGAGATGAAAGATTAACTTTCAGTGAGAAATAATCAATCAGAAGACTGTGTTTTTTCGCTTAAATAATCTATAATAATGTACATGAAAATGTATAAATATGTGTTGATTTCCTTAATAAACGATCTGTTGACTGGCCCTTGTCTTCTGTAGTTACAATAGTAGCATGAAAATAGATATAGGTCACAAAGAGTGAATGCATCTGCACCCCACTGAGAACGATTTCTAGCCATTTCATCGATTGTCTGCAATCAATGGTTCTTAGAATCCTTAGGACCCAAACCAATGAGGAAGTCTACACCCTCTTACGTGGCTTGAACTAACTATCAAAGATTGCATTGGCAGATACGAATTTTCGGTTTGACCACTCCCCTTGACCCTCTGTTAGCTAACAAGGTGATGGCTAGGGATGCATGCGCAACACATATCCTAATCTCCTTAATCAATTCACCTCCACAACCTCATCGATTGATTTTCCCTCCTTACCTAACACTCACCCTATTATACCCCACTTCACACAGGAGATAATTGTGCTGAAAAGTAGTGACCAGTAGGGTCAACCATGTCAAGGTGAAGTTGATGTTCCTATCGAAGACATTGGTTGAGGGTATCGGCACATCATGCGTCGACAAACTTAGAATTCATGGATCACAATGAACTCCAGCTTAAGTGATTATGAATAATCAATAGAGCTTGGTCTCGTAACCTGAAGAAGAAGGGTTAATAAATAAATGAATATGCGTCAACAACTACATAAATATATACCTAGTCTCTACTCACCTCTTTTACATTCAATAAAGCATCAACAATATATTTATTAAAAAAGCACTTTTCAACATTTGTATAAATCTCCAGTTTTGAATAGTCTCTATTGGTGGACAGCTGAATTTCAATTATCAATTGATGATAACATCGACGTAATCGTCGATATTCAAATAAATCATTCGCCAAGTTAATATGAATCGTTTTCATCATGCCAAGATTATTTTTCCATTGAATTAGCTGGTGATGATAAGAATAATAGTCTGTTGACTTAGTGGTAGTATTATACTTGGTTAAACAATGCTGTTCTAAGCTGTAGACAGCTGAAAGAATAGGCATACGAGCCTCTAGTCGACGACAGACATCGCCAACAGTTATGTAAAATAATATATGCCTGATTTCTCTTCCATCGTCATCCGTTGCATCATCGTGGAGCTCTCTGTTATGATGGGAAATGTTTGAAGTCAACTGGAACCAATTTTGAAATAACTTCAAGACTTTTGTTAAACCAATTGTTGATGATGATGATGGGTACTCTTCTTCTTCATTGATCGCCGACAATAAGCGGGAAAGATGGCCTAATATACCATCTTGATGTCGGTGTAATAACTTTTCATACTGTGAAATACAATTTTCATAGACATGAACTAATGATTTCGCGGATTCTTGAAGTTGTGAATAAAACAGATGCTGTTGAGGATGAAAATCTTTCCGACCAATCTCATCGCTTATGATGAGGTATTTAACACGATTTATGTAGATAGTCTCTTTACTGATGTGCAGTTCAGTGATAATCTTGTCAATTTCATTGAAAGCATTCATTAATCGATATAAATTATTTGAATTATGTTTAAATTGTCTTTTATAATGCTTTAGACTAAAATTTAATTTATCCACTTTCGCTGTAATCCAGCATTCTGATATGTTTATATAATTATTCAATGACTGAACGCGGATTATTTGACTATTGAGTTCAATGACCAATTGAGATATCCAATCAATTATTAAATACCATAGAGTTTCGAATTCTTTATTCCAACAAATTTTATGAATATCACCATTATTATTATCATCATCATCAAAGTTTTCATATATCTGATTCACGATAAACCCTCTTTGTTCAATGTTGTTCATTAATTTGTTTAAACGAAGCAATTCAAAGGTCAAGCAACGACCTTGAAGTAGAATAGTTTCACATATTGGAATTAGGCCTTGAAAAGATTTGAATATATTTTCAATCCAATTTTTATGAATTAATAGTGCATCTAGAGAATTGATTGAAGATAAAATATTATAGGATACTTGAATTGGGGATATGAATTCCATTTGATTTGTAGCAGGAGGAGTAGTGGAGAATTCCTCTAATTTTATTTGAGGTGGTTTTGAAATTGGCGGTTCAGGCAGTCGACTCCATAAACTTCGTATACGGACTTAAATGAAAAAGAAATCAAAAGTAATATGTAATAATCCATTCGAAATTTAACAACAACAAAACAAACAATTGCATCATCGTGTCTTCTATTCTGCTTCAGAACTCTTTTAAAATGGATAACTTTCACAATCTACGAAAAGGCGATCGTAGCTGTCTAGCTGCTCTTTGGATGGGTGATGTGTAACCTGTCCCCCCTCCCTTTATTACCAAACTAGCTGTCTGAGCAACACTTCTCTCACCCATCCCAGTTCTATTCATCCTAAATTAGGACTTTTCTACAATTTAACCAGAAAAATGAATTTGTACGGCCTTCGAAGATGACTTAGTGTTATTATCCATGTCACTGAAATTTGTTATGACGGAATGTTACGGATCTGTGAGGTCATCTTAACTTGACTAGAATACGCCTCCATAACACTTGAAAATATCCCCCCCCCCACACACACACACACACACTGAGATCAGACACAAAATTCAAACTTGTAAAAACGACGGCCGGAACGTCAACAATAGTGACAACGTTTATTAGACGAAATACATTATCATTTATTACCATTATTATTATTATTATTACTGTTTCCTTTAGTTCCTACAGGAACACAGAGCTTCACCCGCACGTCTCCGTTGCATTTAGTTCTCCGCCAAGGTTTTTTACCTGGCTCCACGAAGTACATGGTTGTACCATATTTACAAAAATCTCAGGAATTTAAGTCATAAGTAAATAAACACACCCGACTGATATCGATATCCCTCAGAAAATTAAGCCATTAAATAGACAAATCAAGAACTGTCCAGTCAGGTTGCCATGCCAGCACACAACATGCATCAGTCATGATCTCACGGTTAATAAAGAAACTTATCCGCCTTAACACTATGTCGCTAAAGAAAGTTTTCTTCAGTCATGGAATGTAAACCTTTAAAGAGCCATATCTTAATCGATGTAGCTTCACAACCTCATCGACTGAATTACTCTCTTTACTAGATATGATAGAGAAGATTTGTAGCTCAGGTGGGTGATTTTGATGTGGTTGGGTTCTCTGAGCTGGATGGTTAATTTGCGAAGCTTTCATCGCCCTACTGGATGACATCTTCAGTGCATACTTCAATTCATTGAAGTGAGCTTTTCGATTTCTCCACGAGTTTATTAATCATCTCTCCTGGTGGGTGACCTTGGACGTGGTTGGTTGTTTTCGTGTGTTTTCTCACCTTCTAGGTTACTTGTATTGGAACTGATTGCTTCTTTGACTAGAACTTTGACCCTTTGTGTGTGAAGTTTCTTTCTTATCGGTTGATAAATTTTGTCTATCTCTATGTGTCTATTGATTGATGATTCACTGAAATACCAGACAGCCTTCTGAAAATTCTCTAGGATTCTTGTTGTTTCCTCTGTCTAATATTTGAACATTGGTTGTCCCAGTCGAATTGATGTCCGTGGTTGTCTGTGTGTAGTGATATGAGAGAGTGGATATCATGTCTTTTGACGGCTAGCTTATGTTCGTGGATACGAAGACGAAGGGGACGTCCACTTTGGCCAATGTAGTGTTTTTCGCAGTTGTTACAATTTATTTTGTAGATGATGTTGGTTTTATCTTCCTTCACTGTTGAGTCTTTCGGTTGACATAGAATTGAGTGAAGTGACTTTGTTGGTTTGTATACGACGTCAATTCCTAAAGGTTTTAAGAGTCTTGTAGTGATTTCTGAGGTATCCTTTATATATGGTAAGGCAATTTTCTTTATGCTTTCCTTGAGGGCTTTTGGTTTGATAGGTTGGCTTGGGGGCATATGTCTCTTGATGAAATTCTGTGGATATCCATTCTTTTGGAAGACGTCCATGAGATACGTTTCTTCAATTTTCCTTAAGGTGGGAGTGCTGCAGTGAGTCCTGGCTGGCTCTCTTGAATAGTGTTTGTATGCAATTCCTTTTGTGTGTTATTGGATTGTTGCTGTTTTAATTCAGGATTTGGTCTGTGTGAGTTGATTTCCTATAAACTTGAGTTTCTAATTCTCCTGTAGTTGTTCGCCTGACTAAGACGTCCAAAAATGGTATTTTGTTCTCGGATTCCTCTTCTCTTGTGAATTTGATGTCATTGAAGACGTTGTTTATTAAGTTGTGAATTTTATCTAGTTCGTTTCTTTTGACTATTACAAATGTGTCGTCGACGTAGCGTATCCTCTCTCTCTCTCTCTCCTTACTACACCTAACACTCGACGCCTAAACCCCAATATATCACTAGTCATACCACCCCTCATATGGGAGGCAGAAAACAGACACCTATAATGAAAGACAGCTAGCTAGCTAGCCTTTTCATGTCTTTCACTTCCAAGCTGAAGGTGAGGAGGGCGGAGAAAACTACTGATCAATGGATATGTCCTTTGATTGATATATATTCAGATATGATGTCTGCACTAGAGATGATACAGGTTGGCAAACGTCACACGGGCTTTATGAAATATATAGAACTGAGATACGTATCCAAAAAATAGTGATTTAAAGGTTAATAAAAAAACAACTAAACATGGTAAAGTTCCTATTGAAAAGCAAAAACATTTACCAAGTTCCTCCTATTCAAAATTTCATATTATTGACAATACTGTCTAGGAAGATATAAAACACACTCAAGGGATAAAAACGTAAAAAAAACCAAACAACAGAAACCTGTCGTTTAAATAACAACAACATACCATTGAACCAATCCACCTGGTCAGTTAAACGTTTCCATTGATCTAATAGACAATAGGAATTACCATACCATATCATCAGTTTATGATTTAAATCTACACCACGATTGATAAGATCTAGTGTGCAGTGTTCTTGATCGTTTAGTTGACATTCGTCTTGATCCACAGGATGATCATCACTGATGCCTAATCCAAAGTGTTTGGCGGCAGTAGTATTTGACTTCTCTAGGAGGAGGAATAAGCTTGTACGACAGCAGTTCCAGTGAATACAGCTAAATAACTCCTGGAAATGATTACAGAAAGTTAAATAACGATTTTTTTTAAAAAAAATATAACAGTTGAAAAGTGAATTCATTGATCAGAATATCTGGATCACATTTTCCATAAAAGTAAAGAGTGCTACTGCTGAAGAGCTTCAAACTAAGACGAAACAGCTGTCCAGTATTCTTTCATTTTTAATGGTTCCCTAACTGATGTCATTGCGTAACATAACTTGAAATCAGGTTTCGGTTTGCACAGACTTGATTGGGTACAGGTTTAACCATCTCGTCATCAATAGTGATTGGCTCCCTAAAGAAAGTTACCTGATGTCCCAATGAGAGGTAGTTGTGACCAGTAGAGTCCACCAGATCAGGCAAGAGAACAGTTACTCACCAATGACACTTACTGTCGGTTGTGCTATATATATACACTGTGAATTAGTAGAAGTTGGAATTCATGAAATGTCCATTGGATCTAGTCCAAACGGTTAAATAGTCTACGAACTCGCCTTATAACCGGAAGATGATCGTTTCAAACCTCAGTGACTGCATGCTGCTTGAGGGTCTCAAAACTAGGCCAATCAGTACTGACTGCTAGAGTTTTTCAATGATTGTCTAACTGGGGTCAGCTCGTTATCAAAACCATAACTTGAAATCAATCACAAAACCCGTAAGACAACACTTAAAAAGAATGAACTGTCTGAAGTTCAGAGACATGCTTAGAGATATTTTCGATAGAAAGATAGATAGATTTCCCGTTCGCCCATATTAAATAAGATAAACAACCAATCAATGAGGTAAAAAGAAGCAATATTATCAACTGAAAATCCATGGAATGATGCAGTTACATCCCAGTTCATGTCACAAGTCATTATATCAAATGAAAGGAAAGGAATTTAAGACGAGGATGAAAATCAAAATACCTCTGAATTGAGTGTTGATTAAATAATCTGCAAGTAGCACAATAATATAACGTCAATAAGAAAAACAATTCATTGAAACCGTTATGGTAATGAGAATCACCCCACCTCTGAAGCTGGATTCATTAATTACCACCCTGTGGATACGAATAAGTAGAGATTGATGTAGATTTCGTCATGAACCAACATCAATCAGAGAGAGAGAGAGAGAGAGAGATCATTAGAAATCAAGGGATACTGAACAGCTGCTTCGTCTTAGTTTGAAGACTCTTCATGACCCCACAACGGATCGAACCCTGGATATTCAGGCACTGGTTGAGTGTAATGCTATACTACGAATCGAAAGAGTTAGAATTCACGGTTTATTAAATTCTAGCTGAAGTGGATGAATGGCCAGTCAACTCAAAGAACCTCGTTGGCTAAAGGTCCCGGGTTCGAATCCTAGGCGGCGTGATCAGTGGTGTAGAATGATGAAAAGTCCGAAAATAGGGTGAAACAGGTGTCCAGTGTTTTCTGGTGCTTTTCAATGATCTCTCTCTAATTGATATTAGTTTGGGAAGAAATCTTCAGTGAAATTAATCCAAGTCCCTAAAGCAAAACACATAATGAAAATAAGTAGATCAAACAGAATCGAATTTCTTAAATGAACTGATTCTATAGTCAGCTGGTCCCAGTTGGAGATGTGGTTCATTCACATAAGCAGTACTCAACTTATAGCCAATAACAGGTCCAAGGGTTCGAGTTTCACCACACCTACTCCACTTCAACGCTTACATAATAAATGCGACCCAAAGCTTGATACACAAAAAAGAGTATGTTTCAGCTGAGTTGAAAAAGTTAGTTTGAGTGGATCAATGTATCGTGAAATACATAAAACACTTGTAAAACAGCATAAAACTAATTGATTGAAGCGAGTAATTGTGCACCTATCCAGATGAACCATTAACCAGAAATCAGGTGGTACGAATCGATTCAGTTCTCTAAGCTCCATCCATCACACTGCATACAACCGCAGTGATGAGCACCAAGTCAAACGAGACAAAGGTACGTTTAGTATTTACACTGATTTGATGCCGCTAGCCGGCTGGCTGGCTGAGTGACTGGCCAAGAATCCCTACTGGTTGATGTACGTGGTATACAACTACCCACCTCAGTCAATCGGTACTATATGCATTCACGCTTGGTCTCTGATTACCCCTTATGGGGATGAAGGAAATCATTTATTGTGTGGTCTTAATAACTTTCATTTCCCAAGGAAAGGAACTATGGTGGAATTTCACTTCCTCGAACTTTGTACACTGCAAATTAATTTGCATAACTCTAATGTTTATAATTTTGAAGTCATTTTTATAAGGTCGAATACTTTTGATCTTATCAAAGGAGATCTATATTGGGATTATGTATCAGATATGGTGTGTCTACCTTGAAAATAACTGCTTTGATTTGAAAATGTACTAAAACTACAAAATTTAAATGACTGATTTGATGAATTTTAATACAGACGACCTGTTTGATACTAACTTGAAAATTGATCAGTCATACAGCAACGATACTTAGTAATTCGTCTCTGGCGTAAACGTGATATCCGACTATCGACCAAGGGGCATGTGTACTGTTCAGCAGTCCACTCTGTCCTCCTGTATGCCTGTGAGGGAGACATGGCCATTGAGAGTGGAAGACATGAAAAGGCTGGCTAACTGTCTTTGATCATAGGTGCCTGCGCTCTATCTCCCGTGTGAAGTGGTATAATAAGGTGAACAATATTGAGGTCAGGCGTCGGTCGAGTTCTAGGTAGGGAGGAGGGGAAATCAATCGACGAGGCTGTGAAATTACATAGACTGAGATGGTTAGGATATGTGTTACGTATGCCCATCTAGCCATCCTCTTCCTCGACAATGGGCAATGTTAGCTGACATAGAGTCAAGCTGGAAAAGAGCTAGTGGCGGTCAAACCAAAACATGGCCTCATCAGTCAATGAAATCCACAACACTTAGTTTAAGCCAGTCACGAAGCCCCCTGACTGGTTGGCGTCCTCGGGACAGTAAAAATCAATGGTTGGAAACAATTGGTGATATGGCTCAAAATCGTTCTCAATGGCTGGCGAAGATGCATCCACTCCTTGTGACTTATGATCTCCAATGAAACTGTTTTGTTTTTCTTTATTACTCCTTTGTCTAACACCTCTGCTCACTGTTTCTATTATGCTTTTCTTGTACTTTCTTCTCTTGGTTCACGTGCTACACGGAGTGTGGCGACTTGAACTCCCACACATATGTGCAAAGTTCTATGTCGAATACAGGCAGACAGACCTGAAATACCATCAACAGACAAATGTGTTCAAGTATTGGTTTTTACAGAAATTTTCTTTGATTGGTCATCATGAGCTGATATCAATAAGAGAAGTATTGGAAAACCAACTGGGAGTACTGGATACCTGTTCATATTGTCCTACTTTGGGACTCTTCATCCGTACGCACCAACGCCAGGGTTCGAACCCACGACTTTTCTGTTAGAAGACGAGCTAGCTCATAGACCATTAAGCCACTGAACAGCTCAAAACTAGGACGAAACGGCTTTCCAATACTCCCTGGTTGGTTTTCCAATGATTCTCTAACTGATGTCACCTCATGATGAGATCCTCCAACCAGACAAAAGTTCAGCCTATTCACCCAGAATACACTGACGACCAGAGTATAAGTCCGTCCACAGTTAATCAATCACTAAACAACAGAATTTCATGTAAGACTGAACACATTTCTAAATATTAGATTATCAGAGGATGGGATAGATTTTAAAGGCAGATTCCGTGTAACACACTGACGCCAGCGCACTGAAAAGCAGTTTCACCTTAGTTTACGACCAATGCCCACATAATGAATCGTACACATTCCCTATTTACAATCACTACAGTCGTGGGTGCACACGCCCGTTGAAGAATCCCAAACTAGGACGAAACAACTGATTGTTGTTTCTTGTTATAATTTAGTTTAACAGAGGAATATTTAGAGTGTACACAGCGACAGATGTCGAATTTCAAGGAATCCTATGTACGATGTACGTTAACTCGACATTAAAAAAACAATCCACGCTATATATAACAGTAAATGACGTAACTCAAGTGAAACAAAACAACTTACCATATATTCAGTAAATCTATTTTTCAATTCATGCATAGTTAAGATTGGCATTTGAATAATTTTATCAGCTGTATTCAATAGATGTTCAAATAGTTGTGTAGTATGAGATGATGCAGTGTCAGGTGATTTGTCCAACACTGACTTGTTAACTGGCATATTCTTGATGGATATGGATGGATTCATCATCATTATCATCAATAAGGAATTATTATTATCATCGCTTGATATGTTTCGCACTTCATCAGTTGTCATCTTCAGTAGACAAGTATGTATTCGATGCAAAAACTTGTTTAATGATGTAATTAGACTAGACAGATTGAAAGACGAGTCCTTGTAGAGAAGAAACTCCGTTATGCATTGTAATGTTTGATGATAAGAGGAATAACAGTTGTTGCTGTTGTTGCTGATACTGTTGTGATCTGTTCTGATAAATTCATTGGACACATTGAATTGATTCAAAATATACTTTAAATAATTCAATTGATTCAATAGAAGCATCTGTCAGTCAGTCAGTCAGTCAGTCAATTAAGCGGGGGGAAAAGAAAAGCAGAAGGAGTTAGGTTATTTTAATTTACTTCAATCAACCTTCGTAAACGAGACGTATCAACTATCACCCTCATCGCAATAGAGTGATAGTGAGCAATCTGTAGTGTACTACTGTAAGAAACATTCGAAGCCATACACACACACACACACACACACACACACGCTGTCTAATGCTGAAGTCACACGCGTTATCATGTTCGACTAACCACATTATTCGTAACAAAAAACAAACCTTCAGAATTATAGTGTATTATTTACGAAGTCTGGAAAGCATCGCTTCAACTACAGGCCGACGGAAAACTAACGAGGATATCAAAGCAAGGACCGGAAAAGCAAAACAAGCTTTCATTACTCTCAATTCTGTGTGCAGGTCAATATCACTCAGCATCAAAAATAAGATCCGGATTTTCAACTCCAATGTCAAGTCAGTCAGTGCTACTATACGGATCAAAGACTTGGCGCTTCATACATACTACAGACCTTCATCAACAGCTGTCTTTGCTGAACACTCAAGATCAGATGGCCGGCCAGAAAAGATCAGCAACGGGGATCTCTAGCAATGAGCGAACCAACCCAACCGAGCAGGAACCGTTTGTGCAACAAATAAGCAGGAAGAAATGGAGGTGGACTGGCTGGTCATACTCTGAGAAATCCGCTAACCTGACTCGCTGACCCTGTTCTACTTATTTGACCCATGTATTTGACCTCAAAACCATTGCAGGCAGAGTATTAGATAAACTAAATTGTTTTGTTTTAAAGGCTTCACAGGATCCTTTAACCGACAAAGCTTGTTTCTAATTGAGTTTGTGGGTGGTTTCAATGCCACTTTTATTCCTGTACTGCTAAGAATTCTGCATAAGCTGGTTTCCGAGGTTCCTTCTTTGTATGGAATTACTACTGATGATTTGGATTCCTTATTGTTGGTGCTGTCGTTATCCTACGCATATTTCACATGCATGTCGTCATTATTATTATTATTATTAATATCACTATCACTACTATCATTATTTATTTTATTTTCACATTTCATTACATACTTTCTGACTAATTTATCAGGGTAATTATTAAGTTCCAAGGCTTCTCTTATATGTCTCACTTCCTGGTACAGACAACAGACAGCAAAAGGCCAAATTCCAAGTATGCATAGAGAAGACAGACGTGATGAAGATATCCCACTGACTATCTGTGGAAGTAATCTAAAAGAAGTCATCTCCTCCACTTACCTGAGCAGTATCGCCTTCTACTACAGACGATAGAGATAACAATATGAAAGTTAGAAATGGATCAGGAAAGTACGATAGGTGTTAGTCACTCTGAAATCAGTACGCAAGTTTGCAGCATTGAGCACAAGGAAGAGAAATTGAATTCTGTCTAATGTCAGTGTCAAGTTAGTGTTTCTATAGAGTTCAGAGATTTGAAAAGCACACCATGAAAAGCATTTCCCACAGGCTATTGAAGAGATTCACCAATACGTTGTTTTCGCTCAAAATGGAGGATCAAGTGGCCAGTTGGCCAGAAAGTGTATGTAAGTAACAAGAAATCCTGAATTAATCAAGAGCCTTTTACCAAAGAAATATGCGAAATGAAATGGAGATGGTTGGACAGACATTGAGGGGACCATTAAGTCACATTACGCGCCAAACAGGTCATCGCTCAAATGGAACCCATATGGAGGAAACAACGAGTTGGGCAGGGGTCCAACAATGACATGAATGAAACCGTGTGAGGAGGAGATGAGATCTTATGGACAATTGTGGAGCTAGCTAAACAAGATTGCAGAGAACAAGATCAAATAGAGACGTTCTGTTGAAATCCTATGTGCCACTTGGAAGCCAGACGGATAATAACGATAATAATAACAATGCATGTGTGAGCAAAACATCATCGTGTATAGAATATTCATTTATCTGTGGTGAGAGCTGTCTGCTAGCCAAAATTGGTAGACACCAATTTACGTCAATGTTTACCTCCCATATCTTGGTCATAAGAAAAAAACAAGATCAAAGACTAACTCAACAACCAATCACAGCAGACTCTGCGTGGGTGGATAGGATTCGCAGATATATGGTCTGACCTTCAGGGGAACGCCCACATAGAGATGACAGATTAACTTTCAGTGAGAAAACAACCAATCAGAAGACGCTGTTTCACTGCTAATAATAACGCTAATAATAATGTACATAAAAATATATAAATATCTCTTGATTTCCTTAATAAACAATCTGTTTCCTGGCCCTTGTCTTCTGTCGTTACATATATGCCTAAAAGGCTCATCTTCATCAAGACTTCATGTCTTTTACTTAATCAGCATCTTTGAAGACAGTTCATCTTTACTCTCAAAGATTTGAACATTATTTACCCATCGTCTACATTCATTCAACACATTGTAGGTACAGCAATTAAAAGAATATATCAAAAGTATAAAACGAAATTCTTACCTCTTGATCACTGCCTTGTGAAGATAAACATGAATTCGTCTGGATCCGCTCCTGCGTCATCTTCCTCTTCTCCTTTTCTGCTTCACCAGAATTACACAACACAACATCATAAACCAGGAATAATGATGTATGCGCAGCATTAAAAATAAGTGCTAATATGCGTAAGTAAATTGTTTCAATTTTCAATAATTCGCTTGTTTTAACTGATGTCAACCAAACAGCGGGCGATAGAATCTTCTCTTCTTCTTCTTCTGTAGTGGATAATTTCAATAAAAATTCATTGATTTCTTTTATGCCTGAATCAATTTCACTTATTAGAGTAAGCAGTTGATCGAATGAAGTCGTCGAAGTATTAGTGAATTGTACAATTGAAATATTCTATAATAATAGGAATAAAAATAAAATGAGTAGAAATTGGAAATTAGAAGTGGATGACGTAACAGTATAAATATCATCAGTGATTAGTAAAAGAAAAAGCACTAGACTAGTTGTTTCGCCCTAGTTTATGACTCTTCAAGAGTTCAGGCATTTATACAAACAACTGAACAAATGTCAGTGAATACCAATCCTCTAACGAATGTAAAAGTCTTGAGTACCATAAAGTTATAGAAAGCCGACCAGGAAAAACAACAGCAGAATCAGATGGAATTCCTTCAAAAAAACGCCCAAGATTGATCCAGAGACCACGCAGCAGATATCTTCATGCCATCATAATAGAAAGTTTACAAGGAAGGCTACCTTATCAAACTACCAGAGAAGGAAAATCTAAGAATAGCCATCGTTTTCCTCGATGGGAAACGTTAGCTGACATAGGAGGAGACTAGGCTGGAAAAAATGCTCGTGGTGATTAAATCAAAAAATGGCACCAATCTATGAAATCCTTAACAGTTATTTTGACCTGGTTACGTAAGAGGAATGTGTATACTACTTGGCGGCCCATTGGGATCCTAGAGATGCTGAGAACCAAGGTTTGGAGACAATTGATGATGATTTCCACAGCTTCGTTCCTCTTCAGTACAAAAGAAATTTAGTAAAGACCCTCACAGCTATATACTTAGAAGAAGTAATTGAAGATGAATTAAGTAAGCATTGTATATGATACTTCAATTGAAAATAGCTAACTATTCCGACAAATTTATCAAGGAACACATGACAAAGAAAACGGAAAATGACTACTCACTATCCGTAAACAAAAAGCCTCTTTATATACATACGACAGCAATTCAACGGCGATATACCAAGTGAAATAATTACAAAGAAATTAAAGAAATCAGTTCAAAGAACTTTTAATGCTGAGAAAGTACAAGTCTTATTTTCTACACGACCGATGGTGATTCCTCGATTGGAAGATGAAGTATCTAAACTAGCCAATTTCTTATTGTATCCACCAATTCAATTGCGCTTGTAGTGGAGCGAGTTATATTAGTCGTTGTTCTAGCTAGGAACTTGATTTTTCGTGCTTGCTGGGGAACATCTCCCAGTATGGCTAAATAAAGGTGTAGTAAAATCTGTCAAGAGTTCCATATTAGACCATGTGTTCCACACCAGTCACAAAGCCGGCCAGGATTGAAGAATCCTTCTCTATCATCATCTACCGCGTACCAAATAAATTACCAAAAACATCCAGCTACCGCAGGCTCCAGACAGCAGAGACTATCGCAATTCAAGTGAGACAACCAGTGCTTTGTGTGCAAAAGAAGCAAGTCCTGGTCAGCCTTCAGTGGAGACTATAAATTCATGAATTCATGTACTACAATTATCTTTCTTAATCTACCTGTCTAATATTCCGTGTATCGTGCTGTCGAACTGTAATCCATTGATATTATTATCATTATTGATTCGATGATATTTAGACAACATTAATTTTGTTCATAACACTAATTCATTCATTCACTATTATTAGGTATATATAACTGTAGATCCTGATGATGAAGTTATCGAAAAGAGTATTCTTTGTTCAGTAACCATTCTTTTGAAATATTTTAATGGACGTTTTCAATCAATTGATGATATATCTCAAAATCTTTGTCAACAATGGCGAAGATACATTCACTCTTTGGGATCTCTTATATCCACTAAACCCTCCTACTTTCCTATGTTACTATTCTTTCTCTCTCGCATTTCTGCTTATTAGCGTTCACTTTGAGTTTCCTCTTCCCTTTGTCCGCCTTGTGTGCTCTATTGGAGTGTGGCAAGTTAAACTGGAGAACTTTTATGCAAAGTTCTATGCTGAAATCAATCAGTTAGAAATACAAAGATTCCTTTCTTTGTTCTATAGATCCGGATGTCGTGTGTACATCAGAGATGAAGTAGGCTGGTAAATGCTATGAGGACCTTTTATCTATATGTGCTGAGATTTCGTCAGCAATCAATCAGTCCATTGGAACTGATATAACTTCCTAAATAAGTGTAATGGTCTCTACAGACTCAACCAATTCACTCCCTACCTTTAAATCTAGGAGTCGGTGTGTTCTATCTAGTCTTGCTGTATCGTCTTACACTTGATATAAATTGAGCGAATCACACGCCAAACATTCGTAGTTGTCTGCTTGAGGTGTTCAAAAGATTCTGCATTTTGTCATCGTCTTTACCTAGGACGACTATATTATCCTCATACTGCAGGTGAACAAAACTATTCCCTCATAGAAAGTCAATCCTTAAGTTACTGAAGTTTGTTAGAGTTGATTCCGTTAATATACCTATATTGAGATTAAATAGAAATGGAGACAATAGGCATCCATCCATCCAGTGGGGATTTCAGTGGGAAGTCTTCATCAGCTAAGTTCATCAAGTTGGGCGTGAAAATAGATTATACTCGCAAAATGACACTGACTGGCGGTCGGCACTGTAGTAAGAATTGGCTGAAATTAGAATTGATGGAGTATTAGACTCTATCCTCATGTCTGAATGACAACCTGAATGTGCTAAGCCTGACCCCTGGAGGTAGACTCATTAATGGGAACCGATGAAGAGGCCTAAAAAGGGACGAAACGGTTGCCCAGTATTCCCTGCTGATTTTCCAATTGTTTTCTAACTGAAAAGAATTCATGATCAAAATTGACACACCCTAACCCTGTCGACTACGACTCAGATTTTGATTTCTCTCTGTCTCTCTACTATCCCAGCTAAAGAGCCTGCATCGACCCCAAAAAGCATATTGTGAAAAATCGAATAAACTTACCCGATTTATTATCCCTTTTATAACTGGTAATACATCACTTTCGCTGAATTCTTCCCAATCCTCATTGACCATTTCATTGACAAGGTCACTGAAATCTATCCACAGGTTGGCTAACTTTTGTTCAATAAACATTATTTCATCATTTTCATTAATCGGCAGACTTTCATTATATGCATTTAAGCGTTTTAAAATCACGTTGATTTGTGTTATTAAAGGTGAGGTATGCAATGAATTGTCATGAAGAGTATTATAATCAACAGCTTGTAACGGTATGTATTCATTATCAGGAGAATTGATGTCGGCGTCGTGGCTTTCGTCATTGTTATTGTTGGGATGATGGTGGTGGTGATGATGATGTTCCTCATCATCATTTTTAAGTTTGACTAAGCCAAGTTGACATCTCTTTACAACATCGAGTATTTTCTGAAGTGATAATAATAATGACAATAACGCCAACATCAATGAAAAATATTCACATACAGGAGGATGACAACAAACAACAGTACGGAATTTAAAACATCACCAGTCCTGCCATACATAAAGATGGAATCTGTAAAACCTTACGTAGAATTACAAGTTTGATCAGGAGCTGACATCAGTTGAAGAACTATTGGAAAGAGGCAAAGGGTTCTAGACAGTACCACCTCCCCCCCCCACACACACACCTGAGTTCGAAACCAACGCGAACTCGTAGGCCATTCAGCCACTGAGATCTGATCAAACTTGAATTTAAACTTAACAAAGCAAGAATAGAGGTGGGATTCGAACTCACAAAATCACTTTTTTTTCCTTCACGTTCCCATTGCAACATAAGGCCCCAAGTTAGTGGCTTGAAGTTTCTGTAGCAGTGGTGATTATTTTTACAGGATGGGGTTGCTAGCCTCATGCCCAACCTTTCCTCTCTACCAGTTTCATCACTGGTTTGGCAAGGGTGAAGGAGTGCGTCTGAGGCCGGAGATCGAACCCCAGACCATTTGCCTGGTCGGCGAGCGTCCTAACCGCCGTGCCACCGACGCACTACAAAATCACTTAGAAACAAGTAATGCTGATAGGAGAATTTAGTTTTCAAGTATTGGTTTGTAGGGATTTGGTTGATTGGTTACAGGATTTCATCATGAGCTGACATTAGTTAGAGAACCATTGGAAAACCCACCTGGGAGTAATGGACAGCTGTTTCGTCCTAGTTTGGGACTCTTCATCAGTATGCACTCACTGGGGTTGGAACCCAGGACCTCCTGGTTACAAGGTGAGCTCGTAGACCATTGAGCTGCTGGGACCCGATCCATTGGCCCATAAGGTCCTGGGTTCGAACCCCGGAGGGTGCGTACTGCTGAAGAGTCCCAAACTAGGCTGATGAAACAGCTGTCCAATACTCCCAGATGATTTTCCAGTGGTTCTCTAACTGGTGTCAGCTCATGATGAAATCCTACATCCAATTTTAATTAAATTCCGTTCGATCTTTTCATTTCAGGCTTACTTTTATTTTGGTGGAGTGGAGGGGGGGTACTAAGATTTACGACTTACTTTGTATGATTTTGTCACTGATTCATGTAATAGTGCATTTTCATCAAATCTGTTCAGATACAGCGGATCAGTGGATAATCCCTGTGAGGTAGAATTCAAATCAGTAGTACAAAGCGGAGACTCTCCATCGATATTTCGGCCAGTTTTATTCTCCATAGCAAATCTACAAATGAAATATTAAAGGAGAGAGAAATTATTTAATTACTTTTAAGTGGCAAAATAATAAATGAAGAGAGTAGTACTGCTGGTGAAACTATCTGAGATAGTCTTATCATTATTATTTTCTTTAGTTCCTAGAGGAACATAGGGCTTCAGCCAAACGTCTCCTTTGCCTTCGGTTCTCTGCTAGAGTTTTCACCTGGCTCCAGATCTACCCACATGTTTTCATCTCCTCTTCACATGACCTCCTCTAAGTCACCCTTGGACGACCAACCCGCTTCCCTCTCCGGGTTCCACTCGAGCAATGGCTTGTCTAGTGATGTCACTTGATGGTTTCCTTAGAGTATGGCCAATCCACCTCCATTTCTTCCTGCATATTTGTTGTATAATCGGTTCCTGCTGCGCTGGTTCGCTCCCAGAGATCCCACCCTGATGGTGATCTTTTCTGGCCGGCCATCTGATCATGAGTAGTATTGAGCAAAGGCTGCTCTTGATGAAGGTGTGTAGTTTGTTTGAGGTGCTCTTTATGACGCGCCAAGCCTCTGATCCGTATGTAACAACAGAAGACAAGGGCCGGCAACAGATCCTTTTATTACGGAAATCAACACGTATTTATATATATTTCCTGTACATTATTATAGATTATGCAAGTAGACAAACGCAGGCTTCTGATTAGTTGTTTCGGGTAACATCGAAAAGTCGAGCCATCTATCTGCGAATCATATTTGCCCACGTTAAGTTTGCTGTGATTAGTTGTTGAATCAGCCTTGTTCATATTTTCTCACGGCCAATATAAGTGACCTAGACATTGACGTAGATTAATGTCTACCAATTGGCTAACAGCCTGCTCTCACCACACGTATAGTAGCACTGATTTCAAATCGGAGTTGAAAATCCGGATCTTATTTTTGGTGCTGAGTGATGTTGACCTCCACACAGACTTGAGATGAGATAGTCTTGGAATTACATTATTATCAAGTCCCTAGTAGAAAATAGGGCGTCATCAACGGTACATCTCCACGACACACTGTTGTTCTCTCCACAATGCCTTTTTGACAGGCTCCATGATTGCTAACAAGCTTTTGTTTCCTTCTCCTCAGACAGTCTCCTCCATGTCGATTTCTAACGCCCTACCCATCATCACCATCATTTACTATCCATCCACCACCCCTTCCCGTCGAGTGGCCTGACACATGTGATGTCACACTCCATGGGGTCTCCTCAGTGTGTTTTTTGTATGTCCAATCCATTCCCATTTCTTCCTACATACTGTTGTTCAATGACAGGTTCTTGGTTGGTTCTTCGCACTGCAATTTCTTTATAATAGATCGGCCATCTGATCCTCAGTAATTGGAAAAGGAGGCAGCTGTTGATGAAAGCCTGCTTGGGGAAATACTTTTTCTGTCATTTCTCTGAATTATATAGAAGTACTGGCTCGCCTGACATTATAGTGTTGAAAATCTGAGTCATGTTCCTTCCCAACACTGATTTCAGATTATTGAATATCCGTGTGGCTTTTCAATCCCATCATCATTGATCCAATGATGAAGGCGATAACCGAAAGTGATATAAAAACCTTCAGAGTGGTAGAATCGAAGCAATCGGCTGGTCAGCTGACTAGAAATCTGGAAGCTACGCATGCTGTGTACCATCCATTCACACTGTCGTTTGACAGAATTCGAGATGATGGCAGAGAAATGAAATAAAAACCATACATCAGCCTTTAACTATTCTACAGCAATCATAGGAAAAAAAGGCAACTGAAAGAGAGATGCATAACGCTATATACTACTGATTCATTGAAATGAGTAGTTTGAATAGGGCTCACATGAATCAGTAGTGCTTTCTAGCTAGCCCCATCAAAGTGACCTAGACACTGGACAGCTGTTTCATTCGTTTACGGCGGAGTTCATCAGTTGTGGTGGTGTACGCAGTTTGACATAAGCTCAGAGAGTCGAATCAGTTCAAGAGAGTAGTAAAATTAGCAATTAATAGTGTTCTCTGAGCTGGTTGATTTAGTTGCAGAGCTTTCGTCATCCCCCCTGCTGGACAAAATCCTCCTTCGGGGAAATTTTTAGCATAAAGTGAACTGATTTAAATTTTCCCTGAGTGATAGAATTGCGTCTCCTGGTGACCATCTTGACATATGTATTGGTCATTTTCTATTGACTTGGATTTTAAACTTTCTGGTCATCTGATTTACTTTTTATTAGTTAGTGTATTTGGTCTATATTAATGGGTTTGTTAATTGCATTTTTGTTTGAGTACCAGGCTTCGAGGAATTCCCTGACTGCACTTTTGGTGTTTCCTCTGTCTAAGGTTTCGACATTATCCCAATCAAACTGATGACCATAGTTACCTATATGCATTGACATGAAAGAATATATATCATGTCTTTTCACAGCTGATTTGTGTTCCTGGATTCTGATTCGAAGGGGACGACCACTTTGGCCGATGTAATGCCTGTTTCAGTTCATACCAGCTCAGAGAACACTATTAATTGCAAATCACCCACCTGAGCTACAAATCTTTTGTATTATTTCAGAGCAGTAAAAGTTCTCTAGCTATTCTTTCCATAGATTTGATATCCAGTGGTAGACATTTCGTCATCTAGACTAGATGACTTAATCAGTTATCCTTTTCTTTCTGCTAATCTTTCGTAAACAATGACCATAAATACAAGTAAGAAAAATAAACCAAGAGAATTTTCGCCTTACCCATTATATCCATCAAGAAAACTGGAGAAATTATTTGCGAATCTTCGATATCTATCCGTTTTGTTGTTTATTTTGTCCCCGACATCATCAGTGTTCTGCGTAGCCTTGAAATGTATAATATTGAACATTGGGTATTAAACAAATTCAATCAATATTGGTTATTAAAAAAAAGAAGAAAAGAAAGAACACTTTTAAATTGAATACCATTCACAAATGAATTTTATTCCATTTGAAATTAATGACCAACACTCGAGAGAAGAGAATAACAAACACCCTATATACATTGACTTCGGTATTCTCTTGTCGCTCATTATTATGTGCAATAACTCTAAAGATAAACTTTCACTATTATTTACCACTGCTATGTGTATCTACTACTACTAATTGACTTGCTCATCTGGAGAGAGATATGTGGATGCCCACTGTCCCCATTTATATTTAATTTTCATCATAGACACACTAATGGAATTAACCCCGAAGTGACTTCAACGACATAGCGACCAACTCGTTACCAGGGAATAATCTCATTGACTTAGAATATGCAGATGATATAGTCCTCCCCACTTGGTGAAGAAGCTGACAAAATGCAGAGTCTTCTGAACACCTTGGGGAGCACAGCAATCTTCGAATGTTTGGCATGCGAAACGCTCCCGCCAAATGTAAGATGATGCTACTGGACTGAACTGGACTACATTCACTCTTAGCTTAGAAATAAGAGGTGAAGTGGTAGATCACGTTGATCGTTTCACTTATTCGGGAAGTACCATCAGCCAACGCCAACGGGTTGATCGCTGACAAAATCTCATCATGGATACAGAGGGCTAGTTTCGCATATGCCAGTTTACGCCGTCTCTGGCGTAGACGAGATATCCGACTATCGACCAAACGGCGTGTGTACTGCTCATCAGTCCACTCCGTCTTCCTTTATGCCTGTGAGACGTGGACATTGAGAATGGAAGACATGAAAAGCCTGACCGGCTGTCTTTGATCATAGGTACCTGCGCTCTATCTCCCGTGTGAAATGGTATAATAAGGTGAGCAATATTGAGGTGAGGCGTCGGTCGAGTGCTAGGTAAGGAGGAGGGGAAATCAATCGACGAGGTTGTGAAATTACATCGACTGAGGTGGTTAGGATATGTGTTACGTATGCCCATCTAGCCATCCCCTTCCTCGACAATGGGCAATGTTAGCTGATAAAGGGTCAGGCTGGAAAAGAGCTAGCGGTGGTCAAACCAAAACATGGCTTCACCAGTCAATGAAATCTACAACAGTTAGTTTAAGCCATCCAGGTAGGAAGGTGTAGACTTCCTGACTGGTTGGGGGTCCTTGGGACGGTAAAAACCAATGGTTGGAAACAATTGGTGACATGGTTCAAAATCGTTCTCAATGGCTCTCGCAGATGCATCCACTCCTTGTGACTTATAATACCCAATGAAACTATATTGTTCTTCGTTATTACCATTCCTTTGTCTCACACCTCTGTTTACTGTCTGTGTTATACATTTCTTCTACTTTCTTCTTTTGCTTTGTGTGTTACAAGGAGGGAGTGTGGTGACTCGAACTGCTGCACATCGATGCACAGTTCTATGTTGAAAGATATCAGTGAGTCAGGCAGTCAGTGCATGAATTCTAACTTCTACTAATTCATAATTTTAGAGCGACCACCACCCAATATGTCATCGGTGGCAAATATTTGTCCTCGCTCTGCTGACCAACCTAGTCACAACTTCTCATTAGAACTCCAGGCGAATTTATCCAGCAACCAGTCACTGGCGAGCATCACATTAAATTTTCAAGGGTTTATTTTCAAATTGACAACAATAATGTACTTTGATTGGTGGATGGTGACTATCAGTGGATTCCAGGATGCGCACTTCTTCCTATTTGGGACTAGTCCTCCAGCGGATGTACCTGCATTCCGAAGTGAGTGATGATGTCCCCACCGAGGCTCGAACCCAGTGCCTATAATTGCAAACGTCGAAGCGTTATCCACCAGATCACTTGGGCCACGAGAGCCACCTCTTGTGCAACGCGTCATATTAATTACTAAATTGAATTTTAGATTTTTCCGTCGATTGATTGGACCGAAGTGCTTGGTCTCTGAGACCCATTGCACAAGAGGTGGCTCTCGTCGCCCAAGTGGTCTATTGGATAACGCTTTGGTGTTTGAAACTATGGACACTGGGTTCGAGCCTCGGTGGGAACATCATCACTCACTTCGGAACGCAGGCACATCCAGCTGACGAGTCCCAAATAAGACGAAATGCTCACACTCGATCCCACTGCTAGTCACCATCCACCAATTAACTTCTTTCTAATTATATGCCCAGACATCGTCGAAGCATCTGCACAAGAAGCCGACATGTCAACCTGAGACCAAGGAGCACTCCGGTCCAATCAACCGACGGGAAAATCTCAAATTCAATTAAAATAATGTACTTCTCTTAAAAAATTGAAATCAAAAGATCAGGATTCATTTCAGTGTACATTTCACCACCGAATAAAATCAGTTATAGATAGATCATTGAAAAACACGGGAGCACTACATAAATATTTCATCCTACTCTACAAACCTTGACAGTGCATAACCACACCACAACTCTTCGAGGAATCGAATCTAGGACTTTCAGGTTATGAGACCAAACTCATTGAGTCTGCAATGCAGTGACCGGTGTATTTTTTAAAATAAATAAATCAATAAAAAGATGCTTACCGATGATACATTTATACAAACTAAACTATTCATTGGACAACTGCTTGATGATACTGTCGTTGACTTGATCATTTCGCCTAATATTTCTTCACAATGATCTGAAATGTATTGATTGTTTCCTGAATGACGTAGTGTAGCAGATGAGGCCGACGACGACAGCGACGGCGACAACAGTGATGGTGAAGTAGCACCAAGATATACAGAGGTCAACTGTTCATCTGAACAGCTAGTAGAAATATGAACGCCAACCAGTGGAGAGGCATCCCTTTGATCTTTTTGCTTATTTCCACTTCTACAGAACATGAAAGAATCTGTAGTTGAATATGTCAAATGTAATAAACTGATTGGATTTGGTGGGTGCTTATCGATGCAGAGTGAATTACATCGTCTTCGAGCTATTGTCTTCAAGGATGAGGAGCGGTTGTAATCCAGAGTTGCAATACAGACGCTTTGAGTACGACGACGACGATGACGACGGGATTGTCTGGAGTTGTTGAAGTAGTGACGTTCAGAGACTTCAAATTGTTTGAATAAATGCATACGTTTCTTTAAATTGTTCAAATGACTATAAAAAACAAATGAATAATAATACATTGGGAATGGTCGATTTAGAGAACAAATATATAGACGTTTTCATCTTTGAATACTACACACACACACAGCTGGTGTGTGTGGGGTGGGGGCGGTTAAATCCCCAGACCTCAAATACTCAGAAAACACTATCGCTACTGAAACTCTAAAGCTTAAAGCATGAATCCCCTCTCCATGTTCTACTCAGAGCTCAAAAGAATGAAGAAAGCTCACTAATTTCGATCAGCATGAGAACAATTAAAAAAGGGGAATCAGTTTACAGATTTCATCAGTGAACGATCTCACTTTTTAAATAAAACTTCTTGGAGAGAATCGGGTATTGAGCTATATTATCTGATATTGGGCTATTGGATCGGTTCCCAGTAGATGAATAGCCTACGAGCCTGCCTTGTAACCTGGTGGTTCTGGACGCTGAAGAATCCAAAACAAGGGCGAAACGGATTTTCACTACACCCAATATTTCTCTAATTGATATTGCCTCGTGTAACCAATCAAATCCCTGAGAACCAACACTCAACATTTTACCAAACATTTATCATATATATGCCACTTTAACTAACTCCTTTCTTTAATTGAGTGGACAGAAACACTACTGTCCCCTCGGGGTGGTGCTTCCCTTTAAGCTTTCACTCCATTTCAATAATTTTTTCACCCTACGGTAAATTCAACCAATTATATTTTAAAACTGTACTCCCTTTTTCTCACCCCCTAGACATCCTACACAAAAAATTAAGCCCTTTATTATCTTGATGTTCATTGATTAAATGTTAAAACAGCACCGGGGGCGATAACAGAGGGGTGGGTACAGATTTCAACCTTCACCTACTGTGGTCTATGATTGGTCATTAGTTTGTACTTTTGTCTGACATAACTGAGTAATTGTCATGCACTTTAATTTACTTTATTATTGTGAATCATACTAGTAGTAAAGCGATTGGAGAGAGAGAAAGTACAAAATGATGCTATTATCTTGCGAAAATTTGTCTTCTAGATGACTTATTCAAACTTATGATAGAGACTAATTGTACTAAATAATAATAGTAGTAATAATAATATAAACAGTAATCGGAGTATTACTACCCACAGTATTAAACAATCCGAACACTTGATATTTTCAGGTAGGGATTTAGTCTGATTGGTTGGATTGTTTCATCATGAACTGACCCATCAGTTCGAGAACTGGACAGCTGTTTCGTCCTAGTGCTCGGGACTCTTCATCAGTAGTACGCATCCACCTCCAGGGTTAGGTCCCGGGACCTTCAGGTTACATGGTCAGCTCGTAGACCATCCACTCAGTCACTGGAACCCAAACCAATGGCCAGCTCATGAATTCTAACTTCTGACAGACAATTCATGACATAGCGCAACCACTTCGCAATGTCTTCTTCGATGAGTTCCTGCCACGCCTTCAACCAGAAGGTCTTGAGTTCCAAACCCACCCCGGGGGTGAATACTGTGGAAGAGTCCCAAACTACGGAGAAACGACTGTCCAGTAACTCTCTGGTTGGTTTTCCAATAATGGTTCTCTAACTGATGCCAGCTCATGATGAAATCCTCCAACACTTGATAATGTTAATGAATAAGTCAAGTGGAATACACTTCGAATGAACAGAATTCAAATTTCAGTGTATTAGCAATATCACCGGCTGCTGATTATTAATGGAAACTTGGGTATAAATATGTACGAAGAATTAATATGACATATAAGACACTAGACACAGAAAGAACATTATTAGATGTGGCTGAAGACGGTCGTTGCGAAGCCGCGCGGACCTGGCTTTTATACCTATTTTGCTACTCATCGTTTGCAGAGAATGAAGTATTATCTCCTCCTCCTCACGCATCTGAATATGCGACATCCAGTGCTACACACGAGTCGGTGGTTCAATGATAGAACATTGGCCGACCACGCAAGTACCCCAGGGTTCGATCACCGACCACTGACGCACTCCTTTTACCTCACTTAATCGGTTGTAATAAGCCCGGTAAAGAGGGAAGGTTGGACGTGATGCTGGCAACCCCCTATGTTCCACTGGGAATGCTTGCTAGCCAGCCTCATGACCAACCAACCTTCCTTCCTTCCTTTCCTCGATTACGTACACTAAGGGTGACTAGTAAATTAGGCGAGATTTAGGAGCGCATCGCTTTTCGGGAATTGAACCTCGGGACATGGTAATGGAGCATTTAGTGAGCATTCTACCCTTGAACCATCGAGGCAAAGAGTCGTTACCAATGAGCTATTATTCGGGTCCGAGAAAAAAATAATACAAACTGATCGATAACCAAAACTGATCAAATTCGGTTACAGTATCAACACTCTGTCTTTCTGTCTTGATTCAACATAGAACTTGGCACCGAAGTGCACCAGTTCCAGTTGGCACGTTCCAAATACCACACAAAGGTAGACAAGAAGATGAGTGAAGAGAATCAACCGAGTTTGACAAGTATAAGAGTGAAACAGAATGGGTAATGGTAGAAAGGAATATGAAAGATTACAGAGACTGAATACATCTGCTCCGGCCATTGACAACGATTTTGAGCCATGTCACCTATTGTCTCCAGCCATTGATTCCTAGAGTCAGTCCCGAGGGCCCCAACCCGGAAGTCTGCATCTCCCTCCCTACCTGACTCAGTTTAACTGTCAAGGATTTCATGGATTGATGAGGCCATGTTTTTGTTTGGCCACTACTTACTCTTTTCCAACCTGCACCTATATCAGCTAGTAATGCCCGTCGGGGGAGGCGATGGTTAGGCATGCGCACCACCTGACCTAGCCATCTCAATCTATGTAACTTTATAGTCTCGTCGATTGATTTTCCCTGTTTGCCCAACACTCTACGCCTAACGTCAACATTACTTATCTTGTGAAACCACCTAACGTGAGACAGAGATCGCAGACATCTATGATCGAAAGCAGTTAACCTTTTCATGTCTTCAACGCGTATTGGCCATGTTTCAGAGCCATAGAGAAGGACGGAGCGAACTGATGAGCAGTACACACGTCCCTTGGTTGATAGCCAGCCGGATGTCACACCTACGCCAGAGATGGTGTAAGTCAACAAAAGCAGCTCGAGCTTTTTAGATCTGTGCTGAGATTTCGTCACCAATCAGTCCGTTGGTGCTGATACAACTCCCCAAATAGGTGAAGTGGTCAACATGTTCTATCACTTCACTCCCTATCACTAAGTTAGGAGTTGACGTAGTCCAATCCTGTAGCAGGCAGCATCTTACATTTTGCAGGGGCGAATCGCGTGCCAAACATACGAAGATTGCTGCTCAAGGTGTTCAGAAGACTCCGCTATATTTTGTCAGCATCCTCCCCTAACAGTACTATGTCATCTGCATATTCTAAGTCCATAAGACTATTCCCTGGTAACAAGTCGATTCCTAAGTGGTTAAGTTCAGTTAAGGATACTTCCATTAGCATATCTATGATGAAGTTAAACACAAGTTAAACAGTATCAACACACAAAGGACTAGAAATATAAGACACTGGTTAAGCCTCTCTCTCTTTCTGGGACATTAATCAATATAACAAAGAAAGAGACAACTCACTTGAATAGATCAATCTGAACATGTTTCACATTTATCACAAGTGATTCACACAAAGGTTTCATGCATATCTTCATTTGTGTAATACAATAAACATTGACAAACGTGTTCACACGTTCATCATTATCATCATCTTCAGTTTTTGTGATTTCATAAAATTCTTTCTTGACATGATCTATCCAGAGAAGGAAAGTGCTCAACATTGCATAATGATCCTAAAATATAAATAAAATGAAGGGATGTCAGCATCTTTGAAAAGCATTTACGGACGAAGCTTAATTTCAGACTCACAACAAGCACGAGACAACACACGACCACACGACTTTGGAATACTCACAGTGACACACAGCAGCACGACAATGAAACACAACCGGGCGAATAACACTGTATTACTCAATAATACAAAAAAAAATAAAGTGTAATGGTGATATTAAATAGGAAAGCTGATTAGTTTAGGGGAAGACTACGCTTAGATTTAGGATTGGTATTGTGCTGTACGCTAATAACAAGATTTAGCAGTAGTATGTATAGACCCGAATCCAAAGGAAGCGGCCAAAACTGAAATTTTTTATTTTTGTTTACATCTTGATTCCACACTGTACTTTTTGGTACAAGTATGAAATTTCCAGCATGGATATCGGTAGCCTAAATTTCGCAGGCCGACCATAGATATCAGGTGTGCGTTGGCAGGGGGATCCAAACCTCGAACCATGTGCATGGTCGGCGAGAGTCCTAACCACTGTGCCAACGACGCACATTTATTATATTAGAACAAGACATATAAGCGAACAATATTATTTTCAATTAGATCTTCTTCAAGCGGTCACCAAATGGACAAAAATAGTGCCTTCAAAGTTATCTATCGCCTTCCATCGAGTCTTTCGAACGGAATCAGAAGCCGTCTTTTACACATAGCCGAAGCCATGGGAATCAATTCGAGAGAACAATCCTAGTCTTTGTATACAACAAAAGGAGTTTGTTCTACCTTTGTCTCTCCCTTGGTCTAGGTGAATTCTATTCAAAACCTTCCCACCCTTTCTTATCTCCCATCTCCTTAGTACTTTTATGATATTTATTTAAACTCTGATTATCGTTCCATTTCACCTTTTAAGATTTGACCTAATTTGTTTATGTATTGAATTGTCTACATATACACATATTACTACCTCTGTTATTCTTATCATCACCTGAATAAACCTTATTATCAATATTTAGTTATCATTATAATCGTCGATATTAACTATGTTCAAAACATTTACCACATTATTATTATTTGATCCACAAAATCACTGTCATTGGTTAAAAATTTTCTTATATATAAATAAGTCTATGTAAATTAGAGTAAAGCCAGAAGAAGTTCGAATTGAAAACAACAGCAATATTGTTCGCTTATATGTCTTGTTCTAAAACTGAAATCGCCATTTTCAGTCACCAATGCAGCTGCAGCAGAAGTAGAAGTATTCTTTTCCTCCTCAGGATTGGATTTAGATAACGTCGTGGTCCGCAAATAATCTCACAGGCCAACACTTTTCGCCTTTTGGTTTAACCTTGAGCCAATCACCAACCAACCAACTAACCAATCAGAAGAGCGGATTGTCCACTGATCTAACCGACCTTAAATGTAGCTAAAAAATGTACAAATGTCGTGTGTTTTTCCTTTTACGTTACCAAGTCTGTTGTCTTCTCCCCCTTTACAGTGCAGGGTAACCTAATTTGGAATGGACAAGGGTTAGTTAGGTAAAAGGGCGCCAAATTTAATCTGAAGTCCAATAATCGCTTGTTTTGCTTTAAGATTATTGGTGCGCGTCAGTGCCTTGTAGGGATATCCTAAAGTAGTTGAACTTTTACCCCAGAAACATTGTATGATGCCTAAAATTGAACACGCATATTCATACATCTGAAATTATCGAGTAAGTCAAATGATTTAATAATAAATAATAATAATGATTTACTGTATTCCCAAAACAGTACTTGTGATACAGAATGGAATTTTCAGCATTAATCACAATATTATTGCATCTAATCTCCTCAAATTATAAATAAAATTGATCACACAGAAAATCCTTCACATTTACAATAGGGGTAATGTCAGAAACATGCAGCATATAAAATGGAAATAATAATAATAATGATAACAGCTAAGGTAATAATAATAGTACAAGTAAAAAATGCCGTAGGCTTGTTACACACAGTACTGTCGATGCGGTATAGAAATCCTAGAATGTTTAAAAATATTGAATATAATGTTCTCTTTACATGATATGTTGAGGGGAAAAACAAAGATTACAGCAGTCATAGAGATAAGTTGGTGTTTGCAATTATGGAAGTAAAACAAACAAAGAAGCAACAGGACCATGAATATAATAGAAGTAATAAAAGTAAAACTTGAGGGTATATAAGGATTGGATGGAGGAAACTGTTTATTTACTAGATGAAAAAAGGTTAATTAATTCTTGCCTGACACTATTTTCATCACATAAAATACGTGACAAGTATGGTATCATAGAATTTCTATACTTAGACGTGTGAGCATACAATTTTCTGAAGTTACTTCTTGTTCTACCTGAGGAGATGCAAGGTGAAAGGGTAAAGTGGATGCTCCAAGTAAGACAAAATCCCTCTAGTAAATATATTGCATGAAGTCAAGTGCCTATCGACAACGACGTTGACTGTGTGGTCCACTGGGACACCACTCACCCTGCTGACAGTCTTCAGCATTCTACGAATTGTGACATAGTCTTTTTTAAGCAAACCAGGAAAGAATAAGGGTGATTTTGATGTGGTTTTGTTCTCTGAGCTGGATAGTTAGTTTGCGAAGCTTTCATCACCTTACTGGGTGACATCTTCAGCGCATACTTCAAATTGAAGTGAGCTTTTAGGTTTCTCCACGAGTTTATTAATCATTCCTCCTGGTGACCTTGGACGTGATTGGTTGTTTATGTATGTTTTCACACCTTCTAGGTTACTTGTGTTGGAACTGATTGTTTCTGTGACTTGAACTTTGGCCAATCGTGTGTGAAGTTTCTTTCTTATTGGTTGATAAATTTTGTCTATCTCGATGTGTCTATTGATTGATGATTCACTGGAATGCCAAGCTTCTAAAAATTCTCTAGCATTCTTGTTATTTCCTTTGTCTAATATTTGAACGTTGTCCCAGTCGAATTGATGTCCGTAGTTGTCTGTGTGTAGTGAAATGAGGGAGTGGATATCATGTCTTTTGACGGCTAGCTTATGTTCGTGGATACGAAGACGAAGGGGACGTCCACTTTGGCCGATGTAGTGTTTTTCGCAGTTGTTACACTTTATTTTGTAGATGATGTTGGTTTTGTCTTCTTTCGCTGTTGAGTCTTTTGGTTGACATAGAATTGAGTGCAGGGACTTTGTTGGTTTGTGTACGACGTCAATTCCTAAAGGTTTGAAGAGTCTTTTGGTGATTTCTGAGATATCCTTTATATATGGTAAGGCGATTTTCTTTGTGTTTTCCTTGGTGGCTTTTGTTTTGGTAGGTTGGCTTGGGGGTATATGTCTCTTGATGAAATTCCGTGGATATCCATTCTTTTGGAAGACGTCCATGAGATACTTTTCTTCAATTTTCCTTAAGGTGGGAGTGCTGCAGTGAGTCCTTGCTCTCTTGAATAGTGTTTGTATGCAGTTCCTTTTGTGTGCTATTGGGTTGTTGCTGTTGTAATTCAGTATTTGGTCTGTGTGAGTTGATTTCCTATAAACTTGAGTTTCTAATTCTCCTGTAGTTGTTCGCCTGACTAAGACGTCCAAAAATGGTATTTTGTTCTCGAATCCGAGAACAACTGCGAAAAACACTACATCGGCCAAAGTGGACGTCCCCTTCGTCTTCGTATCCACGAACATAAGCTAGCCGTCAAAAGACATGATATCCACTCCCTCATTTCACTACACACAGACAACTACGGACATCAATTCGACTGGGACAACGTTCAAATATTAGACAAAGGAAATAACAAGAATGCTAGAGAATTTTTAGAAGCTTGGCATTCCAGTGAATCATCAATCAATAGACACATCGAGATAGACAAAATTTATCAACCAATAAGAAAGAAACTTCACACACGATTGGCCAAAGTTCAAGTCACAGAAACAATCAGTTCCAACACAAGTAACCTAGAAGGTGTGAAAACATACATAAACAACCAATCACGTCCAAGGTCACCAGGAGGAATGATTAATAAACTCGTGGAGAAACCTAAAAGCTCACTTCAATTTGAAGTATGCGCTGAAGATGTCACCCAGTAAGGTGATGAAAGCTTCGCAAACTAACTATCCAGCTCAGAGAACAAAACCACATCAAAATTATCCACCTGAGCTACAAATCTTCTCTATCATATCTAGAATAAGGGTGAACAATAAAGAAGAATAGGTAGGATGCAAGAGTTTATGAACTAACTGTAGGAGGAGGGGTTGAGTTATACCCGAGTGTCTTAACTTCTTAATGTAAAATGTCAGGCGGAATATTTCACTGGAGATCGCTAAGATATGAGAAGACCAGGAGGAATCAGAAGACAGAATAAGTCCAAGATACTTAATTTCTGATTTGATTCCTATATCATTGGCGTCAATATTACAACTGTCATGAGAATCGATGACTTAGATGACACTTAGAAGGATTCAGTTTAAGACCGTTAGACAAATCAGGAAAATTAATAATGAAATCAAACGAATAAAGAAAGTATTTATTGTATTACTAGTCAACACAACTACCCACCAGAATTTATTTAGAAATGTATGAAAAACCATAAAGAAAATAAGAGTAGTAATGAGAATAACATAAGTAATAAGAAATTTAAAGCCTCGATAGTACTACCACCATATAAAGATTCTCAATGAGGCTGGAATTAGGGTGGGGCATTGAAACCAACCAACTCTCTCAGAAATAAACTTTACCGGCCGAATGATTAGATAGATCCAATTCATCACTTGTTATTTACGTAATATCATACAATAACTGTCAGTGAGGTCAAATACATAGGTAAAACGAGCAGATTAAGGTCAGTTGGATCATTGGAATATTAAGATCTAACTAGATCATCTAGAATGATTGACACTGGTAAGTTAAATAACCTAGGAAAAACTCAGCCACTGCATTGTACTCACACACTTCCATGTAATCACGCAATAGGATGGAATAGAGTAAAAGCATCAAAAGTTAATATAATTAGGTGGAGAGAGAGCGAGAGAGAGAGAGCGTGGTTAATCCCTGGAATCTTTGTTCATCGAAGCAAAAGACAGTACATGTAATCGAAATGACGCAGCAACACATATTCTAGAGATATGTGAAAAAATTACACTGAATAACAAGGGGGAAATATTGAATTTCAATCTTAGTATTTTCAATTCATACTTTTTTACAGTCATGAATTCAACTGACTTCTAACAAATTTAATACGTCGGATGGTTGGAGGCAATCGGCCACAGGGAACCCCCAGCCTAACACCTAGGTTTCGTGCTTATTGTTCACACTCACCAGTCACAGTAAGGCGTACTATCTGCAATCTAGAAGGAACTCATGTCGCTTCAGAGATTCGAACCTGCGTCAGTCACCAAGTGCTGCCGGTAAGAGAGGTTACCACTGAACTATTTGGGATCGTGATTGACCTCCTGTAGGACTGTATTGGGTACTTTGATTGAACACTAGTAATTTGTGTGATGCGTCAGTGCCAATGTGCAGCGTGATGGTGAGCTACCCAGACTGGTGGACATATTGCAAACCTGACTGATAGAATTTAGTCTGCATCAAAGAAAGGACTAGACACATCACACTAGTAACTGATTAGTGTCCAATCAAAATTTAATATATATAGAAATCTTTGAAGTTAGTCTCCTGAAGTTAAACAGCGGCGGTAGTAATAAGTGTATTTAAAAGGATGTAATAATGTGATACTACAACTGTGGTGAGAGCTGTCTGCTAGCCAAAATTGGTAGACAGCAATTTACATTAATATATACCTCCCAAATCTTGGTCATGAGAAAAAAACAAAAACAAAGCCTAACCTTGAGGAACTCAACAACCAATCACAGCAGACTTTGCGTTGGTGGACACGATTCGCAGACACATGGTCTGACCTTCAAGGAAACGGCCACAAAGAGATGACAGGCTTATTTTCAGTGAGAAAACAACCAATCAGAAAACAGTGTTTCTCTGCTAACAATAACGAATAATAATGTATATAAAAATGTATAAATATCTCTTGATTTTCTGAATAAACGATCTATTTCCTGACCCTTGTCTTCTGTCATTACAAGACTACTATTACTACTAAGATATGCATTACATGGAATTATGGGGGGTGGGGGAAAGGAAACTCCTACCCATTAAACTAAATAACTAACTAACATACCTTCAATTGTTTCTCTGAGTAAAACTGTTTCCATATCGAAGAGGTTGAGATAACCAATTTATTATAGAAAAAGTTATATTCATGTAAAAGTTGATCAATTCGTCGGATTAAATACACAACTCCATTGATTTCTCGTTCACAATAAATCATATTAGTAACAATACGATTATAAATATCTATATAAATTAATAAAATAATAATAAAACAAATCGGGAAATTAATTTAATGGATGATGACTAACAGTTGTGGAATCCAGAGTATGAATTTCGTCCTATTCGGGACTCGTCGGTTAACTGGATATACCTGCATTCCCCAGTGACGATGGTGTTGCCACTGTGGCCAGTAAGTACCTAGTAAGTAACTTGTCATTGTTTCAAACGCCAAAGAGTTATGCACTAGACCAATTGAGCCAACAGAGCCGCCTCTTTCTTGTGCAGTGAATGTATCAGTAATTATTTAATTCAATTTAGACGTTCCCCCTCGATTGTGTTTGGACCAAAGTGTTAGGCGTCAGGTTGACATATCAGCTCCTTTGGTGGATGTGCCGATGATGTCTGATGATTTAACCTGAAGTGATTTTATGGATGGTGACTAGCAGTGAAATCTAGAATGTCCCAATCAACAGGAAAGTGCAAATTGAATTAAATAAAGAAGGAAATTGCTTAAAACGACAACCTCAAGAATAAAGATGAGAGAATGGTAAAGGAAATATAGTGAATTAAGAGTTAGTCTGAAGGGGGGGGTATTCTTTCCAATAAATTCTCCTCTTCAGGTGCTCATAACTATAAAATATAATGTTTGTTATCATTACAATAATAATAATAGCCAGTTATGTGATGGATAAAACTCTACCTATAGAGGAGAATACAATACAATATTCTCTGAACTTTCTGGACATCTCACTCTTAACAAGACGAGAGGATGGATCCATTAAAATAACGATGTTTTCAAAGGTAGAGGACAAAAGCTCAGTATATATATGATTAGGTACATAGCAGTTAGAACGAGGTCGATTTCCTCCGAAGACTATGTAGACAAAGAACTCCAAGAAGGTATAGAGATTCATGGATAATCCCCATCCAGGCATTAATGAAAACAAAACATGTAGATCAACGAAGAGTCTCTTTTCGGTGGCGAATTCATTTTCTTAGCTGTACAATCCCAAATATATATGTGTTGTTTTGTATGTATGTGTACATTAAGTTTGTCAAACAAAATTACAATTGGTTAAGGTTACTTTTAACTGAACAGGTGAAGGTTGGTAATACAAGTCAAGAAAATTAAGTGTTAATGAAACTAGGGTAGTAACAAAGGTGATGAGTTATCACAAACAGTTGTTAAGAGATATCAAGAAACGTTTACATAAGTCATAATAGGGTTATACTGGTCACAAATAGGAACACTGACAAGAGTTGAGAGAAAGCGGAGTTATTTTCGAGTCTACAATTCAAGCGAAAAGCTCCTATGGGGATTCTATGCTGAAACCTTTCCACCTAGAAACACATTGGCCTAGATCTTCTACACCTCATTCTGGACATGTCAAATTCAACATTTAGATTAATTTTGATTTTTTACTTACTGAGTTGAATAAATTCACTCTGCCCCAAACCCCGTCATCCACCACCCCTAACTTGTCGAATTATACTGTAGTGGTGGGATACAGACAATGTGTCCCAATGGAATATTATTCTCACATATTCCCACAGTTCAAGACTGCATTAGCAAAAGAATACTATATATGCATATTTGAACATTCTATTGCATGTTGTTTGACGTAAACCGAAATCATACGCTCGGTGATTGATTGGTTAACGAATATAATCTGAAGATATATAAACAGCGGTCTGATCAATGGAAAATATACCTGACTCCCCTTCTGTCTTTTAACACTGAATAATTTGTCTAGTTACATATCGCTTAGGAATTAATTACGTCGTCGATACTCGACGTCACTGTGTGAAATTTTACGTGCAGCATTGATATGTAACTTATATGCTGTTTAGAATGTACGCAGTTAAAAAGAATCCATGAATTAGGGAGAGAGAGAGGGAGTTCGTATTACCCTGTAAATATGTTCAGGGCAAGTTAAACTTCAAGAACCACTAACTACCCATGAAGTGTGACAGCACCAATGACCTTGAGACGCCCACTTAGCAAATTAGTGAAACCTGGTAAATAATGCTGTCACCATCACTAAAATATGCTCATCCAAGAGTGTCATGTTATTAAATGGGATTTCTGGCAAGTTACAGCTTAGGTTTGAGGCAAAGATGAACAACAGCGTCCCAGGGGATGCGGACGCACGAGTGTCCTTGAGCCAACCAATCATAAAAATGAGGAATTTTTGCATGAGAAATGATGTATATGTACAAGCAAATGCAGGAAAACACATTAAACAGAGCATCTTTCTCTGACATAACTTAAAAATACGTCCCACCTATAATGAAAAGTTTCAGTTGCCAAGTTAAACTAGTTTCTGTACACATATTCACCGAGATGACTGAAGATGAGCTGTTTTTGTGAATCGTTTATCTCACTTGTTGTGCAGTCTTCCCCCAAAAGCCTTCGGTTGAATTACTATGGTTTCCAGTAAGTGGATCAACAACTACTTACCAGGGAAATGTGGATAATAAAACAAATTAAAATAAATATCATCACTTCTAAATCATCTATACCCTTTCGTAACCCTAACCTTAATTACAACCCTAATCCTAACTGTAAGCCTAAATTTTTTCCTTCACGTTCCCAGTGGAACATAGGGCCTCAAGCTAACGGCTTGAAGTTTCTGTAGCCACATCCCCAATCTTTCCTCTTTACCAGCATTATTTATGGCTTACCGAGGTAAACGAGTGCATCCGTTGGCCGGGGATCGAACCCCAAACCATGTGTATGGTCGGCGAGCGTCCTAACCGCTATGCCACCGACACACAACTGTAAGCCTAACCGCAATCCTAATTATAACCCTGATCCTAACTCTAACCCAAAACTTACCTTAAACGTTATCTTAACCTTAACGAGATATTAACACACTGTCTAAACAGTACTTAAAAACGTTATCTGGGTGAAATTTGCTGCTTAGCAGGTGAATAACATTGGTATTGCAGCTATGATAATGACAGGTGTCGTTAGTCAATGAGTAGCACGCGTTCAAGGCACTGGAGGGTTCGCGCTTCTGGGACGCGATTGTTGAACTTGGCCAGTTTGAGAAAGAGTTACGCTTTAAACCAAGGACAGGTTAGTGGCAGTTTAACCTAACAAAGGTGACATTAAGGTTGGTTCGAGTTAGAGTACAGTTAGTTTAGGGATATTTTCACGTTACGGATAGGTTCAGGAAAGATCAAGGTTATTATCATGGTTAGAAGACCTAAATAATTACATGCATAGAATGTAGTTAAATTACTCTGTTGACATAAGAATAGGACTTATGAACTGTGGTAGGGTATAATTCTCTTGTAAGTAGAATTTATTTTGATAAATTCTCACAGTGTTACACAGTAGCACTTACTCATGACGACCACGTCTCGAGCACAATTTATTGCTCAGTAAATATTACTGTATAACACTATGAGACTTTATCAAAACAAATTTTAGCGACAATGGAATTATACCCTGTTGATACACCAACTTAAAAAACTGAGAGCTACTTTTATCACATGTGAGAAAAAGGTATCCTCTGTAACACTTTTATACAATTTTTATGCATTTTTTTTACATAAATATGTATATTCCATACACAAAAATGCCTCCTTCACGTGATTCGTGAGTTCGAGGTCATTCTCTGATTGGTAGTTAGTGGTGCTTAAAGTTTACCTCTGTTCATTCTTTCATTGTTCAAATTAATCAAGGGAATCAGTTGTATGAAAATCATTCAATTAAATATAAAGAATTATAAATTTTCAAGTATTGATTTTGTTTGATTGCATGCAGGATTTCATCATGAGCTGACATCAGTTAGAGAACCATTGGAAAACCAACCAAGAAGTACTGGACAGCTATTTCGTCCTAGTGCTTGGGGTTCTTCATCATTACGCACCCACCGGGGTTCAAACCAAGGATCTACGAAGACATTGGGAAATGGTCTCGCTACGTCGTGAATTGGCAGAAGTTAGAATTCATGGACTGGCCATTGGATAGGGTCCCGGTGGTTCAATGGTATACGAGCTCGATGGCTTTGTAACCAGAAGGTCCTGGGCTCGACCTCTGGCGGCGGTGAGTGCGTACTGATGAAGAGTCCCCGGCACTGGGACGAAACAGCTGTCCAGTACTCCCAGGTTCTCCAGTAGTGGTTCTGTAACTGATGTCAGCTCATGATGAAATCCTCCATCCAAAGAATTTTATGACAGACAGACAGTTAACTAACTAACTGACTAACTAAGCAAGTCACTTACTAGATAATTCATTATTTATGCTTGTTTTGATTTCCCACTTGTAAGCACCAGTTGTAGTACTTTGCCGCTTGACAAGATTGAATTCCATTCAATCTTTTCCATAGACGATTCAATCTTCTAAAAACAGAAAATAAAAATTTTAAAAAACATATCTTGGTGTATTAGGAAAGCCTTTTCGTTTAGAAATGTTTCATTCGGGAATCGAGTGGACCACAGACAACGTCATTCAAGTTAACCTTCAGACATCAGTCAACAGAGGTCGGACCACTCCAGGTGCAGAAGTGGTTAAAATTGTAAATTATATCGAAGGATTGTAACTTAACACTGAATTTGTTACAAGGATAATGTGTACACCTACTTTAGCTGGCAAACAGTGTAACACACTATCTTTCGTATAAGAGAAGATGAAATTCCACCTCAAATTACGTAAATAAAATGAAAAATTGGTGAATTAATTTAAAAATTCGATTCAAGGTATGTGTATTACCACCTCGCTCCTATTAGCTGGTCATAGTTCGTCTGATTTACATGACTTGCTTCTTTCAACTGAGTGAGGATGGGCCCCAAATGAGAGAAACGGCCATCCCGTATTCAGACAACTTTGATCTAGTTACTCAGCAAGAACCACCACCACAACCAGTTGGTATGAGTGGTGTTCAACTACTCATAATAATCAGCAGTCAGTAGTATATAACGTGACAACTTTAAGCTTGCTTTCCAAATGGTCATTTTATGATATCAAACGTACAGGTGGAACTGACGAGGATATCAAAGCAAGGGTCAGGAAAGCGAGACAAGCTTTCATTACTCTCTAGTCTGTGTGGAGGTCAACATCACTCAGCATGAAAATGAAAATAAGATCCGGATTTTCAACTCCAATGTGAAGTCAGTGCTACTTACTCCACGAATCAGAGACTTGGCCAGTGCGTCATAAAGAGCATCTCAAACAAACTTCAGACCTTCATTAACAGTCGTCTTCACTCAATACTCAAGATCAGATGGCCAGCCAGAAAAGATCACCAACAGGGAGGGATCTCTGGCGATGAGCGAACCAACTCACCAGGAACCGATTGAGAAACAAATAGGCAGGAAGAAATGGAGGTAGGTGGATAGGCTGGCTAAACTCAGAGAAAACCATCAAGTGACATCACTAGACAAGCCATCGCTCGAGTGGAATCCAACTGAATGGGAGGCGGCGAGTAGTCGGTGTGAGGGTGACTTGAAGGGGTGATGTGAAGAGGAGATGAAAGCATGTGGGCAGACTTGGAGCGGGGTGAAAAAGTTGGCAGAAAACCGAAGGCAATGGAGGTGCGCAGCTGAAGCCCTATGTTCCTCTAGGAATTAAAGGAAATAATAATAATATAATGAACGTACTATATATATTATGATCAAATGTGTTGTATGGAATGTGTTCATCATAGAATAGCAAACTGTATTTCCACTGCATGTCTATAAAATGAACTTGATTACAAAGGATGTCAATGTTTAGGGAACAGTATTTTATTGATTGACGTGAAGTGAATCTACTTGCCATATATCCCTAGCAATTGTTTAAATTATGACTGCCAGTAAATTTGCTAAGTCACATATAACTTCTGATCCATAGGGGAAGTGGGATAGGTAGTGTTAACTTTAAAAAAAAATTTTATTCCTTTACCTTCCCCCAGTGGAACATAGGCCACCTTCTAGCTAGAGGCTTGGAGTTTTCTTAGCAGCGGTATTTATTTTTAAGGGATGCGGTTGTTAGTCTCATGTGCCAAACCTTCCTTCTTTACCAGTCTTATTACACTCCGCCAAATGCAAGATGATGGTACAGGACTGGACTACACCGACTCCTAGATTAGAAATAGGGACTGAAGTGGTAGAACACGTTGACTGCTTCACTTATTCGGGAAGTACCATCAGCCAGTGCCAACGGGTTGATCTCTGACGAAATCTCATCATGGATACAGGGGGCTCGTTTCGCATTTGCCAGTTTACGCCGTCTCTGGCATAGACGAGATATTCGACTATCAACCAAAGGGCGGGTGTACTGCTCATCAGTTCGCTCCGTCCTCCTTTATGCCTGTGAAACCTGGCCACTGAGAGTGGAAGACATGAAAAGGCTGGCTAACTGCCTTTGATCATAGGTTCCTGAGTTCTATTTCCCGTATGAAGTGGTATAATAAGGTGAGCAATATTGAGGTCAGGCGTCGGTCGAGTGTTAGGTAAACAGGGGAAATCAATCGACGAGGTTGTGAAGTTACAAAGACTGAGATGGTTAGGATATGTGTTACGCATACATGTCTAGTCATCGCCTTCCTCGACGAGCTATGTTAGCGGATGTAGGGTCAGGCTGGAAAAGAGCTATTGGTGGTGGCCAAATCAAAAACATGGCCTCATAAGTCAATGAAATCTACAACAGTTAGTTAAAGCCAGCCACGTAGGAAGGTGTAGACTTCCTGACTGGTTGGGGTCCTCGAGACGGTAAAAACCAATGAAGGCTGAAGAAAATCGGTGATATAGCTCAAAATCGTTCTCAATGGCTGGCGAAGATGTATCCACTCCTTGTGACTTATAATACCCAATGAAACTATATTGTTCTTCGTTTTTACTTTTCTTTGTCTCACACCTCTGCTTACTGTCTCTATTATGCTTTTCTTGTACTTTCTTCTCTTGCTTTGTGTGCTACAAGGAGGGAAGTGTGGCGACTTGAACTGCTGCACATATGTGCAAAGTTCTATGTCGAAAACAGACAGATAGACAGACAGACAGTCTTATTACTGGCTTAGGGGGAGGGGCAAAGAATTGCGTCGGCTGAGGATCGATCCTCGGGCCATATGCAGGGTTGGTGAGCAATCTACCGCTGTGTGTTAACTAGCTAGATCGAATTGGTCTGAACAGTGTTCATCAGTGGTGCATATTTTTAATTTCCCAAATAAAAAAAGAAAACTACAGTGTCCCCAAACGAGCAAGTTGACGACGATACATTGTCAAGATCCCATAGATACAACACTGGCAGATGATACCACACTTATTACCAGAAATGCTTACAGATCAGCCATATCAACCGGTAGTAGTACATACCCCACTTGCAATTTCACTCGCCTTCTTGATTATCATTTGTGTTTGGCCAAGTTAAACTTTCGACACCACTAACTACCACCAACCAGAGAACGACGTCGAATTATCCAATGAAATTCAAGAATGCAGTTCAATGTTGTATAGCGCTTTTGTTTCTTTTCTAATGCGTGACCTTACAAGGTTACGGTTGCAATTCAAGGAGGACAGTGTTTTGCAGTATTACCTGGATTTAGGGTTGCTCTGGAAGGAGTGAACTTGTTCGTGTGGTGGTGGTATCATGACTTTAAAAAGCTATAGCACACCAACTGATGGATTTGTTCATCATTGTGCTATATATTTGAAGCGTGCTAACATTAGAGAGGGTAAGCTGATAGTTTTAATATTTCGTAGGAACTTTTTTCGCTAGGTCGCATCTCTCCCTAACCCAGATTTTGTATATCTGCAACTACTGGGTGTTGAAACAGCCGGTGAGAGCAGCAGCTGCCGAGACGGAGAATAGACTCGTTTCAACAGTTCAGTGGTACCAGCATAGCAGAGATATTGCTTCGTGGAAAATAGAGAAAATCACTTGTTTGCTGGATGGATTGCGTTACGAGGACTCATACGAATTCTATTGAAGGGTTTTGGGGCTGCTTGAAAAACAGGATAAGGGCTATAAACGGATCTCAAAAGGATCTCATTTATAGTCATTTAGATGAATATATGTACAGGATCAAGGTGTGACTTCTCCATTGACAGTCCCATGCTAAACTGGGAGATGTTTCTCTCACATGTTCGAGAAAGATACCCCTTGTAACCGTTTTATCTTTTTTCTGATGCTTTTTTCTATAAATATACATTTGCATTTACCATAAATACCTCTTTGATGTGATTGGTCCGTTGACGATCGTTTGCTGATTGGTTGTTGGTGGTGTCGAAAGGTTAAATTTGCCATTTGTTTTGTATCAAACACATTACGACGTGGTGTAATCTGAATATTTTTCATTTCGACAAAAAATTATGCTGAATTTTCATCTCAAACTGTTAAATTTGTAGCTAATGAATATGTACTATATTTTATGTGAGTGATTATTTATTCTCTTCGATGTCGAGTGGAACCTCTAACGCTTCAGCAGAACATCTCCATTTTATCCTCTTATCTGCAGTCATCTCTGGTTGTCTCTACGATTGACTGTAAGTTCTAATCTCCTCCGCATACGATCCCCTTCACATGTCACCCTCGGACAAACACCCAACTCATCGTTTCGCATTCACCTTTCCCTTTCGAACGATGGTCTGGTGCACGATGTCACTCATCGTGGTGATAGTCCAATTCATCTCCATTTTCCTCAGAATATTTGCTGTCCAATAGGCTCTTGGTTGGTTCATTGCACTTCAAATTTCCTTGTTGCTAATCGTTTCTGGATGGCTAGCTGACGATATGAACTTCAGTGTTAAGCTACCGAAGATGATCTCTTGACGAAAGTCTACTTTAGCCAATTTGAAGTGTTTCTCGTGACAAGCACACTGTGTGTCTGAACCATATAGAATTGTCTGACTTAAAATTAGTGTTAAAAATCCGAATGTTTCTCTTGAACGTCTAGTTAATGCAGTAGATTTCTATACTGACTTTAAAGTACTGAAGGTCTGTGTCTTGCCTTTTCAATCCTGACTGACTTTAACATCTTCACTTGTGGAGTTGTCTGTAGTTGAGACAACGCCACCTAGAATAAGTGAAAGAGCTGACCTCCTTCAAAGCTTTCTCATTCACAGTGTGACTGGTACTTGTTGTTGTTGTTGTTGTAAGTCAGTGAGTGAGTATCTTCATTACTTCTGTCTTTTCCGTGTTCACTTGAAGTCCTGTATTCACCATCGGTCTGCTTCTTCTGGTAACTTGTTGATTTTCACCTATACATCTTCGATTTTGTGTGACATTGAACATAACTGGTCTTCTGTAAAGTCAAAATCTTCTACAGTCTTGTTTTCAGGTTAACAGGATGGCTTACTAATGTGACGACAGAAGATAAGTGCCAGACAACAGGTCGTTTATTGAAGAAATCAACAGATATTTATAGATTTTTGTGTGTATTACTGCTATTATTATTATTATTATTATTATTATTATTATTATTATTAGTTATCGTTAGCGGAGAAGTAACCTCTTCTGATTGATTGTTTTCCTGATCAAGGTTATTCTGTCGTCTCTTTGTGGCGGTTTCTCAAAAAGTCTGTGGAGAGAGCTGTGTTCTAGCCAAAATCGGTAGACAGCAATTGACGTGAGTGCTTACGTCCTAAGTCTTAATCATGAAAGAAAACAAGAACAAAGACTAATTCAACAACCAATCACAACAGGCTTTGTGTGGGCGGATACCATTAGGAGATATATATATCAACGGACTGTCTAAGAAACTGCAACAAAGAAACGACAGAATAACCCTTCAGCAGGAAAACAACCAATCAGAAGACGTTGCTTCTCAGCTAACAATACCGAATAATAATGTACATAAAAATATATAAATATCTCTTGATTTCTTCAATAAACGATCTGTTTACAGGATTTTCATCATGACCTGACATTAGTTAGAAAACCATTGGATCGAGTCCCAGTGGCTTAATGGTATACAAGCTCACTGGCTTTGTAACCAGAAGGTCCTGGGTTCGAATCCCGGTGGGTGCGCACTGTTCTAAGAGTCCCAAGCACTAGGACGAAACAGCTGGCTGTCCAGTACTTCCTGCTAGTTTTCCAATGGTTCTCTAACTAATGTCAGCTCATGATGAAAATCCTGTAACCAATCAACCAAATACCTACAAACCAACACTTGAAAACGATCTGTTTCCTGGCCCTTGTCTTCCTGTCGTTACAATCAAGCCATATATCTACGAATCATATTTCCGCACATCAACTCCGCTGTGACTGACTGGTGATTTTCTCAAGGTTAAGCTTTGTTATTATCGTGTTTTTCCTCATAATCCCGATTCGGGAGGTAAACATTGACGTAAATTGAAATAACAGAAAAGATTTGTAACTCAGGTTGGATGATTTGCAATTAATAGTGTTCTCTGAGCTGGTTGGTTTAGTTGCGGAGCTTTCGCCGTCTTTCTGGACGACATCTTCAGCGCAGTATTTAGCATAAAGTCAAATGATTTAAAATCTCCATGAATGATGATACAATTGTGTCTCCTGGTGACCAACCATCTTTACATATGTATTGACCATTTTCTATTGATTGGGATTTTAAACTTTCTGGTCACCTGATTTGCTTTTTATTAATTGATATATTAGGTCTATATTAACGTGTTTATTAGTTGCATTTTCGTTTGAGTACCAGGCTTCTAGGAATTCCCTTACTGCACTTTTGGTGTTTCCTCTGTTTAAGATTTTGATATTATCCCAATCAAATTGATGTCCATAATTGTCTGTATGCATTGATACTAAAGAATTTATATCATGTCTTTTCACGGCTGATTTGCGTTCTTGGATTCTTATTCGAAGGGGACGGCCACTTTAGCCGATGTAATGTTTGTTACACTTCATACAATTTATTTTGTAAACGGTGTTAATTTTATCTCCTTTTTCTATCGGATCTTTTGGTTTGCATAAGATCGAATTAAGCGATTCGACTGGTTTGTGTGCTACATCTATCTATATCAAACGGTTTCATTATTCTAGCCGTTATTTCAGAGATATTTCTGACCTATGGTAGGATGAATTTCTTTTTGGTCTTTGAGGATGGTTCTTTGTTGGTGTTTTGATTCGACTTTAAACACTTTGTGGTGAGAGCAGGCCGTGAGAAAATATGAGCAAGGCTGATTCAACAACCAATCACAGCAAAGTTAACGTGGCAAAATATGATTCGCGGATAGAGAACTCTATTTGTCGAGGAATCCCGAAACAACCAATCAGAAGCCTGCGTTTGTCTGCCTAACTTCTGATAACAACCAATCAGATGACTGCGCTTGTCTACTTGCATAAGCTATAATAATGTATGTGAAATATGTATAAATACGTGTTGATTTTCATAATAAAACGATCTGTTGCCTGGCCCTTGTCTTCTGTTGTTACATTTGGTGTCGCTGCCTACCGACAAATGGAAAGCCTATGCCCTGCTGTTTTTGATGGAGACATATGGATCTTCGGGCAGGACTTCAAGGCTTCTGCGCAGTTGAGTGGCGTTCAAGATCTGTCAGCGATGGAGCTGCTACTTGGGACGCTGCTGGGAGGTCAGGTGAAAGCAGCATATGAAAGTGTGAGACGAAATACTGACGAATGTTCGACAGGGTCAGGCAAACAGTTTCCAAAGTGGGAAGGACCACATATGGTCACTTCGAGATGGGATTACGCGGACACAATCGCAATGACGAACAATGAGAGGCGCGTGAACGTCAGTGAGCTCCAGAAATGGATACAGCGAGGCAAGCCAACGATGACGCCTGCACCAAGTAGATCAAGCCGACTTCAGTCGCACGTATTTGACGGGGGGACGAGTGTGGTGAGAGCAGGCCGTGAGAAAATATGAGCAAGGCTGATTCAACAACCAATCACAGCAAAGTTAACGTGGCAAAATATGATTCGCAGATAGAGAACTCTATTTGTCGAGGAATCCCGAAACAACCAATCAGAAGCCTGCGTTTGTCTGCCTAACTTCTGATAACAACCAATCAGATGACTGCGCTTGTCTACTTGCATAAGCTATAATAATGTATGTGAAATATGTATAAATACGTGTTGATTTTCATAATAAAACGATCTGTTGCCTGGCCCTTGTCTTCTGTTGTTACAACTTTTTCATGAAATTTTTTGGATAACCATTCTTCTTGAGGACGGTTTGTAAGTATTTTTCTTCCATTCTTTTCAACTCTGGTGTGCTACAGTGTGTTTGAACTCTTCTAAACAGTGTCTGCACACAGTTTCTTTTGTGAGTAATTGGATTATTGCGAGAATAGTTGAGTGTTTGATCTGTGTGCGTTGACTTTCTGTGTTGGTTATCCTGATTAAGACATCTAAAAATGGGATTTTGTCATCTAATTCTTCTTCTCTTGTGAATTTGATGTCTTCAAATATGTTGTTTATTAGTTTATGGGTATATTCTTAATCATTTCTCTTAATTATTACAAATGTATCATCAACGTAACGTACCCAGTTTTCCGGTTTGATTATAGGTAGAGCTATAAATTCTAATCTTTACATAACGGCTTCAGCTATTAATCCTGATATGGGCGATCCCATTGGAGTTCCCTTTATTTGCTCATATATTTGAGTATTGAATTGGAAGTATGATGTAAGGCATAATTTTATAAGTTCTATCCAAGTTGAACATTGCGTTTTTATGTTTACATCACTATAGAGTAATTGTTGCACAGTTTCTGTTGCTAGTTTTGGACTAACTGAAGTGTATAATGCTGTGACAACATGCAAGGATACCATTATTTCATTGTCTTCTACCTGAATGTTTTTGATTTACTCAAAGATAATAATGTATATCAACAGTTGACAAAAAACCCTATACAAACATTCGATAACAAAATCAGAACAACGTTAAATAAACTAACGAAATCAGGACAAATTACAGAACAAGATCAATCGCGAATGAGATCTAACGGACCTATTTTACCTTGATTCTATGGTAGACCGAAACTACACAAACCAAACATTCCCTTACGACCAATCGTTTCGCTTCCAGGATCAACCAACATATAATCTATTCAAAGAACTTTTCAGGAAGTTAAACTACCTAACAGAATCATGCGACCATTCTATCAATTCGTCAATCCAATTTTTTTAGAGAAAATCAAAAACATTCAAGTAGAAGACAATGAAATAATGGTGTCCTTTTGACTTTATGCTAAATACTGTGCTGAAGATGTCGTCCAGAAAGACGACGAAAGCTCCGCAACTAAACCAACCAGCTCAGAGAACATTATTAATTGCAAATTGACGTAAATTGTTGTCTACAATTTTTGCTAGCAGCCAGCTGTCACCACACTGTGATCTGATCACAATGAAACGGTAACGATGACACCACCACCTTTCAGAATAGAACCAAAATGGGATAAACAAAAAGAGTGATGCAAAATGATATAAATTTAGAAATATAAAATGATTTTTAGTAAAAACAAAAGGTAATTTTGTTTACTTTAAGTTGTTCATAACGTGATTCCAAACAGTGTTTCAAAGCAAGCATAGCTTGTTGGACACTAGAATACGATGGTGAATGTGATAATAACCCGACACTATCATTATTGTTATTGTTATTATGATTATTGTGAATACTAATCGAATTAGATGGATAGGGAGATAATATATTATCTGTAATGCAGCTGTTATCCAACTGAAATTTAACATAATTGATTTTATCCAGAAATTCTTTACTCAGCACATAATATCGTGATAAAAATTCACGTCGTCCAGTTGTAAGACTGTTATTCAAATTGTATCTCAAATTATCTCCAATGAAGGTACTCATCAATGATGATGATAATAATGATAATAAATGATCTATCGATGGCAGATTTTGATCATAAAAATCTAAATCATTTAATCGTCGAAATTTCCATTTCAGTTGGCTTATTAATTTAGCATAGAGATGAATCTTTCCTGTGAAAATCGGCGATAACGATGACGACCTCAAAGATGATGGTGATGATGATGACTGTAGTAGGAATGATGTAGGGACATTAGCAATCAATGTGAAAGCTTCTTCTCGAAGTTGATAAATTTCTGAAGTGATAACCTTCAAAAGAAATAATAAATAAAATAACACCGATAAACAATAATATTTTGTTTAATAAATGGTTTAGATATTAGCTGAAATGTGACAAATATTGAATAAGTGAAGTGATTTACCCGCTTAACAAGTCATATTGTAACGATAAAAGACAAGAATCAGGCAACAGATCGTTTATTAAGGAAATCAGCACGTATTTATATATATTTCATGTACATTATTATAGCTTATTCAAGCAGACAAACACAGTCTTCTGATTAGTTGTTTCTTGCTCAAGGTTATTCTGCAGTGCTTGTGACTGGTTTCTCAGAAGAATAATAACCTTAAAACTTGATGGTTTATTTACTAGGGGGAAGAAGGTGAGAGTTAGTTCGTGCTTGACATTATTTCCACTACATAAAATACCTGCAGCGAAATATGGTATAGTGGAATTGTTATACTCAGATGTACGTGCATAAAGTCTTCTGAAAAGACTTCTTGTTTTATCTGAGGAGGAGACACAAGGTTGGAGTTGCAGGTGCTGAGGTGGATGCTCACAGTCTGACAATGTCCCTTTAGCAAATTTGTTGCATGACATCAAGTGACTATCAGTGACAATGTCTCAACGATATGGCCCAATGGGATAACTGTCACTCATCCTACTGACAGTCTTCAGAGTTCTACGAAGTATGACATAGTCTTTTTTAAACAACCCAGGAAAGAATAAGGGTGAACAATAAAGAAGAATAGGTAAAATACGCGAGTTGACAAACTGTAAGAGGAGGAGTGTTTGGGTGATGCCTGAGTGCCTTAACTTCTTAATGTAAAAAGTCAGACGAAATATTCTTTTAGAAATCGCTAAGACATGGGAAGACCAGGATAGGTCAGAACAAAGAATTATTCCAAGATATTTATCTTATACACACATGTTGAAAGTATTTCGAAGTTCCCAGTAGACTGAATATATATTGGACCAAAATATTCAGTGATATAAGAATAGACCTTGAGCATTGTGGTACAGTATAATTCTATTATTGGATAAAATTTACTTTGATAAAGTCTCACAGTGTGTTTTATTCAGTAGTACTTACTGATGATCACGTTTCGAGCACAATTTATTGCTGTTCATGTCATTAGCATTATTTTTATTATTCTAACTAATTACTTATTAAGAACTTGTTAGTTTTCACTTATAAGATCTTCGAATTTGTGTGACATTCAGCCTAAATCGTTAGCGAAGTCAAAATCTTTTAGAGTCTTCTCGTTGGCACAGTGTATATTCCTGTCAATTTCGCTCGTAAGCACGGTGTGTTCCATCATAGTCCGGTCCAGAACAATCAGAAATAACAACGTCGGTGTTAGATAGATATTCTGTTACTTTGTGTGATATCCTGAAGACGATGAAATTTTAGTTTCTTTTTTAACAGTTGAATGGAAAAATGAATTCCGATAAAATTACTGACCTCTACACCTATAGGGTAACTGTGCGTCAGAAGTGGTTTAGTAAAAGAAAGCTTACCAGCCACACCGAAGGTCAATGGTTTCAATTCCAAACCGACCTACAGTCAAGTTAAACTTTAACCACCACTAACTACCAATCAGTGGATGACCTTGAAGTGTCCAATGACTTTCATCCATGTTAGTTGAAGGTTGAATTCCGTTTGATTCGAGTCAAATGTCTGCTCTAATGCAGCCACGCTAGCAGTTTGGTGAGGATTAGGTTTTAGAGTATTGCTTACATGTTGGGTTGGCTTAGGAAGGAGAGGATTTTTCCATGTGGAGGTGTCATGAGTATAAAAAGTTTTAACAGGTAGACTAATGGATATGTTCATCGTTGTGCAATTTGTTTGAGACGGGTGAGTGTTAGGCAAAGTAAGCTGATGATTTTAATATTTCGTAAGAACATTTTTTGCCAGGTCCCATCTCTCCTTAATCCAGATTTGGAAAATTTGTAATCACGAGGTTTTAAAACAGCCTCATATCAACAGTTTAGTGGTACCAAGACTGCAGAGATATCGTGTCATGCAAAATGGAGAGATTTACTTCCTTAATGGGAGGAGGAGAAGGTGTCGTCGTACACGTGGACTAAACTGTCTTATTGGAGAAAAAATACAACCGTGGTCGTGACTGGTTTAAGTGACACCTCCCTACAGAAAGGATTCGTTGAGAGAATAGCAGACAGAAAGTCAACCGCCTTAGTAACTATTATCACTCGACTGGTGAAACAGGGATCTATAATATACGCGGGCGAGTGTGTGGAAAGGTTATAACTCCCTGTCATCCCTTGGATATATTCATCACAGAGTTAACCAATCTAGTGATTTTGTGGATCCAACTAGAGGGACACACACACATACACACACGAATTCTATAGAAGGATCTTGGGGAAGATTGAAAAATAGGATTAGGGCTATAAATGGATCTCAAAAGGATGCCCTTTTTGGATGAATATATATACAGAATGTGGTGTAACTTTTCTATTGATACTCCTATGGTAAACTGGGAGATGTTCCTGCTGTCACATGTCAGAGAAAGACACCTTATGTAACAGTTTTATGCATTTACAAAAAAATAAATATACGTTTTTCACAACCGAAAGAGCCTCTTTCATGTGATTGGTCCATTGAAGGTCATTCGCTGATTGACAGTTAATGGTGTTTAAAGTTTAACTTCAACCGACACACTTTAAAGCCTCATCCCGTTCACTACTAATAGATGTCAGCTAAACTGGAGAAGAGGCAAGACTGTGAACATACAGCTAGTTATCAATACTCCTGAACATTGGAAAACTTGAAACCCCGTGTTCCACACTCGGTACTCGGTGGTACACAAAAGTAATAAAAACAGACCGAACGAAACCTTCACGAAAAAAACTTACATCATGATTATTGATTAATAAAATAACATTATTCTTCGCATCATCATCACCATCATTAGTAAAATCAATATTTAAAGGAGTCATCATTAGACTGTGTATAGTTGATAATCTTTCATCAATATTCATTAATTGTTTTAAACAAATATCAAATTGTATTGAATTTGAATCAAAGTGATTATTCAATTTCCTGTGAAGAATATCATAAACATTATCCAATTCATTTTGTTTTAATCTACAGAAATTCAAAAGGAAAAAGATACATATATATATTTCTTTTATTTGAAAATTAATGCGCCATTTGTAATCTAAGCGGTTCGAGGTAGCTAGCTAGAGAATTAGGAGAGTTTGAACTGATCACCCAAAACCGGTTGCACATCTAATGAGCTCCATCCACCCCCCCCCTACTCCACCCCCGTAAACCAGTGAAATAGCTGTGCAATGGAGTTTAGATCAATTCGATCTGGTTGGCCAACAGTAAGCACTACAACTACTGGTTTGTGTGATTGGGGTATGCGACTACTGAAATCAAACATTAAGTAGTATGAAAGAATAAATGAAAAAGTGGGTATGTGCTTAACACGTTGGTTATCCCACTCCCCTTAGTGAACAATCAATGTGACCACTACAGATCCACAGAAGACTAATAATCATTTCAGAAATATCAGTAGAGTTTGAGTCTTTCAGGCTATACATCACTAACTAGTGAGCGTCCGCGTAAGCACGAGATACTGATTCAAAGTTTCCTGCTGACCGCCTCCAAACTGTTCAATGTATTCTATTCACTGCATGATCCCCACACACCTTGAATAGAATCATCTACATCACAAACACTAACCAGCAGATTATATGGGTTAGGTTGAACCTATAGGAGAAGAATTGACTTTTTGATATCAACAAAAAATATGTTTTTTTCTATGCAGTGTTCTGTTCTGAATCTCTTCTTAAAGAAACGGTCATTTTAACAACACTGTTTCAATTAGACGATTGGATGCAATCTCCTGGAAGACTTGAAACCTAGGTTTCGTACTTGTTGGCACTCATCAGCAAGGAAGGCGTGTCTACAATCTTGAAGGAACTCATATCCCCTCTGAGATTCCAAGGCTACCCTGACGATTGCCTCCAACCATCTAATAATTACAAAAAAAATGAGAATGCACGGTGATGGCGAGCCGCCTAGTGGCATGATGACCAAATTTCAAACTTTACTGATACAATTCAGTCTGTACTAAGCGAGGAACTAGATAAATGGGACTGGTTACTTACTACAGGGTATTCAGTCACAGATAGCGCATATATATATATATATATATATATATATATATATATAATGCGGGCGCTAGGGATTTCACCTCCATAAACGACCTGGTAGGGAGAAGAATGGGTCGACGGCGATCTTCCTCTCCAACTGCCCACATGTTACTACGCCTTCATAGCCTTTATGGGGGACATGTGTCCCCCACAAAGATGAAAGGTTGATTTCAAATGTCTGGTGCTTACAACCGTAGGAAGACCCTGATTCCAAACTTATGGACTCCAAACATGAACTCCAGAAACCCAAAGGTTAGAATGGCGTATGAACTTGTTTTGGTCACCAAAAATCATCAGAAAGTAGCTCCTGACGCTGATCCACTTCCCTTTGAACCAGACTTCAACTAAAAGGCTCGAGTGACCAGGCAGTGTTGCAGCCCTCGCACAAAAACTACGAAATTTTGTGTGGGGCATCTCTTTGTATATGACTTATTATTATTGCTATACATAAGTTTACTTACTGCATAAACATTTGAAATTCTTCACTTGTCTTTGAATCCACATATGTTAAACACTGCGCATTTGAACGTTCAACATTCTGTAGTTCTTTCTGTATATTACTGGCTTGTTCAATAAAATCCTACAAGATAAATCAACCAAAAGGTAAATAAGAAGTTTAGTCGAAATAAGGAATAGGAGGATTTGACTTTTTCAAGAAGTGACTTCAGTCAACAGAATCATTACAGAACCAGTCAGAAGTCTTTTGGGAGTGTGTGGGTGGTTGTTACTTTCCGGCTGTCTACACCGTGGAAATTGCTTGATTCCTCAGGTACCTGAAATAGAAAGATGATTAGTGTTGCGTGACCGCAGAGCCCAGGGAACAGCTGCTTGAGGCCAGTCACACGCCACCTATGTGAACTGGTTTCTTGGTTTGGTTCCGTATTAGTATTACTTACCGCCGGCTACAGACCACCGTAGGGTAAGTCAGGATGTACAATTTTCGGGGTCTACCTTTTCTAAACTCCTCCCTCCGTGGTGGAGAGATAGCGCATAGGTTGCTGGCATACTGGTCATCTGAAGAAAACACCTCACTGCTGTTACACGCCTGTTGTCCAGCAGTACGACTTCGTCCTCAGACCCCCCCCCCCAGAATAGTGTAAGAAAGATTCTTACACTATTCCGGTAACTGCTTTTGGTCTAATCGCTATCTTAACAATCTTCCTGGCATGGTAGGACGTGCAGGAACATATTTTCCAGCCAGTTTAGCTTGTTGGGTCATCACGATATGCAAGCCCGACCACCACGTCAAGGTAGCAGCTATCGGTCGGGCCAGTCAGAAGTAAACAGCTGTGTTGTGTTGAAGTTTAGAACTCTACAGTACTACTCCTCATTACTACGATGGGAATGTTTTAATTTTATAACATTTTGTTTCTATATTTCATGCTATTCACATTTTAGTATTCCTTTGCGGAAAGATAATGATATCAAAAATACATGTTATGGAGCATGTTACGTTGTTTTTTGTTATGGATTTTTATTCAGTTGCGTTCCGAGTGGAACATACAGCTTCAAGCATGAGTCTTGAATTTCCAGTTTCGGAGTGGGGTTGGTGCTAGCCTCGCGCACCTAACCTTCCCTCTTCATCAGGTGTTATTACCAGCTAAGCAAGGTTCCAGGAGTGCGTCGGCCGGGAATCAAACCTCGGATCACACACATGGATGTACCTTACAGAGAGATGAAATTATACCATGAAAGTCTTTCCATTTGTCGATTTGAAAAAAATGCTTATTGATTTGCATGAACTGTGATTAATATTTGATCGAATAGTTACAAAATTACAAAACTATTATGAGAATTAGTCGTTTTTTTATTGGTTGAAGGATTCCATCATGAGCTGACATCGGTTAGAGAACCATTGGAATACCTGCGGTGAGTACTGGACAGCTGTTTCGTCCTAGTACTGGGGACTCTTCATTAGTACGCACCCATCGTCAGGGTTCGAATCCAGGACCTTCTGGTTACAAGGCAAGCTAGCTCATAGACCATTAAGCTACTGGGATCCAATCCAATGGCCCATGACTTCCAACCTCTTCCAGTAGGGTACAGCAGGTCGGGCTTGAGGACATGTACTCGCCACCGATGACACTGGCTAGTGGTCGCGCTATGTCGTGAATTGGCAGAAGTTGGAATTCATGGGCCATTGGATCGGGTCCTAGTACATAAATATACTTTAGTAGAGACCACGCCTACACTATGGAAAAATAAAACAGAACTTGGCATGAGTCGACGACGAAAAGCTTTTTTCTCATGGTATGACGAGCAAGTCGGCTTCTGAGACGTTACAGTCAAACAAAATCACACATCCAACAGAATGTTCACCATAAAATTATATAGGAAAAATGGTGGACATAACAATTTCCCATCACCTCATATAAGAAAAAAATTTCCGTTTGTTAATATACTTCTGTATGAGACCAAATAAAGTGACTTGATTAAACCATAACATCTCTTGACAAGATATTTGCGATACACGTAGTTGAATGCTGACTTCAGACGACAGAATACAGATGAAGACACCGGATTCATCGTAACCTGAGCCTTAAAATGAATTAGGCTCCGTATGACCATGATGATAAACTCCACCTTAAGTCCATCTGTTTTAGTTTTGATTATCACAAGCGGATTTGTCTCCATTCTTTTAGATTAGGATGATCATTGATTCATATCAGTTTGATGCAGATATCTAGGATTCTCACTTGCTGACTAGTATCTTAGTGAATCCAATCAGTAATTCACTACCATCATTCCCAACATTTTAGATCCCTTTCTCTCTCTTCAAATGTTATCAATGTTTCATGCATCTCAAAGACAGTTTAACAAGCTGTCAAGTTTTATTTAACGTGATTTTGATTTCTTTCGCTTTCACCACCCATCATTAGGGTAACAAAGCCTTTCAATCAGTTTATATTCCAACCAAGAGCGTAGGCTCCTAGTCATGTTCAGAGATCTTTACCATGCATTGATCAGTTTGAGTGAGGCTTGAAAAAAGTCAATGAACTTTAAAAACCTTGCGCGATAGATAGATTGCCAACTAGAATAACTAATGTTTCTGCAAAAGACTGGAAATCCTGCTAAGCGCTTCTTCAACATGAGTATATATCATATTGAGATATATGCTTACTTAACTCCTAAGTAAATACAAGAGTAACATTTTCATCAAAAGTCTGGAGATGTAATATCTTCGCCCTACCCATGTGTTATGCATGCCTAACCACCACCTTCCTTGACAATGGGAAATATTAGCTGAAACTGGACTAGGTGAGAAAAGAGCTAGTAGTGATCAAACCAAAACATAACTTCATCAGTCAGCGAAACCCATAACAGTTAGTTTAAGAGCTGGCCACGTAGGGAGGTGTAGAATTCCTGACTAGTTGGGATCCTTGAGATGGTAAAAGCCAATGACGGCTGGAGACAATCGGTGATATGGCTTACAATCTTTCGCAGTGATGGCGCAGATGCATTCACTCTTCGTGATTTGTTGTCATAACCAATAAAACTGTATTGTTCTTCTATACATTACTATTCTTTTTCCTTCATTCACACTTCTGTTTATCAGCTCTCTTTTGAACCTTTCTTTACTCCTTTCTCTTGCTTTTGTACTACACGGATATGGATAGTAGCAATTGGAACTGCTTCACATCTGTGCAAAGTTCTACGTTGAAAACAGTCAGTCAGCTAGTCACCCTAGCGAGGGCTAAGAAAGGTCCAGAGTTCACGTAAATATATATTCCAAACAGTGGGACAATCTTCCACAAGTCCTCTTCTTCATCGACTACAGGTAGGAAAATGGCCAACTTAGGTTTAACTTTGACCTAACTTTGGTGATCATAAGATCAGAAAATGTTTCTTCTTGTGTCTGAATTTAGTAACGACTTGATACGGTACAATGGGGTTATCCGGCTGATTCAACTTCTCTACTTGAGTATCGCTATCCCTTAATCAGTTATATTTCTAACAACAAACTTTGTAGCTTTTGGCAAAATTCATCATAGACTTCCGAAATGTAACCAAAGAGTGTATTAGGAGAGACTAGTAGAAGGCGCCAACAAGTAACATGAACTTTCCTTGTTTTTACGAACTCCTTTTCCAGATAATACATAGACGACTTTACACTGGGATCCAGCTTTCAAAAGGTTCATGTAAACTAGCTGTACGATCAACTAACACTTGTAGGGAGAAAGTGCAGATTCATTACGTTGGTAAGGCCACTTTTTCAAGTCTTGTATGAGTGTCTAAAGTATATGAAATATCTTCAAAGCTATTGAAGTGTTGGTCTGCAGGGATTTGATTGTTTGTCTACAGGATTTCATCATGAGCTCATGTCGGTTAGAGAACCATTGGAGACCAGCAAGGAATGCTGGACAACTGCTTCATCCTAGTCTGGGAGTCTTCATCAGCACGCACCCACCTCTCTAGGGTTCGAATCCACGACCTTCTGGTTAGAAGGCAAGTTCGTAGACAGCTCAGTCCTGGGCTCGAACCCTGGCAATGGACGCGTACTGATGAAGAATCCCCAGCACCCGGACGAAACAGCTGTCCAGTACTCCCAAGTGAGCTCATGATGAAATCCTGTAAACAATTAATCAAATCCCTACAAGCCAAAGCTGACAAACATTACTGGTTAGCTTCTTTGTAATGGCTTGTGTGTTTGTCTGTGTATGTGTGAGCTAGAGCAACAGAGCAGCTAAGATACTAAGCACAGAGTTTTCGATAAAAGAAATCATTTGATAGGGATTACTCATTAATGTCGATTGGGTGGTTTACACCTGCGTAGAGCGTGTCTATGCAGCACCATCTAAATCAGTATGTTTAACCGTTGAAGTAGAATCAGTATGATAGGTAACTAAGAATGACAAGATAATAATAAGACATTAACCAATAAAGTCACTGAAATCCATCAAGAAATCAAATTTGTCTAGGGTTAAAATCCGTAAGGCATCCGAAATCACTGTTTGGAATCTACGGGTTGTGTGACTCGAAGTTAACTCGAAGTTCAAAGAAACGGACAAATCTGAGAGACTATATACTACTTACTGACTGAGATGAGTAGTAGTACTTGCTAGCCAACCAGATCGAGACGGTTTCGCTCAGTAGCGGTGGAGCTCATCAGCGGTGTATCCGATTTAACTCAGCTGTGAGAGCGAGAGAGAGAGAGGGGGGAGACGAGTCAGTTCAAACCACTCGATTTTCGGATGACTGGCTGGTTAGCCTACCTGGACAAACCGGTGATACCATAAATTAAATTCTCAATTTGCAAATTAGTTCATAATCTGCACAGTTCGATGAGGTAAAATTTCAACACTACAGTTTCTTTTGGCAACTGAAGTCACTCACATCACACAGAATACTTAATCTGATTGGCATCATGAATGGTAATCAAGAAAGCAAACGTAAATGCATAAAACTATATACTACTGATAAACTCAGATGAGCAGTCGTAGTATATCGCTTGCACAAACGAGATAAATCTATATTTCTATAGTTTGGTTTGTAAGGATTAGTTATGTTTTACGGGTTGATCACGGATTGATATCAGTTAGAGAACCATTGAAAACCAGGGAGTACTGAACAGCTGCTGTT